GCTTTACAATCGTAACCCCAACCACCTGCACCACCGATGGAGACAGTTCAATAAGAATTGTGTTGCTAGGAAACAACTTGGGTCCAAGTTTGTTTCCTGCCGGCTGTTGATGTTTAAAAATCCTGCAACAGGACGAAATTTTACCTATTTATTGTTTATTTGGTACTGAGTGTGTCGATAATGTAAAAACAATTCGTCACAAGGAATTATAACAATGGAAGTTGTTAAAGTTAAATAAAATAGCAGTAAAATTAAAGTGTTAACAGTCAGGAGCTGCGTGGTTTAATACATTTACATGACATGATGTGCAAAATAAAATGTATATCATAGGGATGTAACGATACACTTAACTCACGATAAGATTTTCTCACTTTCTTTTTAACAAAATGAGATAAAGGACAAATTGTGAGTGAAAAAGATTTCTTTATTTTTGTTCTTTATCAAATCGTAGAGTCCTTTCTTATTTCTGAGCTCAGGTACAAACTGGGCAAAACAGTCCATATTTTCTTTTTGTGAAGTTTTTGCGTCTCGATACCACGACTCATTTTACAACTTAATGATATAAATGTCACATTCACCTCAACAACAGCGGCCATTACATGTGCAGAAAGGTTAGCAGTGTATCTTAATCTTGGATTTACCTTTGGCTTTGTGTGTGTTGAAAGAAAACAAAAGTGGTTTGTTAAGTTTATTGCTCCTTTTTAATGAGCTGAATGTATCAGTGTTAATATTGTATTTAACTGTGTACCAGCCTGGTGTCATCAGTTTGTGGACACTTATAATATTCTTTTTGTTGGAGTTGGCGATATCAAAGCTCTTAGCATTTCCCAGTGTCTCAGATTTACAATTACAGCAGCTGTTTTCTGTCCAGTGTAAAAGCTAGGTAAGCTAATTGAACACACCTGAGAGTGAGGAAACGACATATAGAGTATTTAATACATGTATTATAATATATAAATCACACATATTCTCCCCCTGCACAGAGAGCTGACTCTGTTAAATTCTGTTTTAATGTGTCAATATTGCAAACCGCAGTCATTTTCTATATTCCAGGTTGTGTGTGGTCATGCATGTAGTCTTCAGGTGACATTTCACTGCTGTGTCTGCAGGCTTATGAGGGCAGAAATGTTGTTTCTCTGTCTGTCTGTCTGTCTATGTGTGTGTGTGTGTGTGTGTGTGTGATCATTCCAGCGTTCATGTGCTTATGAACAGTGGGTGTGTGTGCGTCAGAGTGTGTGTCATAAAAAATGTAAAAGGCTTAAGTAGGCCACAGGTTCACAAGCCCCACATGGGGTTGTGGGGGTGAAGGAGCCGCGAGAGGACACCTCCCTTCCCTCCCACTCTGCCTTCTTCTTTGTCCTCCTCCTCCTCCTCCCATCCCTTCTCTCCTCTTCCCGTCTCCTCCGTCTCCTCCACCTCCTCAGACCCGTTGTTTCTTCATCGTCTGACTCTGAATTCCCCGGGAGGTACAGTGAGCGATAAGAACACAAAACTACACTTTAGTCTAAAAACATAACGTGACAAAGATGTCTGATGATGATGATGATGATGATGATGATAGTGACAAAGATTACAGTGATTATGATGATTAGAATAATGATGAATGGTAATAATCATGGTAAAAGAGAAAGTGATATGAACATCAGTGCTTTTATCTGTTGTGGTTCAGCACTGTAGATCCTCAGGAAGAGATTCCCACCGCCACAGGGTCACCTCAGCATTAGATTAACTGACTATATAATCCTCATGATGACAATAATACATCTGCAGCAGGTGTCCAGTAAGTGAACGTTGCTTTAGATTATATATTAGATATATATATATATATTATGTTTGATGTTTCTAATAAAAAGGCAGAAATGTATCCCTCTGTATCTGAGGGAAACTGCAGGTTTATGCAGAAGTTTGGGAATATTTTCAAACAAATAATGCATAGTTACGTTTTATTCCACAGCTCGCAAACGCCTTTTGTATCCAGCTAAGAGTCGATCAACTCTTGTATTCAAATAGTCGAGCACTCGGGGTCCAGCCCTAATTCACAGCCACATATGATTGTACATAATAACCAATTGTTCCGGACCTTGAATAAAACACAGATGTGGACATTTGACTAACAAGTATCCTTGAAAAAAAATCTACTAATTATATATAAATGTACTCTCAGCAACCGCCTCTACCTGTGAGGCTGAGATCAGATAGATAAATAGAAACCTAGATTTTAACAGGAAAAAAACAACTGAGATCAAAGCCCTCGTTCACAATGGTGCCCTGCAAATACATCAGATCAGTTAAACAGTAAAGTGTAAATATCTTTTAAATGTGAAATCAACATCACACAGAGACACATTAAGAAAAACAGCAGCATTCTTTATATAAAACATCATTCAGAAGATGCTTAAACTGTTCCAGAGAGGAAGGATAAAATTGTGTCTAATTTAAGGTTTCCTGGAGTTTATTCCTCCTATGGGGAGCATAAAAAGTGAAAGCAGTTTTTCTCAGTTCTGTGTGCATAAATGGGATGTCCCATGTAATGAATAAGAGACTATGGAGCGTGTGTGTGTGACTGCAAAAATATAGCACCGTTTCACACACTGAACCTCGAACTGAACTACAGGAAGTTCTCTTTGATGCAGCTTGTGCTCTTAAGACAAAAAGCTTTCTTTCGTGAATCCAGATGCTCGATTTAAAGGGTGTCTTAATTCCACAATCCAGCGCCTGATGATCAGGAGCTAAAAGAATGATGTGAAACTCTGCACCATCATTGTTCCCACAATCCTTGATGACTGCTCCACTGACACTAAAATAGAAAAGAAAAAGCCCTCTCCCCCCCCTTCCCATCCCCACAGAGGGAGTAATCACCCTCCGGCCCCTCATCCCTCTCAATAACATCCTCATGGTCAATCTGCTGGACAGAGAAATCCCCCCCTCTCGCCAGATTACAGTGCCGAACGCCCCGGGATTAGGTTTTAAACAGCGACAGGACACGTGTTATTCTCATCATTTCCACTTCATGTATGCAGCCGAGAGCCGAGCGGCAAAAAATCCACACCAAGAACATCTTTTCCCCTCCTCACGTACCCCCCCACCCCATCCCCGGCCCGGCAGAAGCCCATGGTTTAAGGCTTTTTGTAGTAAAGTGGATGTAGAAATACAGAAAGTAATGTAATGACCTAAAATGACACTTACACACAATCCAAAACATCATACTCCACCTCTACAGCTTTCATTGGAGTTTGTACTGTACTATACATCAGTTAAAATACATTAAATGGGTTAATACAATGTGTTATTCAGCAATTTATCGCTTCCCTTTCAACCCATTTTCATGCTTTGCTACAATAATTCTATTTTTGATATTCAGACATATAAAAAATAGAGTTTAATCAGATCTATAACCTCAGTGAAAGAATAAAGGAGGAAGCTGTAATTGTGGATGTGTATTTATTACATTTTATGAAGCAACAATGCTACAATAGCAGTTTATGGCAACTATTGATTTGTTCTACTCGCAAGGAGATAATGCATTTTATTGGACGCTTTACAAATCCAATCTGAAAAGAAAAATGTTACGTGTTAACTGTTTTCATCTCTTTAATACAAGAGCTCCACGTGGGGTGACAGTAGGCGTTAAGGAAACACACACACTCTTCCACAATAGCTTGATAAGCCTGTGACGTCACTACAAACTGTAGTTTACACACGGCGAACTCATCCCGTGCAGATGTTCTGTAGCAACATCCCTAATCCCAACACAAAGGCGAGAGGGAAACAGACAGATAATCCAGTTTCTCCTCCTGGAGCCAAAAAACATAATACAGAGAAACACAGCAGCAACCTCAGATTACACATCCTTCATTCAGTTCGGAGATGAGATTAATTATCAAATATGCCGTTTCCTGTAATGTTCCTCATTTTAAATCTTTCTAAAGATGAGTTTCCTGAGATAATGCTGCTCTAATGTTCAAGACATGTTGCCATGTTTCTACGGTGGCCCAGAACAGACAAAGCGAACACTGGCTCTATATAGTGCCATGTACGGCCACCGTAGTTTCTCCTTCACACTTGGCACAGGTAAGGGTAAGACGAGGGCGTTGCAATCAGCGACCACACTGCTAGTTGCCACTGAATCATACTCACTGGTCCTGAAACTACCAGGACAACAATGTAAAAATACTCCCATTAGAAACCCTTCATCAAAAATCCTACTTCAATAAAAGTACAAAAGTATTACCAGAAAAAAAATATAAATTAAGTTTATCACTATATAGTACCTGGCAGCTTCAATGTGGTACAGTTTTAATTACTTTACTTAATGTCGGTCTTAGCTGTAGCTACAACTGTACTTCACTGACTGGGCAAGCACTCTCTGCATTTATCTGGTCATGCTGGTTTGCTACGTAGCAGCAAAGTGCAGGGAAACCAGGTTGAATGGACTGCAGGGACCATGTGAGAGGGCAGGTATGTTAAAACCTCCATCAGCTGATAAACAGCAGCAGGTAGCTGAGAGGAAGTGGTGAACTACACTGAAGTGACGGTAGAGAACCGTTTCTATTTTAATTCAGGCACAACAAGCTGTGTAAAATATGTTTGTGTTAGTCTACACTCGCGGTACATTTTGTACAGACCCGTTGATTCAGGTTGGAATAAGCAGCATGTGGTGTGCTGAATTGAAATGAAGTGGAAACCAAACCCAACTGGCTCTGAGTGGCACTCTTGCCGGTCAGGTTTTGGAGCACGCAGAGTGAACCACAATGGCTTTTAAAAAGGTGACTGGCCTGGCCTATAAGCACACACACACACACACACAACTCTAAATAAAATACAGAACCTGACAACAAACAGACCTGTTGTTATTTGACTGGTCTCGCATTCACTTCTTCTGCCCCCCCTTAACATTTTCTCGCAGTACAACCTGAGCTTGGGAGATTCGGGCTGGCTTATGAAAGGATGGTGTTGTCTAAAAGGAGGAAGGACACTTAAAAACAGAGAAAAACATCAACTTCATACAAAACACAGTTTATTCGACAGTGTCTAGGTCCAAGTACCAACAGACCCCATACAAAAGAAAAAAAAAAAGAAAAGAAAACAAATGCTACAAACTTCCAAATAACAGGGATAACTTCCATCTACACAAAACTTCTCCTTAAAAATACATTACCATAAACACAAAAAAGTAGCGATTAAAGATAATATATGTGAGGGGGAAACCTGTCATATTTAAGTGATATTACATAACAAGCCGGGGAAGATGTCGAATGGGGAAAGGAGGGCGCGATGAAAGAGAGCGCGAGTGAATGACTGTACGTGTGTGTGTGTATTTTCTTCTCTCCGGCAGACCGGGAGAAGAGGGCAACAGTCAGTGATGCAGCAGTCACGTGGGCAAGAAAAAGAAAAGATTAAAAAAGAGAAAAGGAAATGGGAACGAGAGGTAGCGAAGGGGTGCGCAGAGAGGTAGCAGATAGCGAGAGGAAGATTTCTAGAAGAGGTAGCTAGCGGATGAACGAGGAAGAGGTAGCAGAGATACTAACAGTGCTAGCGAAGGGGGAAGGCAGGGGGGAGGAGGGGGAGTCGTTTGAGCTAAGACTTCACATTAAAACGACCTTATTGAGCTTATTTTCAACCTGTGTGTCGACCGCAGGGGGGTGAAGGATGACGAGCGCCACGTTGGCTTGTAGAGCGAGTTAGACCACTCAAGGTCAGATTACACTTTTTATTTTTAATCTTTATTTTAAGCCAACATGCACTTGAATTCAATGTAAATGTATCAAGCTAATTCAGTCACATGATGGGAAATGAATTTAATTTAAGATGTTTCTTTTATATTTGTGTAGGGCTGAAAACAATTAGTTTTAGTTGAAAAGGTCCTTTAATAGCCATTCTGGAGCTTTTGACTTTATCACATGGTATTCCTCAGCAGTCGGCTTTTTTTTTTTTTAGCAAGAATGAAGTCTCAACGTTTAAAGGCAACATGAACAAAGTTATTATAATGCTCATTTTAAAAAAAAACATCAACAACTGCCGAGGAATACGGTGGGATATATGGATATAGATCTAACGGAAAGCTCCAGGATGGCTACTTACTAAAGGGTCTGTAGTTAGGCTGAAATATCTGCTGGTTCCAGCTTTGAATCTGAGGGTTTGCGGCTGTTCTGTTTCATCACTGCTGGTTGGACCAAACAAGCAACCGGGGCACAGCTGACGTTTTTATTGACTAAACAGATCAAGAAAATAAATAGGGCCGATTGTTTCCTCAAATAAAAGATTAATAGAAGACAAGCTGCAAATGTTCATATTTGAGAAGCTAGAACCAGAGAATCTTTTAGCATTTTTAAATCGGATTTTCGGTGAGCTCTGTAAATAAATGCTCGGTGGTTGTTGCCCGTTGTTTACGCACCTTTTTATTTACTGCAACGTCACAGGACAAAGCATTTGAGGACTCAACTGTGAAATCGCGATTGCTTCTCGTTGGTTGGCGCGGACTCTTTCAGTGTACTGACACAGTGTACTGGGATGACGGTATTGCTTAGTTTTCCTATGGCAAGTGGCAAAAATAGCATCAATGCGTGTGTGTGTGTGTGTGTGTGTGTGTGTGTGTGTGAAGTGGGGTTAGCGAGGTAGGCAGCACTAAGCGTTAGGAAGTTGGGAGCAGAGGAGCTGGGGGCGGGGTTTATTCGCTACAGTATCAGCACCTAAAAACATCTAGAAGCCCACCGCGCTGAGGAAGAGCGTCGTTCGTGTTCTGATGTTTCGGTCGAGCCGCATCTCAGCGTCTCCCTCTCTGTAAAGGCTGTGTGAAGGTCAGCAGGAGATTATATGTATGTGTCAGTGTGTGTGTGTGTGTGTGTTGTCCAGTGCTTTGTGGCAGGGTCTGGCCAAGTCAGTGTGTGCATGCAGCCTCCAGTGTGAGCCTCAGCTTAGCTTACATTTCTGTGTGTTACAGTGCTGTGGTTGGTGTGGGGCGGGGGTGATGGTGTTTCTAACCCGTCTGTCCTATTTTGTGCCTCTCATGTAATCAGATCTGACACTTTATGTTTAAAGCATAATGGTGATACTGTACAGTACATTTCCCTTATTGTCAACAATTCTCATTAAAAACCAACAAAACTATTAAAAAAAACCCCATCAGTGGGCCACACTGTTGCACTGGGTGACATGTTCCTTCATTACCATGAACAAACACACTGTAGTTTATTTTGACTCAATCCCACATACACCGCCCTGCCTCCTGAAATACTCAACTAGGAGCGCCATATGTGTATTAATTGGCCGCTAAAAATAATCCCAACAAATATTGTTTACTCCTGTTTGAGTAACCTTTGATAAAAAGCTGTTGAAGAAACTATAGTCGTTTTAAAAAATGAAACTATATTTTTCAAATATTTACGCCTTCAGTAGAGAACAATGGGCCGAAAGCCATAGACGGGTATTTTCGTGAGACTTGTTGACGGTAAGAAAAACAGAATATAGCGCCAACCTTATTCTTTAAATACAGTCAGGGGGAAAAGCCTGTTTCTGTCAAACGAGACAAAACTTCACACTCCATCCTGTTGTAACAATTACTTCCAGTGACCATCTTTGTTGGGTTCAAGGAACAGAGACCCGCCTTGTTATGCAGATCAGAAAACTACTACAGAAAACCACTTTATTTTCTGCATCAGCAAGACAGAAGAGTCTTCAGTAACAGATATTTAAAAACACATCAAGTTTTGTTTTTTGGTTCTCACCTCATTTTTCTAATTTCTACTTTCTTTTGGCCACAACGATAGTCATTAAAGACTAAACTGTAAAAGCGATTATTCCATAAAGAGGCACAAAAGTGTGGTCAGAGGAGGCAGAGAGTTAACAGCCATCAAACCGCCGTCTTTAACGCACATTCACACACAAACACACAGATCTACAGTGTATCATTTAAAGAGGAGCGAGAGGTAGATACTCGACGAGACAAGAGCGACGGCAGACTGGGTCCCCTCTCTGTGTGTGTTTTTATTCGTATCAGTATCTGAATAATCTGCTTGCCTCGTGTGTGTGTGTGTGTTTTACAGCTCGGCACACACACACACTCAGACCCCTGCATGTCTGACCCTAGCTCCCCCTAGTGTTTGGCTTGAAGAAAGAGGCACCAGACAAGAAGAGGTGTGTGAGTGTGTTAAAGAGACGGGAAGGGGGGAGGGTTACAGTGTCATTTAAAACAGCATTGGAAAGAGGAAAAAAAGGTGAGACTGACGGAGCTTTTTTTTATCTGTTCTGTCTCCTCGGTTAGTTTTCTGTACACAGTCATTCTCGCCAGCCTCCATCTGGCCCAACAGAGCAGAAAACAGTGTTTATTACTAGACGACCCTTTACCACTGTGCCCTGAGAGGAAGTCTGGATGGTGTGTGTGTGTGTGTGTGTGTGTGTGTGTGTGTGGAAAAAAATTGGGTTACCCTTGCCACTGAACCCTGAGTGTGTGTGTGTGTGTGTCCTGTGTGAAAGTTTATGGTAGTTTGGAGGGGGAAAATACCAAGCCAATAGCAAAGGCCATCAAAAAAGGGGCTGAGGTTCAGAGATAGAGTTAGATTTGTGTGTGTGTGTGTGTGTGTGTGTGTGTGTGTGTGTCTGTGTGCTTTTGCGAGCTGTGTGTAGATCTTAGTTGTCAGGCACTCGAGCACTCGGGGGCGCTGGAGGACCCACGGGAACTTGAGGTACCGCTTCAGGCTGTGCAGGTTGTGGGCCAGGGTCTGGAAAGAGGTAAGATGCTGGTTTTAGAGCAAGAAAGAGGAGCTGCTATGGGCTACAACAAAAGAACATTTATGGAAAATAGTCTTTGCTGTATCTAAAAAGCTGTCATGATTTCAGCTGCTGATTGGCTACAGACGTGTGATGAGTAGATAAAAAGCAGCAATGACGCAAACGTTTAGCTGCAGCTGCCAATCAAAGTAAATACCAGCTGTCAGCTTTTGGGTCACTCATATTTGGATTCACAGAAACCTTTTTTCCCCTTAAATTGTTTGTGGTGTAAAGACCAGACTCTAGAAACGCCACCATATTTTAAAGGTACACTGGTTTAGGTGAATTTTAACAGTGTAAGCAACAAAAACAAAGCCTTAAAATCTGATGTACACAAACATAAACGTCTACACATTCACATTGCACAAACATAATGAAAATGCGTGGCAGAAGGAGATTTGTACTCACACATGCCGTTGGGAGCTCCAGGGTGGCGTGGAGGCATCATGGGAGGCATGCCGCCAGGAGGGGGCCCAGCGGAGGGTGGGCCAGGCATCATACGTCCTGGCATCGGCTGGCCTGGTCCCATTGGTCCTGTAGGGCAGAAAGAACAGCAGGGACAAATCAGTCGCATGGAGATTTAGTAGAAAGAACGGGCTGAAGCAGGATTCACGCTGGGAGGAATTCAGTCTGTCAAAACACTTCTGGGGAACTGGCTGTGGCGGGGCGGGTTTTAACAAAAAGCTACATACCAGAAAATATCATTTGAAGAAAAATAAACGGTATGTCGTTAAATCTATCCAACCTTTCCTTCACCTCTCAGGCACTCTTTTTGCCACTTGTGAGAAGAAAGGCACAGACTTTGGGGAATAAACTCGTGGCCCTGCTCCAACTGTGCGAGAGCTTGACATCGGAAACCAAAATGTCTGTCCTGTCAAGGTTCATCGCAACATCCGACTGCCGTTCAAGAGCGGTGGATCGTTCCTCACTCCCCTCTAGTACAATGCACGGCCACAATGCCCAAAGACACAAACATTTAGTCCAACTCTTCAACAAGTTGTGCGGCTCAAAAATCGTGACAGAAAGGGGCTCAAATCGTGCAGTCTATCCCTCTGGTTCTGTGCAACTGAAGCTTCATAAGGCTGCAGCAGTCATTTCATTACAAAATCCCTTCTTTGTGCTACAATCCTCTGCTGCAGCTCAGCAGAGAAACACTGTCTAGGGAAACAAAAAGGCAATTTTGTACTAAAGCGCCGACAAGGTGTGCAGATTTTGTTTCTCCATCATTTATATTAAAATCGCTTAAAGAAGGGATCTCTTCAGGGCCAGTATGGACAGCAGGGAACAAGTACTTAGACCAATAACTGCCAATTTACATGTGACTATTTTAGGAAGAGACACAAATGAAAAATGTGAACCTATCCTTTAAATATCTAATTGCGTTTATCCTCAGGTTACTATATAATATGAGATTAATAACATAAAATTATCAATCACTTCTTATTATTATTCTTTCTCTCTGACCCTCTGCTCTGTTTCTTTCTCTCACCTGTCTGTCCTGGGTGGTGAGGGGCCATTGGGTGGTGGCCCATTGGGGGGTATCCGGTGTGCATGGCACCACCGGGTGGGGGCCCTCCGTGGTGGGGCACTGGTGCTCCGTGGTGTGGCTGAGGCCCTCCGGGGTGCATACCTGGTGGAGGGGGCCCAGAGTGGGGTCCAGATCCGGGAGCCTGTCCCTGTCCTTGAGCGTGGGCGGCGGCGGCGGCTGCAGCGGCGGCCTGCTGCTCCATCTGCTGCCTCGCCTTCATCTCGGCGTATTTGAGCTGCTCCATGTGGAACGCCTGGCGCTCGGTGAGCAGCTGCTGCCGCTGAAGCTCCAACTGCACAGAGAGAGAGAGGAAACGCCAAGAAAGATGATTAAATGAAGCAATTACCAATAATAACCAACAGTCAGCTACCCACTATAATGGCTGGTGGGTGAGAGAACAGTGGATCTCAGGACCCCTAAGAATCTACACGAGGGTCTCTGAGGATCCTTTATTTAACATTCTTTCACCTTTTAAAAGTGAATGTTTGAACAGTTTGAGAGATTTTCCTTGATTAAGTCTTACTAATTGGATAAGAATTTGTCCCTCATTACTTTTTATTGTAAGTGTAGTGTGATGTATTAGCAAGGAAGAACATTTAATGCCATCAAGCACTAAAAGTATGTTACATGCATGTCGCATGACAGTGCCGTTCAACTGCTGCATCACCAAGAACTGGTGACAGACTGGACCATTTATGCACTCAATTTACTTTATTTTGCCAACACTAAAAGGGTCAGCTAACCCAAGTATTTATCTTTGCAGAGTGTTTTGGTTTTATGTGCCTGGGATTTGAGATACCCCAAAACACCCAGAAGACAATAGAGTGTAATTACTTTTAATTTGTGGTTCTCACAGCAACAAAAAATGAAAACTCAGCAACTTGTTTGCAGAAAACAATGTCTTGATCACTATGGTCACTATTCCACAGAACAAGCTGTTAACTGTAAATCTGTAAATGTGAAAATACAAAATTAGGAGTATATTCAATCGGGGCTAAGTAGAAAATTTCTTTATACTAGCATGTAAACGTTTTTCCAAACTAAATGAGAATATTCTACAAGAGAACGAGATCGCAGCACATTTCCACACTTCAGTGCATGCCTGCAGAGGAGATGGTGCATGTTCAGGCCTGTGAAGTCTTAGTGTAAAACTGACTTGTGTCTGTTGTAATGTGTGGAGCTTTGTTTTTTTGCGTTTTTTTAGAGGCTCAGTGTTTTACAGGCTATGGCAGCGGCAGCGGTTTGATTTCTCTCCAGTCTTTAGAAGGCTTATGTAAACCAGAGTCCTTTTCATGCACTATTTACAGCTGTGAAACTGGGCTACGCTCCCGATGCCTCCACCATAAAAACACAGTTTTACACTCTCATTGGCGTCTCCCGGGATTGTCCAATGGCAGGACACACACGCACACATGCACACACACATGCACACACACATGCACACAGAGCTGAGGGCTATTCATTTGCCCTGTGGAGACAGATAACTGTTTCACTTGCCTTTGCGCTGGAAAATGTTTTATTTGTAATTCAGCTCTCTCACAAAGAAGTAATTCTGTGTCTCCCCTTCAGTCTCTGTGGAGGATTTGGACCAAGTGGGAAGCAACTTGTTAAGTGGCCAACGTTGGCCGATGAAGTCCAAATATTTACTGGCTATTTATTTCAATTTAGCCACCACAGGATTGTGTGACACCGAGTAACTATTGGGTAACTACAAAAACTTGAATTCAATGTAATTCACTAATGAACTTTTAATGAACATTTCCTTGTTTATTAATGTAATCATGTTCACAAAGTCTTGATTGACAATTGTCATTTACTGCCATCTATCTTCAAATCTAAAATGATATATCCATCATTCTGAGAAAGTCTAATTTAATACCGCTTACAAACAAGATAATTACTTAATTTATGAATTTTCAATTAACTAAAATCTGAAATTAAGCCTTTCAACTGTGTATCAAAACTGTGTGTCAATACCGAGGCGAGTTCCTCAGAAAAAGTACTTCTTTTCTCAAAAGTGCTGCCAATTTTAAAAAGGTGTTCATTGTTATTTATTGGGTGCCTAGGATTTGAGATACCCCAAAAACACCCTGAAAAACAACTGAGCTGAATGTATTTCCATCTGTGGTGCTCACGGCAATGAAAAATGACATTTAAACAGCAACTCGTGTTTGCAGAACACAATGTCTGGGTCCCTCTGGATAATCCACAGACCTTACTGCAAACTGTTCTCAGTGTTTTGTAATGGGGTCATGCTGGAGGTGAATATCTCTGCATGGATAGATTCAACTAGGGCTAAGTGCAAAAATATATATATAATATATAAATAATATAAGTCTTTTGTAATTTGGATGAAACATCACTCTGTAACTCTATCACTGTGAGTGGACAGCCTCTGCTTCAAAACAGTGCGAGCATGATGACAGAAAAAAAAGTAGCTTGAGAAAAAAAAGATACAAACTAAGTAGGCTACACCTGTTATTCCAATGTGTTGCAAACATAATTAAGCAATTTAACATTCCATATATATAATGCTGTTTCTTTCCAAGTTGTAGTTTGTAGTTGTAGTGCATTAACTAAGGCTCACACCCAGTTTCTGCCTTCTCAGCAGACAAAAAGGTGATTAAAGATGTGTTTTTGCTATTTATAAATGCATTTCCTTCCACATGTTCTAAATTAAATGTAATTAAAAAGGAATTTGAAAGGATTCAGATTCAATGAACTCAAACTCTAACATATTTATAAGTGTATACATTCACATTTACACTTTAGTGAGTTGGTGTGACTTTAACCTGCACGAGGAGCTTCTCTCAACAGAAGTCCTTCATTATTAATAACCACAGCTGAGAGCCCTTACTGAGTGTGGACGAGATAAGTGAAATGTTCATGCTGGACCTACTGCAGTTGTGCAGGTTCAATGCTGGCCAATAACAGCCCGTTTAATCTCAAAAAACACAACGGCTTCTGTTTGACTTACAGCCTCTTTCTCTCGATCCATAATGGTCTCAAGCTCCTCGAAGTGCCTCAGCTTGATCTCCAGCTTCTTCATCTGGGTCTCCACCAGCAGAGCCACCAGGGACTTGATCTTCCTCTCTTCCACCGCCGCCAAGTGCTGAGGGGAGAAAGACAAATTATAAATGTCTAATCAATAACGGTTACATCACCAAGATATCATGAAGTTATTCTATGACTAGTATTTGATTGGATTTACTCTGATGAATCCCATTCTTTACATATGTCACAATACATAGAAGAGGACAGAACATTAGGAAGAGGAAGTTAAGAGATTTACAGGCAAGAAAAAGTTAAAGTTGTTGTCTTTCTGCATCTACTATGGCCAAAATACAATGTTCAAATAAAACTTAAAATAAAAACCAATACATTTGAACAAAGTTATCAAAATGACAACCCTTGAGAACAATGGGAAGATCAGACTTGCTAAAGTGTGCATTTGCTGTGTCAGCGCTCCTGCGGTCTCACCTTGGCCTTGGTGGCAGCAGATGCCAGGGCAGCAGCGGCCGCTGTGGCGATGTTACCCTCTTCGATGTCATGCTCCAGTTTCTTCCTCTTTTCCTCTCCCTCATCTGTAGCTGCCTTCTCCTCCTTCTCCTTCTCCTGCTCTGAGGCTGACGTTTCCATAGTTTCCTCCTTGTCTTTGTCTGACAGGGACGGAGACAGGGAAAATTCTAAGAAATGTTTCAACTCACTGAAGTTTGCAACTACAACATTTTTAGCAATCAGTGGTTGACCTCTGAAGGTGACTTCTTTATTAAGAGTAGAGCTGAAACAATTAGACTATTATTCAGTCGATCCACAGATTCACATTCCCTAGTTCCAGTGGGAGGATTTGCTGCTTTTCTGTGTCAAATGTTGTAATTAACTGAATATATCTGGGTTGCAGACACAATTTTACAGACCAAAGGGATAATCAATTAATTGAGAAAATAATCAGCAAACTCATCAGTAATGAAAATAATTTTATGCAGCCTTAATAAAGAACCAATATCTAATTAAATGTTCTATTTGAAGGCTTATGAACACTTGTGTGGGACATTATCTTATATCTTATCATGAATCTCAGCGTTACCTGCTGGAGCTGTCTTGGCCTCCCCTCCCTCTTCATTCTCCTCTTCACGCTCCGACGCTTCTGCTCCCTCCTTCTTCACCTTCTCTGTGGCCTCAGTCTTGTCGCTGCTCTTCTCTGCAGACTCGCTTGGCTTCTCTGCCTCGTCCTTCAACTCCGCCTGAAGGATGAGGACAACACACATACACACACACACACACATGATAAGTGGCCTGTGTCAGTGCCATGGGAAGTAAAAATAAGGTCTTTGTAAGTGTGCCTTCAGTTGCAAGCTGCATAAAAAACACATTTCTTTTTGGGCTGCCGGCTTGGTAAAACACAACTAAGAAAAAACTGTGTACACAAACGGACAAAAATGTTTCAAATGAGCTATAAACAGCATCAAACAACACCACCACCGCAACAACAACAACAACAACAGGTAAATGGGGCTGCTTGTAACCAGTCTTCATTTTCAGGGGCTGCTATTCAAAGTCTATTTGGCAAGTAATAGCTAGTAAATGCTGTGATGCTCAGGGCAAACGGAATAATGGGTCGTATCGTGACCCTCTCCACTTTTTGGGGACGATCACTGTGATTTGGAAGTGTCTGACACTGGTTAATGGATGCTAATGAGGAAGCCATCAACCAAGCTGCTCAACAGAGCGGGGGCCACTACATTAACCCGGTGGGTCTTTCCGAACCAAGAGACACCAAATGTAGACGAGTGGAAAGATTTACTTTAAACACTAAGTGGAGGAGAGGAAAAGTGTTCAAAATAGGATTAAAATACAGCAGTGAATATGAATGCACTGGCTGCCCAACATGCTGCCAGAAATACCCACTAGTGTATTAGTTTGCCACTAAAAATGGATATCCGAGTAATGTTTGCTACTAACTACAGCAGTAGTAGATTTTTTCTTTTTCTTTAAATAAACTCCATATTTAGACATTATGAAAAATATGAATTATCCCCATATTTAGCCATTCATTAGAAGATGTTTCCATTCTACGTGACATACACAAATGCAATCAAAATTTCTAAAAACACAGGTTTACCTCAACCTTAAGGCTACATGAAGATATACTGAAGGTGGTCTCACCTTATCGGCCTGCTGAGAGTCTGTGTCTGTGTCCATCTTTTCTGCCTCTGGGGTTTCTGTAATTGACAAGTGTAGTAGAGAAATTAGCATCATGTCACAGACTAAAACTGATCAAGATGGTTACAGAACTTGCATTGCAGCCTAAATGTTGACTGAAACTCTTCATCCCCAAATGAATCGTTTATGCTGCCAGAAACCAAGAATACAAGCAAGAAGCAGGGTGAGATTGTGTTCATGCATAATCAGACACAACAGAACAAATTCAATATGTTCAACACTTGTGCTACGACTAATAGAATGAGGCACCTGTGCACCATCAAAAACTAGTGTTAGAGGGAAGAAACCCAGGACAGGAAATTAAGGTCAAAAGCATTTAAAGTGAGCCGGCCAAGAGGGAAGGGTGTAAAGTGCATGTGGCATTTGCACATACTCACAAATGACCAAACACACACGTGACCGGGTGAATACATGTGTATGGTTGAGTGTTAAACCATGTCACGGGTGCACTTGAGCGTGTGTTAAGGGTCTGAATATTGATTGTGTGACGTGAGTGTTGGTAAAGTGCTTCAGGCAGGGCGAGGCACTGAACACATTTAAGCTTATCGATTGCAACTTAGGCTCTAGAGGGCATTAATTCAGGTATAACAAATGACTGGTAATGTGTATGTGTGTGTGTGTTTATGTGTGCTGGAGAGGATGAAGTGAGCAAAAGTGAAAGAGAAAATTTTCAAGAAAGCAAAGAGCAAAACGGAAAGAGATAAACATATGATAGAGTGATGACCCAGTTTTCTGCTCCCCCTCCTCCCACTCCCCTGCCCCATCTGCCACCGTTGTTTTAATCCACTGGTTACTACAGTTGTACACACACACCAATATTTCTGTAGCGCTCACCCCCTGCTGGTAAAAACGTGTGTATCGTCTTCAAAAGTCAAGCCAGACTGATCATCTCTGTCTGATATTCAGATGAAGACCATCTTTTCTTATTCAAAGACAAGGATGTGAATACAGGACAAAGAGACCAGGCTGTCCACTCCCCCATTAGCTTCAACATATGCTCTCACATACAGACACACAGAGCAGTAATCTGCACCACATATGCCCCTCTGCCCAATAGCTCTAGCAATAGCACTTATACAGCTGCTATCTGCTGCCCTCTGGTGGCTGTAGAAGTCACAAGACACAAAAACTACCAAACCACCTGTGAGTAGGATCCACTTTTACAGGTTATAAAACACAACACTTAAATCAACATTTCTCCTAGTTTTACACACTTGTTTTTTTCTCCCGTCTGATCAGGAGACCACAACCAGCTCCTGTTTCTACCCCCTCATCGTAAGTTACTCACCAGTCTTTTCTGGCTCCTCTGGGGCAGTGCCTGCAATGCCGCTGCTCTCCAGGCCGAAGGCTGGGTCCACCTTTCCTGTGCTCCTGGCCGCCTCCTGCACCTTCTTTACATGAGCCTCCACCAACTCAGCCGGCACCTCCTCGCGCACACGGGAGAACTCCTCTGCAGACAGACAGGAAATGTATTAATTTACAATTCCAAACTGACGTGACTTCACATTAATTGTATTAAATTAAATAAATTCATAACGAACAAACTGGACAATACTGACATGTTTGCATGACCGAAATATGTAATCTTACTTTTGTACAGCCTCTTTTTAATATTGTATTGAAATTTACAGTTATTTATTAATTTATTACAATTCCTCATATAATTTTATTGACAGAATTCAGATTTCAAAAGAAATTATCTTCATTCATTCACATCTCACCTAGTGCTGCTCTGGCAGCAGCAGACGCCACCCTGGGGTCGACCACAGAGGCCAGGAAGGCTACTGTGCTCATGACAGGGTTTCCAGACTGGCTGAAAGGTATGGGCTGGTAGGCCAGAGGGCCCAGGGAGGCCTCAGTGCTCTCCAGGTACGGATCTTCAATGGGCAGCCGCAGGAAGTGCAGGATACACTCGTCCTGGGTGCGTGAACCGACGTGCTCAGACACTTTGTTCCAGTCATCTTTGAACATTTCCAGAGCCTGGAAGAGGTGAATATACAAGTCTTAGTCATAATATATTGTGTGCAATCTTCATAGAGATATGTAGGTTCATTAAAGCAACCGTGTCGAGGAGTGGGAGGAAAGAAGTAGAGATTAAAGGGTCATAAAGCAGAAAAGGATGAGCTGAAGGGAGAGTGTAGGAGGGTTGTGTACAGTGAAAACGAGGGTAATTCAAAAAAGGAAGGACAGAAAAGAAAAAGTTGAGTTTCTGAAAGTTTTATAAAGCCAGGAAGGATGAAGCAACTGTTGATTTAGAGTTAAAAGAGGGAGCAATAAGGGGGACAAGTAGGGAAGAGAGAGATGGGCATAAACAATCCAGAGTATTTTAACAGGTTTCTTTCCTCTCTAATGTCCTGTGAGACTCACCTCCAGCAGCAGTAGAGTCTCCTGCTCAGTCCATTCCCTGGTGGAGGTGACTGCTTTACCCTGTAGGGAACCAAAACCAATCACATTAAGAAATTTAAGCAATAGGAAAAATGTATTAGAGTATGGTTTCCATTTTTGCCAGTAGCTTTCAATATGAAAAGTGAAAAAAAAAAAAAAAATATATATATATATATATATATATATATATATATATTTCTATTTTTATATATATATATATATATATTTTTGGGGGGCTATTTTAAATGTCTATTGCTGTCGACCCTTTCAGAATAAAATCTAATTAGGAAAACATTACAGGTTGTTCAGTGAGCTGTGTGCTGACCTTGGGGTTTTTCTTGTTGTAGAGGTCGGTGCGAATGCCGAAGTTCTGCAAGTCGATCTTGTCTTTGCATTTGTCAGCGAAGTTGGGCATTTGCTGTGGAGGGGGAATCTAGAGGGATGAAACAACACATGTTCAATAATGTTTGCAGGAACTTAAACAAGTACTATGCAAAGACCTTCAGTCTATCAGTCTGTGTGTTTTGCAAACAAAGCCTACTATGTAAACAGTAGAAAATTATGGAATCCTGAGAGAACAAGATGCTGTGTCACAGTGCAGCTTTCAATTTTGTTTCTCATTTCCCTTTCTCAGTTTTACAAACTCCCTACATCCATCCATCACTCCCTCAGTCTTACCGGTGGGGGTCTGTGGTTCAGTGGCATGAGGCCAGATGGTGTGTCAGCCAGCACAGTGAAGTGGGGTGTGGGTGGGGGGCCCATGGGCAATGGGCGGCTATCAGCGTCGACCTGGTAGTTCACCAAACCCCACTGCTCCAAGAACGCATGAACTCTAGAGACAGACAGCAATGACATTTAGTAGGCTTTTATTTTCTTATCTTTGCAGCATTTTTCTGGTTTATTTCAATGGATTAATTTTAAAAAGTAAAAGTTTGTAGTCTGTAGTCACATTTCTCTGATTACTTGTGCAGTTTTTCCACTATGCGATTTACCAGTAACTGTCACATTATCCTAACTAATACAGTCAGTTATCTAGTGTTTATCTGTGCCACACTCTGTTTTAGGGATAATAAGTAACAGATAACAAAGCCATCCAAGCTACGGGTTGGGTTATACTTGGTCAGAACCAGTTGGTAAGATGTGCTGTCTGAACATGTGGGAAATCAAGTGTTTATAGGCGCCCCGAATGGCCACAGGTGGAGCGAAAAGCCAGTGGTCAGAAAGGGGATGAAGGGATGTGATATTGCTCAAATACAGCACATATTTTCAGACATTTTTCTCTCCTGGAAGACATTCATAGTTTAGCACTCGCTTGCTCACATGAAAAGTGAGAGAAATAGTTGTATCAAGAATAAAAAAGGGAAAGTGAGAGAGAAGTTCACACCCTGGCTCTTTTCTCACCTCTGCACCAGCGGCCAACCACAGCGTGAAGTGGGTGTAAATGTTGGATGCCCAGTTTCGCAAAGTTACAGAAGACATTCAACCATCTAACAAGAGCTTCTGATGGGGTGTAACAGGCCCCCTAAGGAATGCGTACACTCTGGCATGGCTTCTGTGATACTGTGACTAAAATTACATTCCCATTGGATCCAAAACTTTGTTTATTAGGGGTTTTCACACTCCATTAGCACACTGGGTATGTAAGTGTATAGTAATGACATGGAAATCAGATTCCCGTCTCCTCATTGCTGGATGAACAATTGAATACCAATTAAAAAAAGATTACATACACAGTCAGAAAGAGAAACAACACATCTGTAGAGATTTGGCAGCCTTGTTTTAACTATGTGGGACACATTTCAGTTTGTATGTGGGTGGAACAGAGAGGGAATTTGGAGCCGAGTATGCACTTTAGACAATTATTAGATTTTTTAAAAACTGCATGCCCTCATGGGCTTTGGCTCACCTCATGATGGCACAGACATCCCCGGTCAAGTTCCTGCGACAGGAGGTGGAGGTGAGGTACTCCTGAGGGTTTAGCCGATACGTGTCGATCATGAAATTACGGTAGGCCAGGTATCTGTTAAAGAGTCGAGAAGAACCACAAAAGAGATTAGCATACCAGGAAACATATCACTTTGGGTCTGCAGGAAGACATCGTACAAGAATTACATGACATGACGGTGGTTTAATGGAATTTGGAACTGTGCGTGTGTGTATGTAGGCTCACATCTCAGGAGTTTTGGACTTGTTCTTGCCGTTGAAGAACTCAGGCAGGGCTCTTCTCTCAATCTCATGGATACTAGCAGGAAAGAAAAAAGTCTCTGTTTTAGCATCAATTCATTTCAAGTATGGAAAAATGACTGTAGCTCCTTGTTATCTGCTATATTACAACCCGCTTAACTTAACAAAAATGTTTAACTATCTGAAACCTCATATTTAAAAAAAAAAAAAAAGTTCAAGCCTCGGTACTCAGCTTTATAGAATTTATGACAGAGACATTAAGTTCTCATTAAATTATACTGCAAAACAAAAACACCATTCATGCTGTAGTAAAGCGTTAATACTCATTTCCCGGCACTTACCAGTTGTAGTCAAACCAAGCGCCGTAGCTGGGGATGATGATGTGGTGAGTCTGCTCGGTGACATTGTCCTCGCCAGAATCTATCAGGCGGTTGATTTCAGCCTTGCCCTGTTCCTCGTCATCCTGCAGAAGGACATAAAGAGTCACACGGATCAGCGGGATAATGACAGACAAGCACAGTGTTGGGAGGCACCAAGTGAAGCCAATAAACGACTTCCTGAAAGTTTCTCATCATCAAGAATGTGTTTGCCTGGAAGGACAAAAGCTGATCTTGCAGTAATATTTGGAAATATTTTCACATTGTATTATGCAGGCCTAGGGTGTTGAAGATTAAGGGGTTTGAGGAAAGACCAAGAGAGACTAAAGGAGGATTTGTTAATTAACGAAAAGGACAAAAAAATTAATTGGCCGCCATTTCTATGAGCAATCAATCATTTTTTAAAAACTAATAAGACACTCACAAAAGAAGTCTGAAGTGCATATTCCTAAAAGAGAAATCAGGCATATGGGCAAAATGAAAGATGTCTCTCTTTCAAGATTATATATATTTTTTTACAATATAAAATAAAACAATTATTTAGATATTTTGGGATACACTTTGTGGGATTACTGATTGTTTTTGTTATTCTTTTGATCCTTCTGACACAAAAATATATTGTATTTTGATCATGTATTGTAACAAATGTCTTCAAATACATCTTTTGTGAGCTAAAAATCCCGTGTGTGGAAACCAATTCTTACCTTTCCACCAGACAGCACAGAGTCATCCTCCATGTCATCTGGAAAAAATTAAACAGATTTTAGTTGAGATACACCACACTGGCTGATACCTGTATTTTAAAATGCATTATTCTTCAGATACAGCCTAACAGATTAATTCAGGTACTAACCCAAGTCAGCCACATTTCCTCCTTTCATTGGAGTATTTTCACTGTCTTTCTTTGAATTTGCTGTGTATGGAAGAAAAGAGAAAGAAATGAAAAAAGGAGGAAAGCTAAAAGGGAGGCGGGGGGGATCAAAGACTAATTCAGCCGTGGGCATGGAGGCATTAACCAGACTCTGGTTTGCAAAAGAGGACACTAAAATAGAAATAGAGTGCGAAGGAGATTGTGTATATTGGGGGATTTTTGTAAAAAGTGGGACATCCCAGATGGGACTTGGTCTAAAAAGAGCATTTTAGTAAGGATTGTGTGTTTGGTTTTAAAGGGAATCTTTAAAGGGGAATACAAATCCAGCCTTCCTCGTCTCTGATTGTTAATAACACATCCTCAGGTGGTTTTCCTACTTTTCTGACTGGGACATGGTATGTGTGTCTGTGAGAGAGACATAGTATTGTTCTTGAGCTGAGTGGATTTTCTTGACCTTCTTATAGGGCACAATACCCACACAGGGAATAAGGGAAATAAATTATATTAATTAAATGGATCTCATCTAATGTGCAGTTATGTACCTGGCAAAATGACTTTATTCTGAGGAATGCCTGTTTTCTGCACTTTTGATTGCATTTCTTAACTTTCTTTTATATTTTCTAGAAACAATTTATTATTAGTAACCATTAACCACCAGCAACCACATCATCACCTCTGATCAAATTCAGGCTGCTACCTCAAACTGATTATTTAGAGCAACACACAGGAGCATCCAGCCTAGCCCCACCCTCGGCACATACCATTCTTGGACATGCTGCCCTCCTCCATGCTGGCACCAGCTGAGGAGTCGTCCATGTCCTTGGTCATGTCCTCCTCTGTGTCCTCCTCTTCGCCCCTGTGGCCCCGTCGCTTCCAGTGAGGCCCCGGGTTCCTGACACAAAAGACAATCACAAAGTCAGTTAAAAGATAAACATATCCACAAGATGAAGCATATACAGCAATTTCAGACAGCTTCCCCAAACAATGTCTTCTGTTGTTTTGCAGAGCATTAAGCCATCAGCAGGTATGACTGAAAGTCAGTGTGTGTTATTTTCTGTGGTGACGTTCTAATGGATAAGTGTGGTGATATTCTAAATTTTTGTCCTATAAAAATCTCAAAACCAACAATAAAAATCCAAAAACTATTAAAAAACACATAAACAAGTCACATCAATGCTTTTAGTAACATGTTTCTTCTTTACCATGAACATGGCAACTGTATCATTTGAGTCGATCCCACCAACTCTGTCCTGCTCCTGTAAATACTCACTCGAGCACCAGATTAATCCACTACTTAAAATAGTTCATACCAAATGCATCATTTACTTCACTTTGACTAACATTTGCTGAGAACTAAAGTACAGTATATACTCATGCCCTTGTTCTGTAAGACCAATGTGCTTGGGGCTGAGTCTCACAGATCGGGTAGGACCTTGGGAAAACAAGCAACACATTTTTGGTTTTGGTCTTTTAATGGGATTTATTAACAATAGGAAAAATATAAAATAACAAGCAGCACCATTTCCAAGCCCACCTGCACAACTCTGCAACATTTTTTTCAATCTTTCTGTTTTGTTTGGATTTATTTGCTGCACCGCTGGCTAGAAAAATAAATATTAAAAAGAATTCTTACCCCTTCTTTCCTCCCTTCTTGCGGGATTCAGCAGGAGTACTGGGTGGCGAGGGCGAGCGCCTCCTCTTCTTGCCAGCAGAGTTGGCCTTGCGCTCCTTGCGATCGGGGGTACGGGAAGACTGATCAGACAAACCCCGTGCAGCGCAGGGAGCGAGGGATGGAGGATGAGAGAAAGAGCAGCAGAATGAGAGGATGGAACGGTTGCACACACAAGGAGGGGAAGCGGTGGGAGAACGACTGCGGGGAGGGGGGAGGATGCCGTGGTGGTGGAGGAGACGACCAGGGTTCCTGTATACTGTCCTTGCTCAAAATAGCTTCTCTTTCACCTCTCTTTCGAACCTTCACTTCTTGATTTGAGCACTGCGGTGAAAGATTTATCAGCCATATATTATCTTTGGCAGACAAATCACCACCTAACTTTTGTTGTTTTATTGTCTTTGTTTGCATACAATCATTTCTGGTTGGGTTTTTTGGCTAATGTGTCCTCTGAGAACCAAATTAAGTAAAACAACACCTCTCAATCAAACAGGTTGCTGATTAACTGCTTAGTCTACTAGTATACAAGTGGCTGTGGTAAACCCTTTACATGACCAGTTAGCTAAATGGCATGAGGCTGTCTGAATAGGCAAGACAAAAATATATGGTGTTATAGAGGGAATTATTCAACTAAATGTCCAATCCCTTACTGAATCATTTGCATGGCATCTAGATTCAATCATGTAAAATGTTTTGGCCTGTGAAGTAAGTAATGTGTGGTTAGTAAACCTATTTTAGAAATTGTTTAAAATAATTTTCCAAACATGGACAGAAACCCTGAAATACATTAAAAAAGGAGACAAAGAGTGAGGAAAGGTTTGGAAAGGATGCGCAACAAACAGACAGAAGCCAGATAGACGAAGGAGGACGACAACGCACAAACCACAGGCCGTAGGCACATGCAACAAAACAAACTGGCAGCAGAAACATACACTTATACACAAACCGGCATTCAGGCATGTCAGTATTTCACCAGTTTTACATTTATATTAGTTATGAACAGCCAATTTGAACATTCAGTGTCTTTTGTTGGTTAGTTATAACAAATATGGGAGAGAATGCTGACATAAAATATCAACAGCAGTGGCTTCTAGCTCTGCTGATGATCTAGGGCTATAAAACCTTTCAGACCCAGGACTGTCTGAGAACGAAAAATCTTTGGGACTGACAAACACGCGCAATACAAATATCTACCTCCTCCTCCTTGGGGAAGATCCTCTGGCGGAAGCTAACCGGCTTCTTGTTCTCATCCACCTCATAGTCTTCTTCATTCATCCACTCATTGAAGGCATCAGTGTCTAAAACCCACTTGGCGTGGACCTGAGGGGGAGAGGGAAGGAGACAGAGGTTGAGGCAAGCTGTTCACCTCGATTGAGTCTCAGTGGGCTGGTCTGTCCTACTAGAATCTAATCATCCCTTTTAAACCGCTGCCCTCATTTTCCTCCGCCATTTCCCAATAGAATGGACTCAGGGTAGCATGTTAAAACCAGAATATGAGTGGGTACAATACCTTAAGAGTTAGGAATTACTTTCTTTTATCAAACATGAACTGTACTTTTTATGGTTCTTTTTGAAATGTCATAGCACACAACCACAGCATCACCTGAAAAGTGTTAAGTGCTGCTGGACACGTTGAATACGTTTTATCAGTAGCCACAACCAATGCTCCTTGAATGCTTCTCTCCCAAAACTACATGAATAAATAAAACTGATGGCCTCACTTGACATTGGACGCTTTTTTCCATTTTGAATTAAAGATGCTGAAAAGTTCCTTCTCTGCGTGTACTCATTGCTCACCTTCCATGGCCTGTCAGTGCTGGGTGGGTCCTCCACATCCCCATCCACCTCGCTGGCTGATACCCATGTATCATAGCTAACAGAGTATAAAACAGCATTGGGTCAGTGACAATAACAACATCGATGAGCTGGCATGCAGAAGGATAATTTATTTTAAAAAATGTGAATGGTTTAAGTTTTTTAAAAAAAAGGGGTTTGGATATAAAAAAAAACACAATTTACACCACAATTATTCTACAGCACTGACTAACAGAACCTCATTATAGTCTTGTTCTTAGTTTCTTACAGAGATTCTGATTTAGTTCACTTGTACGTTTGAGTGAAATGTAAATATATAATTTATTTGTTGCTGTTTTATTTAAAAAAAAAAATGGAATTGACAGAAATCTGTGAGTGTTAAGGGATTGTGTTTGTGAACCTGCTCTCTGCTCACCTGTCTGGGGAGAGACCCCAGTGCACCAGCACCTGCTTGTCTTTCCTCATGACAGGACGAAGCCACTCATCTATAAACACACACAAACCAGACATATACAGATCACACATTAACCAACAGAATATGCGAGATACTGAGCATTACATACACATATTTACTATTACAAAATTTGGCATAATCATAGGAAATGTACTGTATCCTCTTAATGCATTTTTATTTTCTAAAATTACTCATTTGCCCCCTGTTATACGTGGTTGGTTTTGCTTTTAGGAAAATTCTGCGTTGTATACCTTTAAAAACTGACCTTATCTTTAAAGAAACAGACAATTCTACCCTACCTTCTTCTTGCTGGGATGGAGACGGGTATATGTGGTGGGTGGCCTTTGACTTATCGTCAGTAATGGTGCCCTGGAGAAAACAAATAGAACAGAGACAAATACAATCAGAGTTTGCAACTAGTAAGAACCCTCCTCTACTTTCCTATATTAATTGGCTAGTTTGACATAGTACGTCTGGGCTCACCTGGTGTCTTTTGATGATGTCTTTGAGCTTACTGGCTTGTTTCTGCTCGATGTCCGGCGACAGGAAGACAGTGGGCCGAGTCAGGCAGTTATTCTAGAAGTCAAGAAACATTAAGTTAGAAGCAGAAACAATAGTTTCATTCATGTATCCATGATGTTTGGTGTGGTTAAAATTTCATAGAAGTTACAAAAAACATTAATAATGGAATTTACTTAAATAAACAGATGAAGAACATCTACAGACTGCAGCAGATATCCTAACTGGGAACACTGAGCTGTTAATCAATAGCAACTTATGTGTGGTCGTACCTGGACCAAGTTCTTCTCCACATTTAGGAACATTTCCACGTTCCTGTCCATCCGGGAAGGATTCTGCAGGTCAAATCTGCGCCTGGGAGGAAGAACAATAACATATACAATGAGCTGTAGTTGAAGCCAAACTTCTAAATAATGCACCATTTAACTGCTTAAGATGAAACAAATATTGCTGCAGAGTTTTGGTAACAGTGAAAACGAGAGAGTGAAAGTGTAAAAGCAAGAATGAGGGGCTTCTTGACCGTGACAAAGTAAACTGGTTTACATGTCAAGACTATGTGTGGCTTAACATTTGGGTCAACACCAGTCTTTCTATGGAAGTTAGCACAAGTGAACTCACCACCCCTGCTCGCTCTTAAACTTGTAGACCGACCCCAAGATGTGACAGAGCGCACCTGCTGCCTTGAAATCCAGGAAACACTTGGCCTGAATATAGAATGACACAGAGGATGTGGTATCATAGCACTCTTCACACGTTTGAACAGAAATACAAAATATGTTTTTGTTGTGCTTACAGGTAGCTTGGTAAGAGCAGGATTGTTGACCCTGCGTCCAAATGCGTCCTCCTGGAACTGCAGCAACTGGACCACCAGACCTGCCAAGGATTTACTGGAGGGGGAGTCATTCTGGACATACTGGGACCAGACAGATAAAAAAACATTCATTAATACACACCTGTGAAACTGATACACACACACACACACACAGAGCTGGAGCTGCACACAAAACACATTTCACTGCATGAACATGTTACTTTTTTTGATTAGTCAATTAACTAATTGGTCAACGGTCAGGGTCTCCCTTGGAGGACATTTCATAGAGGATTATAATTGCAGTTAAGTGTCCTTCCATCTACCAAATCTCAGGTATTCACAGCCCTTCTTTTCCTGGCCACAAATGCTCGGGCATAAAGCTACAGTGTCTGCCAACGGAAAAATAGGACAAGCCAAACTAAAAAGGGGAAACACTCACACAAGACCTGGTCTATTTATACCGAGGACAATGTCAAGGAGACCCACTTCAAGCCCAACACGCCAACTTGGGGCTGTTTTAGGTGCAGTGGCTGAACGTAAACAAACTCGAGCCAAAGATGTGGGTCAGCCTTTGTGCAGAAGCAGAGTTTACATGTTTAACTTCAGGCGTGTTCAAAACGTGGTTTAGTATCCAAAACCAACATCCACAAATCCTCATCTAGGTTTTATTTTATTCAATCATGGCGTTATAGCTTTAACATAACCGGCTAAAGCGAGACACAGGGTTTGAATGGAGGCGTGAAGAGACAGGAGGACCCACTCTTTGTTTGGATAACTTAGTGGGCGAGAGGAAGCTGTGTGCACGCAAAACACACACACACACACACACACACACACACACACACACACACACACACACACACAATGACCTGATGTTTATCCTTCTAGCAGAAAGTAATTTTAAGCGGGAATAAAAGTACGGTAAGGTTTCCCGTGACTTACTAACGGTTAGCTCCTCGGGCCTGATAATTTAATTCAACTGGAGGTTTTATGAATTAAGAAAAACTTACAAACATGAAATGAAGAGCTAACCTCACGTACAGCCGCTGCAACATCCATCTGCCTCTCATTTGTAAACATTTCACCCCCACCCCACCACCACCCACCGACCCGGAGCGTGTTTCCCAGTAACGGCACCGACTGGCCCCCAGTTAGCTAACGGGGAGCTACAGAGCTAACCACGGCAGCTAGTTGATCACCAGCTTCGCTTTAAGCCAAACTATCCCTTTCCGTAGCACGTAAACACGAGTACATAGCCACTAGCTGCGTATTACAAAGCAACCGCCTTTACAACCACCTCCACTGTAGCAGCAGTTCGCTTTGTGTGACGGCGGCTGGCTAGGATAGCAGTGCTCCATTGTGCCAGCGGGCCGTCATTGAAATCAATGGGGAACCAGCGCAGCTAGCTCACCTTCTTGTAGTGCTTCCCGATCCACAGCCGCACCGTCTCGAACTGGGATATCGTCTCTGAGCTCTCCCAGAATTTTGTGGACGGACCGCCGTCCTTCTTTCGTCCCACCGCGGTCCCGCTGCCGGCCGGGCCGGTGGCCGGTCCGCCGGAGCCCGTCCCGCCTGCCGTTGTCGCCGCCGTCGCCATTGTGTGTTCAGTTCGCTGCGTTGTCTTTCTCCACGGCGTCGCTCACCGTGCAGGTTTTCGAATGATATTGCGCAGCCGCAGACGCGTTGACACTTTTCAAGTCTCGCGAGTCTCGATGTGAAAAGGGCTCATGGGAAATGAAGTCATATAAGGACTTTTTTACTTTGTAGTTCCCAAGTTCTGCATGACTTATTTTATCTATATTTTATATTTTATTAAATGTAGAACAACTGATAAACTGTACAATGAACTAACACCATGAACACAATAACTGAGCAGATTATTTCCTGTGAATAAAACTGTTGTTGGTTTTTTTCTGATATTTTAAGGAACTTTTTATACAACCTTTTATTCTCTGTCTGTATTGTCAGATGTTATCAGAGAGTGAAGGCTCTGTGAAAATAGATTGTGTTCAGATCTTCAAAGGTTAGGTTTTAAATAATAATCTAAACTTTTTTAAATAATAATATCACGTAGTTTTCTTCACAGAAATGAACAAAATGTGTATCTATAGGCCTACTGTGCATATTTGTACTTCTGCACAGCTTTCTCTTGCTCTTCTTATCTTTATCTATTTATTTTTTGAAAGTACTTTATTTTTCTGTGTGATTTTTGTGTGATTTAAATAATTGTATATTTGTATTTGTAATTGTATATGTATATATTTTTATGCACCAACTGCACCAGGTCACATTCCTCGTAGGCGTAAAAACCTACTTGGCAATAAACAAAATTCTGATTCTGATTCTGATTCTGATTTGTATAAGTTCTCTCACACCCCTTTAAATCAAAAGTGCCTTGTGACCCCCCCTGAGAAGCTTTGGCGACCTCTAGTGGGGGTCCTGACCCCCAGGTTGGGAACCACTGCATTAGGCTATACTATATGTTCTTTACAAGACTTATAAAAATGCATTGTCTCTCCTCAAAAGTTATGAAGACCTCTCCAGGACCCCTTTCCTTTTATTTATTTAGTTCTGAGTTATTTATTTATATAGTTTGTTTATTTTACTTTATTATTTCTCTCTAATCTTATATGCCTTAATGTTTGTAAATTTGTTGTGATAAAAAATACTTTATTTTAAATATTCTAATCCTTTACCCGCATTTTAGCACATACAAATCATACAAATTAATTAATAATTAATTAATAATCCAGTATTAGTGTGATTGTTGTGCTTACTAACACATTGAAGTCTATTAATGCCCATTCAGTCCCATTGTATTCATAAAACAGCACCTGTATAATAAACATGTATTATGTATTTATAGTTTTTTTGATAGGCAGATATTCAGTAAACATAGACAGACTGATGTAAGTATCACACATGTTTAATTTGCAACTTCTTACATTTTAAAACTATACTTGAGTACAGGTTTGTTGCTGAATTAACGAGTTCCAGGACTTTGCTCCCGTCACAATAAAAGCTGTCTGAGCAAAAGATGTTTTACAGAATGGAACTTCTTATTCTACTGTAGTCTCTTGATGTATTTGCAGAGATGCTAATGAGCAAGTCCATTTAAACATTTAAAAACAAGCGTTATCATAACGTAAATCAATACAATTTGCCAAAGCTTAAGATGACGTAAAATGCGGCAATGATGGTACCTTACTTGGTTTTTGTCCAAGATTTTCAAGGCCTGATTGTAAAGACACTCTTTAATTACACTGGACAGACAGTAGCAGTAGTAGTAGTTAAGTCTTAATACTTAACTTCTGTTACTTACCCAATTAACAGGGATGAAGTATTTAGGGATTTAGGGATTCTTTTGCAGGCAGCTTTGTTAGACATTGTTTTATAGATTAGCGTTTCAGCAACAGCCTCAGAGATTTTGCCACATACATGTACGACTGTGTAGTCAGCCAGTAGACATAAAGGTTAATCATATTTTAATCTTTGCATGATTATATTTATCCAAAACTCATGTCAGTCATCATCAATGCAAACAGAAATCAAACACATTTTCAATGCATCTATAGTTTTATTATGGACCTGTTTTCTCTTTGTCTTCACGTGGGTTCACATTTTATTGTTTGTTTTTGCTTTCAGCATCAATAATACAGTCCCGAGAATGCAAAGTGCACACATTATCTAATCAAACCTGGAAGTTTTGTCTTATACGATCCACCTGGCAGCGTATGAGCAATATTGTTATTCTCTAATTTTACTGCTTTATCCTTGTGTTTATCTGACCAGGAAGTTAAACCGTATTTTTTTTTTGGGGGGTAGACTGTAAACAGTAAGTACATTTTTTCAGAAGAACAGTTAGCCTACAAAAAAAAACCTTTATTGATCCCCAGTTGAGAAAAAAAAAAAACACAAGCCAGCCTATTAAAAGAAATAAGTTACAAGAATAAAATAATGTTTTTTACTGTTTGTGTCGCTATGTGAGAGTGCTGCTTTGTTTAGTGGTGATGTTTGGTTTTCGTGCTGTATGTTTGTTCACCTGTATGACTCGAATACACTGTTGCACAACTGTCCGCAGGTTATCTGAAACCAGACTCTTCCTGGCAGGAGAGAGTTTGTGCCTCTGTCCATCTGAGGCCAGGAGGGATGAGGTTTACACCATCTCCTCTTCTCTGAAGTGGGCTGTCAACATCATAAAAACCACACCGAGACATTTCATCATGAGGCAATACAAAAAGTTTAGGTTATCGAGAGAGGGGATGCTTCAGTTCTATCAGGCTGTGCAGATCTGATAGTAAGGGGAATGCTGTTCCACTAGGGGGCTGCAACAGAAAAGGTGCAATAACGCCTGAGCTTAAGTTTAGAAGGCAGTGTGAACAAGCCATAATGAATCCAAGTATACAGTGAGTTGCAAAGCCCAGGATAAGAAAACCAACCACCCAACGAAGCCTCTAGGCAGTTCACGACTGCCTAGAGTGGACTGGTTGCGTGGTGTCAGGGAGAGATAAAGCTGGGTGATGCCCCATAACAGTGGGAGGACATTTTTAAATTTTTTTTATGAATTGGCCAAGGGGAAGCATGTACATGGAGAAAACAAAGGGACCTAGGATCGAACCCTGTGGGACACCTTGGGAGAGTGTAGCTGGCGAGACAGGTAAAATCGTTGACAGAAAAGCTTATATTTTTGAGGTAGGATGTGAACCTGTTCAAAGCAAAGCCATCAACACCAACCCCTTACTGGAGACGGTCTATTAAAACGTCCTGATCCACTGTATCGAACGCTGAGGTCAAGAAGGATCAGGAAGGTGCAGTCTCCAGAGGCGACAGAGAAGATCAGGGCGTTTTTGGACATACAGCATTGCACTGCATCCAAGCACTGGATACTAGTAGTCATATTCACGAACAAAAGGCTTCACCCTCCTATAATCGTTCAAACACTTTCCGTCCCGCACCTGACTGGATGAATGATAAGCAATGTGGGGGCTAAGTTCAGTTTTTACAGGAGAGTCTGAACCACCACGTGCTTGAAGGAGGTTGGAATGGTACCAGAGGCCAGGGAGCTGTAATAGAGAGGATGCTGGGACCGGCAAAAACATGCTTCAGGTGTCGGTGGGGCCTTATCTATTTTCAAGGAAAATAACAAAGACATTTGCAGTAAATCATCAATAAACAACAGCACATGCCCTGATAAGATGTGCACATAAATATCCCTCTGTGGTCCACATTAAATCATATTCAGCAACATATAGCATCAACTGCAGCTCTTCATCTTCTACTGAGTTCATCTTGCAAATCAAGGTATGTGAGTAGTCATGCTTTTGAATGCACAGTTTGGATGTTACATTTTAGTCTGCTTACTGTGCACAGTTAAGGCTTCACATAATGTATTAAGTGTTTTTATTTGCCACCAGTGATTCATCTTTTAACAGTTATTTTATTGTGTGGACTATGTAATATGTAATATGTAATATATATAATGATATGTAACTTCTGGAATAAAGATAGTTGTAAATCTTGGATACATTTCATATTGGAATAATAATGTAACAATGTTTAGTGTAATTCTGTTATTCAGTCTCTTTTCTGTCTCAACCAGAACAATGAAACGCAGTACAGTTCTGCTTTTGCAAATCCTCCTTGGGACGTGCTCAGCTTACACCTATCGTAAGTACACATCTGTGATTTCTTTGCTACAAAACACTTGAATCGACTTTATTGTTACATACAAAATCATACACATATAGTACAATGTATAACGTACAACGTGCGGTGAAATTTGTCCTCTGCATTTAACCCATCCCAAGGAGCAGTGGGAAGCCAGTGCACATTGCCTTGGTCGAGGGCACTGAGTGGGGAATTAGCCAGAAAGTGTACAGGCCTCAGTGTTTTGCCATATCAACTTAAAGGTTATATATATGAGATTTAAAACATTAATAACGCAACAAGCATTTACTTGCTGTGTAAAGATATAGTGGAGCATAGGCCATGCGTAGGTTAGTACATGCAGTTCTGTCATGTTAGTCTCTCCGTTTCCAACTACTAAAACTGCTGTTTTTCTCATCGATGGGACTGAATGAAGGATTTATTTTGACCAAACCAGAGTTGGTGATTGTTGGAACAGTGGAAAGACTAGCAAACACTTTGAATTTGAAGTTACAATGTTATGATGATATGTGAAATAAAATGTTTTGTCTTTGGAGTCTGGTGGCGAGTAATTTCCATAAGGTTGTCATACATTTAGAATAACAATCAGCGGCAAAAAACATTTTAGACGTACTTCGGCGGGTCATTTGTCCCCAAGGATTAGCTTACATTACATAACAGCCTATTTCGCAAAACATTGCACACTAAACTGTTTAATTAAGGGTTTATTTTGACCAAACCAGTGCTGGTGATTGTTGGAAAGACTGTGGTAAGACTAACAAAGTAGATTTGGTGAGTTTGTTTCTTTCCATTTTGTTTTACGATTATCTGCGAGGTAAAATTATTGGTTTTGTCTAGTGTCTGGTGGGTTGTTGAGCCCATTTGTTTTGGTCTGACATGCTGTGCTCTAGTGTGACATCTAGCAGTTGTGAATTTCATATATATAACCTTCAAAATGTGATGATATGTTGTTCGCAAATTGTTTCTGCTGCCCCCAAATTTTTTTTCTGTTATAAATTTCAATGTATATTTCATCTGTTTCATTCATAGAAAATGTAGCCTTGCGTGGAAAAGCGACCCAGTCAGACCGCTATTCAAACATATTTGGATCTGCCTACAACGCTATTGATGGAAACCGTGACTCTAACTACGATGCTGGATCATGCACCCACACTGATGGTCAGACCAACCCCTGGTGGAGAGTGGACCTGCTGGAACCCTACATCGTCACCTCCGTCATCATCACCAACAGAGGAGACTGCTGTCCAGAGAGGCTTAACGGGGCAGAGATTCACATCGGCAACTCTTTACAAGACAATGGTGCCTCAAATCCAGTGTAAGTGAATGTCATGACTTATATTATATATACTTTATTAAATATAAGGTTTCACCCAGGAGATTGTTTAGGAGACGTAAGCCATCCAAATGGTGATGCAGCTCATCTTAGGAGCCGAACAGAACACATCTGCTGTGTGTGTTTCCGGCATGTTAATGTTGTATTTAATTTACTGTATTAGTTTTTTATTTTAGCAAATGTGTTCACTATTTCAGATGATGTGGCGCACCTTCAGGAAGTCTAATTTTTTTTTGTACTGAGTATTGTGCTCATTTACTGTATTGCTTCATCTTGCTTAATATTCACAATCCCCTGTTCAATTGAAAGGCACCATTGAAAGGGAGTAGGGAGGAAAGGTTGTTGTTCATTTACATTCCCTCATCATGCACAAAGAATCCAACCTGTTCATTTTAAGTTTATATGGCCACTGAGAATGATCAATTCTGACTGACAGAAAGTGTAACCGGTCACCTCTGATACAGATGGTTTATATGCGCCTGATCAAACCAAGTTCCAAAATAAGTCATAATTTTAGTTTAGTTTAGTTAGTTTAGTTTTCAGTTTTGCCCAGTGTTTGTATTATTTCTTACATTATATTGCTGTATATCTATCTATCTAGAATAGGTACTGCAGTTATAAAACAAATGTATGCATGTCTGTTTTCTCTTTTAGGGTTGGTGTTATTTCTCATATCCCAGCAGGCAGGTCTTTAAAAGTATCTTTTAATAGACTTGTGGAGGGACGTTACGTGAGTGTGGTTCTGCCTGGTTCAGGAAGGGTCCTTACACTCTGTGAAGTGGAGGTCTACGGGTATCGTGCCCCAACTGGTGAGAATTGACTATTGAAGAAACACATTGTGTGATTCTCTAGGGGATGCTGCCACCTCATTTTCTACAGCTGCAGTGAAACCCATTGAATGAAGAAAATGGCAAAAATTAAGCAAAATTATAAATTTTCTAGGTCTGATTTATTTTGCTTTTCTCTCCTGTGTTTATGACTTAAAACAAACAATACAAGTTTCGAGAATTTTTTCACAGATAAAAAAAACAACTAAAAGTCCGGTGTGTAACATTTATGAAATATAATATTCATTGGTATGTTTGTATTAGTGTCTAACCACCTGAAAATGAGAATGGTTAAGTATTTTTGTTTCACCTACCACCATGTTAAACTGCCATGTTTCTACAGTGGTCCAGAAGGGACAGACAAAAAAACTGTCTCTAGATAGGCCCTACACAATCTGATCTTTAAGGATTTTTTTCTGAAAAAACCTGAACACAGAAGAGAAAACATCTCAGATAAGACTTGGAAAACAGACCACTTAAATTTTTTGTGGACATAATTGACACATTTACAACAGCTAACTGCTGATGCTGCCAAGTTTTGCAGTGCTGATCCAAAATACAACAGGCATCCACACAACTTTTTCTTTCCTGACAGTATCATCTTAACGCTGAAAATCAATAAGCTGTGAATTTCAGGTTCCAGTCATAAATAGATTTGGATCACTCCATTCTGCAGACAGCATAAAAAAAAACTAGGTATCAGTGCTGATGTTTGCAACTGTGTTCTTTGTGCAGGAGAGAACCTGGCACTCCAAGGAAAAGCCACACAGTCGTCACTGTATTCTTATTTAGGCGACGCAAATCATGCCATAGACGGGAATCGTGCCAGTGCCTGGACCCAGGCTTCTTGTTCTCACACAGGCCCTGACTTTACACCCTGGTGGAGGTTGGATCTGGGCAAAACCCATAAAGTGTTTTCTGTCACAATAACCAACCGCAAAGAGGTTTCCTCACGACTCAATGGAGCTGAGATCCGGATTGGAGATTCTCTTGATAACAATGGCAACAGCAATGCAAGGTAGTGTACAGTTTTAGATTTAAATACTACAACTAAAAGGTTTGTTGTGAGTTAACAAAGTAATTTCTTCTTCTGCTAGGTGTGCTGTGATCTCAAGCATCCCTGGAGGTTTCACCCAAAACTTCCAGTGTAACGGGATGGATGGTCGCTACGTTAACATAGTCATTCCTGGAAGAACCGAGTACCTACACGTGTGTGAGGTGGAGGTTTATGGCTCCAGACTGGATTAGGTCTGAAGAGGTTCAAACTTTGTGACAAAGACAATTTACACTGTCGATATGTAGCTGATGCGCTTTTTCCTACCTTCCCTCAATGATGTAAACAGAATGGGCAAAATGATAGAAATAGATTTTATTATTTACACCACATAAACTGACATAATGATATAAACATAAACATAGTATTGTTTAATCATCCAGAAGACTCTTGAAAATGCTGAAATATAAATAAACAGTGGTGAAAACAGCAACAGGGAAATTAAAGTTGTGATTTTGAGTGTATATATACTGTATAAACATATATGATGTATAAAATTTTTACTTTTGTATTTGTTTGTGTCATATTTTATTATGTAAAGCTGTAGTAAAGTAGAAGATTTTCTATTCTAATATTTGACTTTTCTTTGTACTGTCACTGCCAACGGTTAAATATGATATCACCTTTGCTGAAATAAACTGAAACAATAAATATAACCTGCCATGTCTTTGTTCTTATTTCATCCATACTCAAGGAAAAGGCCCTACTGCCAGCTGAGTTCTTTTTAACTCAGGGGGACAGACAGGAGTCCTGTATTCTGACATAGCGTAGCGTACGGGATGGCACATATGGTATAATGACATCAGACAGGTATGAAGAGACAAGCCTATTCACAGTTTTGTCAGTCATCAGAAGCACCTGATAGTCTGATCTGACATTTCTATTTTTGAGTGCTTACACACTTCAGACTACATAATAGACTTCACACGTTTTCAGTGGGCTGCTATATGGTGTGTTTGTTTACAAATGTTGTCCCATGCCCTGTTTTTATAGCTGAAGTTTATTTATGGCCGTTTTTTAACAAACAGTTTTTACATATTGTTAAAAGTTGCCCATCCCTGACCTGTTTGGTGAGACTGCAGATATGAACTTTGTCATCCAAGGAAGTCGCCTGTGGTAAATCATCAGTGAACAAGGTTGTGCCATGATAAGAAAGGCATATAAATATCCCTGTGGTTCACATCAAATCATATTCAGCTCTTCATCTTCTCCTGAGTTTATCTCAAGTCAAGGTATGTGGTTGTAGATGAATAGTCTTTTAAATACACAGTTTGGGGCATTCAACTTATGTCTGCTTACTACAGTTAAGGGTAGTTTTTTAATAATATTCACATTTTAAGATTGTTGTAGATCTGGGATAAATGTCATACAGTAATAATAATGTTGATAATGTTAATTTCTGTTACTGATTCTCTTTTCTGTCTCAACCAGAATAATGAAACACAGTTCAGTCCTGCTTTTGCAGCTCCTCCTGGGAACATGCTCAGTTTACACCTATCGTAAGTTTAATCTGTGATTTCTTTATTACAAAACATTGCAGTCCTGCTCCACTCAAAAATGTGTTTTTTGTAGTTAAGCTTTTACTTAATATGCTCTTATTATTACGCATCTATGTTCTCTTCAAAGCCACCAAAGTTCTTTGACAAAAACAGTAATTTTACATCAGAGAACACAGGAGTTGCTGTTACACTGCTGGATGTGTAAAAAGCAACAGTTTGTTAATAAATTTGCCAAATCAATTACAAAGGTGATAATATGTCAGTGTTGTGTTAACAAACTGTTTCTGCTGCCACAAAGTGGCTAAAAAAATTGTTTTTGCAGGTTTAGTAATTTACACAAATTTTTCCAAAATGCATTACAATGTGTATTTCAACTTGCTCATTCATAGAAAATGTGGCCTTGCGTGGAAAAGCATCCCAGTCAAGTGTGAATGAATCTGGAACTGCCAACAACGCTATTGATGGAAACCGCGATTATAACTACCCGGCCGGATCGTGCACCCAGACTGCTGAACAGACCAACCCCTGGTGGAGAGTGGACCTGCTGGAGCCCTACATCGTCACCTCCATCATCATCACCAACAGAGGAGACTGCTGTGCAGAAAGGATCGATGGGGCAGAGATTCACATCGGAAACTCTTTACAAGATGGTGGCGTCACAAATCCAGTGTAAGTTAAATTAGTTATTAAATAAACACTAGCTAACTAAAGTTTTCAAATGTGGCAGAGTGGCCAAGTGTTGTTATTATTTCTTTTTTTATATTACAATTTCCTCTCTCTTTATTTCTTTTAGGGTTGGTGTAATTTCTCGTATCCCAGCAGGCAGGTCTTTAAAAATGACTCTTACAGGACTTGCGGAGGGACGTTATGTGACTGTGGCTCTACTTGGTTCAAAAAAAGTCCTTACACTCTGTGAAGTGGAAGTCTACGGGTACCGTGCCCCAACTGGTGAGAATTTGTGCTATTATGTAATTAAATATGATGCTGAAGCCACATAAGGTGCAATTTTCTAGGTGATGCCTGATTTTCTGTACAGTTGCAATCAGATGTCTTAACCAACATTCAGTGTGGTGAGATTCACCACTAATTTAAAAATGAATAAACATCAAAATTATTTATAGGCCTTAATAAATTTGTGTGGAGAAACTGTTTCTCAAAAGTTACTGGGATTCTGGATAGATGTCAAAAAATATTTAAACATTTGTTATACATACTGCAGACAATGACATACATACAATTTAGGCATTTACTTTAAGACATACACTAATTGGGGCCACTTTGTTCTGCAGAGAGCATCAAGGAAAACTAGTTATCAGTGCTAATGTTTGCAACTGTGTCCTTTGTGCAGGAGAGAACCTGGCGTTCCAAGGAAAAGCCACACAGTCGTCACTGAATCATTTTTGGGGCGATGCAAGTCATGCCATAGACGGGAATCATGCCAGCAATTGGGACCAGGGTTCCTGTGGTCACACACGTAGGGAATACAATCCCTGGTGGAGGCTGGATCTGGGCAAAACCCATAAAGTGTTATCTGTCAGCATAACCAACTACAGAAATCATCCTTTACGACTTAATGGAGCTGAGATCCGAATTGGAGATTCTCTTGCAAACAATGGCAACAACAATCCCAGGTAGAGTTATTGAGTAAAACACTAATATAACTAAAAGGTCTGTGATTAATGTTTATCTGCCATTAGATTTGTTTGGAATAACCCACAAAAAATCTATCTAAGAATATAAATTTGGCATAGCACCTTTAAAACTCAAGAAGAACATGAGACATATTTCTTAGAGAATCCACTTATTAAACTGATCATTCTATGAGTTAACAAAGTAATTTCTTCCTCTGCTAGGTGTGCTGTCGTCTCAAGCATCACTGGAGGCTTCACTGAAACCTACCAGTGTAACGGGATGGACGGTCGCTACGTTAACGTAGTCATTCCTGGAAGAACCGAGGAGCTGACCCTGTGTGAGGTGGAGGTTTACGGCTCCAGACTGGATTAGGTCTGAGGAGGTTCAACATTTATAACAAAGACATTATCTCTGTTCAAATGTTCCAGTGAGTAATGAGACAGTTACAGTGAGCCAGCATACTGTGACATGTCAAAATGTGATGGCCTTAACATCCACAGTATTAAATTATAAAGGAGAGTTTTGTGCTTCTATTGAATTCAGGAAAATTAGTTCATTTAATCTTTACAGTGGTAGTGACAATTTTGTTGTGATTGTATACATGTATGAACGTGAATGAACTTTGTACTTTTGTATTTGTTTGGGTATTATTTTATTTTGTAAAGGTGTTGCAGAGTTGTTTTTTGAATCTTTGTTGAAGATTTCCTTTTCTTATACTCAACTTTTCTTTGTACTGTCACTGCCTGCATATTAATATTTAATGACCTTTGTTGCAATAAATAAACTGAAAGAAAATAAACTCTTTGTAACATGTATTTTCTCCTAAGCTAATTCTGCTGTTGTTGCTGCTAATATTTCTGTCATTATATATATATATATATGTTTGAATCATATACCCCCTTTCCACCAACACAAACCTTGTGCTAGTTGTGGCCTGGTGCTACTGCTGGTTGGTTCAACTTTGCACGGGCTTGAGACCCACATGAAGCATTTTTTCTAGTTTTAAGGCCCATTATAGTCTTTCAGTGGCTAGATTTGTATGTTAGTTTAAAGGATTTTAGTCAAGAAGAACTGGCTTAGACCATAGGCCAATTTATTTTAGCTCAATGCAAAAAAATCTGATTATATCTAAGAATATTTGGTATGTTTCTAGAAGAGCTGTTCTTGCAGCGTGGAACCAGTTTTCCAGGCTGAGAGTCAGTTCTTTGTCTGGCAGAACGTAAAGAACTGGTTTGATATCAGGTGACAACTCCGAACCAGTCTTCAACCTGCCTTGGTGGAAAAGGGGTAATAGAGCAATATATCTGAACAGTTGTCCTCATGAAACCCCTGTATGTACAGCTGAACACTTTTCTGGCCAACAGTTTAACTACCACTCTAAATCAGTGCACAAGGTATATTAAACTGCACATGCAAAGAACACACATTATCTAACCAAACCTTGAAGTTGTGCCTTATACAATCCACCTGGCAGTGTATCAGCTCTATTGCTATTCTCTAAATTTACTGTTTCATCCCTGACCAGGAAGTTCAACAGTAGTTATTCGGGAACTGACTGTAAACACAAGTACACATTTTTCAAAACAAAAGGGAGCCTATGAGAGATAAGATAAAGAAACTCTTATTGATCTACAGTGGAGAAAAATAAAAGGGAAACATAATACAATTCTATAAAGCCTAATAAAAGTGCATGTTAACATTGTTGCAAAGTTCATTCAACTAATGTCGTAATGCAACTTGAAGATACAGCATGAATCTGCAAAGATTTATTTCAATGCTATGATTTTCTCATATATAACATATCACCTAACCACTGATGCAATAATAAGGCAAATCTGTATATAAACAAGCTCTCAAGGTCCTGGATTAAAAGCTCTAGTCACTATATACTTCCTAGATATGGTCTCCTTCGCTCTGAAAATCGAATCCATTTACCACATTCATCTATCAGAAAAATGTTGGGGAAAGGTTAACCAGTTCAAGAATAAGAAGGGACATACTTTTCCCAAGGAGAACAGACAACTTTTGCAGTCAGAGCTTCCTAGTTTTGGAATACAAATATATAATATAGCAACTCTCACTGTTCCTTTGCATATAACCTTAAAATTTGGTTAAAAAGCAAGCAGACCTGCCCTTGAGTTAAGGTTAGGGGTTGTAACCCTATCTCTGCCTTTTTTCTCTGACATACACCAGACTCTCACTCAGAAGTTTTGAAAGAAAATTTGATCTAAGCATCTATCTAAGCGTTTTAGTCCTTGGTGTCAAAAAGCATTGACGAAATGCAACTGCTGTTTGCATTCTGAATCGATTAAGGGTCTTAGCTAATCTTTAGTTTATTTCATACACAATGAAGCCTTAGTAGCTGTCAAAGTTCATATGGCATTAAAGTATTTGATCTTTAGAAAGCCAGCATGAGACAAAAGTAAAATAAGTTTCAATCCTTGAACTGCTTGATAACTGAAATGAGCCTTATCTACATACAAGACAAAGACCAAGTCGCCTGTGGTAAAACATCAATAAACAAATGCACGTGCCATGATAGGATGTGCACATAAATATCCCTGTGCGGTCCACATCAAATCATATTGATCAACACACAGCATAAACTGCAGCTCCTCATCTTCTACTGAGTTTATCTTGCAAATCAAGGTATGTGGTTGTAGCTGAAAAGCTTCTCAGTACATAGATTAGATGGAGCTTTTTATTTGCCACCAGTCAACAGTTATTTCTCATCTATGCACTTTGGATTTCTATCTTGTGGAGAAAAGATAGTTGTCATCATACCAATGTTAATTTCTTCAGTGTAAATTCTGTTTTTTTTCTCAACCAGAACAATGAAACACAGTTCAGTTCTGCTTTTGTACCTCCTCCTGGGGACGAGCTCAGCTTACACCTATCGTAAGTACAATCTGTGAATTCTTTATTACAAAACATTGCAGTCCTGCTCCACTCAAAAATGAGTTTTTTTTTCTTGGTGTTTCTTGCTCCGAGGTTTGGACTCTTTATACAGTTCAGCTTTAACTTAATATCCTCTTATTATTATGCATCTATGTTCTCTTCAAAGCCACCAAAGTCCTTTGACAAAAACTGTAATTTTACATCAGAGAACACAGGAATTGCTGTTACACTGCGGGATGTGTAAAAAGAAGGGATGTCCGATAATATCGGCCCGATATTCACTAAAAAATGAAATATTGGGAATTATCGGTATTGGGTTTTTATAACCGATGTTTGTTCTGTAGGCTTCAGCATTTCCGAGCCTGCATGAACGCAGCATGGGACGTTTACGGGCGAGCGCTAGATGACATATAAGAACAACAACTACACTAGACTGGTTGGTTGCTAACCGTGGCTAACAAGCAAACAATTTAAAGCTGAATGATTTTAATATTTAAACAAAATAAATGCAATGCACCTTAAATATTTGACCCTGCTATGAGCTGTTCCTTAATTTACATTAGCACTCCTTCAGGTGCATAATACAATTAAACACATTAACCAAAGATTGCGCTTAGCTAGTGATTAGCGTTAGCGCTCTTTTCAGTATTAATACAATGAAAGTTGACGTTGTTCTCTTATTTTGCACAGACAGTGTTTACATTTGGAAAGCTATGTTGCATTTATGTATGCATCCAGTGGGGCATCACAATAAAATGAGGCGTAATGTGTTAATTCCACAATAGGAGATATGTTATGTTGTTACCTAACAACAGTTTTGGTGTAAAAAGCCTGCATATATCGGTATCGGAAATTGAGAGTTGGACAATATCGGAATATCAGATATCGGCAGAAAAGCCAATATGGAGCATTCCTAGTAAAAAGCAACAGTTTGCTAACAGATTTGCCAAATCAATTACAAAGGTGAAAATATGTCAGTGTTAACAAATAGTTTCTGCTGCTACAAAGGTATAAAAAATAATTTAATAAAAAAAATAATTTACATACATTTTTCCAAAATGCATTATAATTTGTATTTCAACTCGCTCATTCATAGAAAATGTGGCCTTGCGTGGAAAAGCGTCTCAGTCAAGTGTACAAGAATTTCGATCTGCCTACAACGCTATTGATGGAAACCGCGATTATAACTACGCGGCCGGATCGTGCACCCTCACTGATGAACAGACCAACCCCTGGTGGAGAGTGGACCTGCTGGAGCCCTACATCGTCACCTCCATCATCATCACCAACAGAGGAGACTGCTGTGCAGAAAGGATCGATGGGGCAGAGATTCACATCGGAAACTCTTTACAAGATGGTGGTGTCACAAATCCAGTGTAAGTTAAATTAGTTATTAAATAAACACTAGCTAACTAAAGTTTTCAAATGTGGCAGAGTGGCCAAGTGTTGTTATTATTTCTTTTTTTATATTACAATTTCCTCTCTCTTTATCTCTTTTAGGGTTGGTGTAATTTCTCGTATCCCAGCAGGCAGGTCTTTAAAAATGACTCTTACTGGACTTGCAGAGGGACGTTATGTGACTGTGGCTCTACTTGGTTCAAAAAAAGTCCTTACACTCTGTGAAGTGGAAGTCTACGGGTACCGTGCCCCAACTGGTGAGAATTTGATCCATTATGCAATTAAATATGACGTTGGAGCTGCAGAAGCTGCAGAAAGCATCAAGGAAAACTAGGTATCAGGACTAATGTTTGCAACTGTGTCCTTTGTGCAGGAGAGAACCTGGCACTCCAAGGAAAAGCTTCACAGTCGTCACTGTATTCTTATTTAGGCGATGCAAGTCATGCCATAGACGGGAATCGTGCCAGTGCCTGGACCCAGGCTTCTTGTTCTCACACAGGCCCTGACTTCAACGCCTGGTGGAGGTTGGATCTGGGCAAAACCCACAAAGTGTTTTCTGTCACAATAACCAACATCAAAGAGGCTTCCTCACGACTCAATGGAGCTGAGATCCGGATTGGAGATTCTCTTGAAAACAATGGCAACAGCAATCCGAGGTAGTGTACAGTTTTAGATTTAAATACTACAACTAAAAGGTTTGTTGTGAGTTAACAAAGTAATTTCTTCTTCTGCTAGGTGTGCTGTGATCTCAAGCATCCCTGGAGGTTTCACCCAAAACTTCCAGTGTAACGGGATGGATGGTCGATACGTTAACATAGTCATTCCTGGAAGAACCGAGTACCTACACGTGTGTGAGGTGGAGGTTTATGGCTCCAGACTGGATTAGGTCTGAAGAGGTTCAAACTTTGTGACAAAGACAATTTACACTGTCGATATGTAGCTGATGCGCTTTTTCCTACCTTCCCTCAATGATGTAAACAGAATGGGCAAAATGATAGAAATAGATTTTATTATTTACACCACATAAACTGACATAATGATATAAACATATATGATGTATAAAATTTGTACTTTTGTATTTGTTTGTGTCATATCTTATTATGTAAAGCTGTAGTAAAGTAGAAGATTTTCTATTCTTATATTTGACTTTTCTTTGTACTGTCACTGCCAACGGTTAAATATGATATCACCTTTGCTGAAATAAACTGAAACTATAAATATAACCTGCCATGTCTTTGTTCTCATTTCATCCATACTCATGGTACGATAAGGAAAAGGCCCTACTGCCAGCTGAGTTCTTTTTAACTCAGGGGGACAGACAGGAGTCCTGTATTCTGACATAGCGTAGCGTACGGGATGGCACATATGGTATAATGACATCAGACAGGTATGAAGAGACAAGCCTATTCACAGTTTTGTCAGTCATCAGAAGCACCTGATAGTCTGATCTGACATGAATGAGGAGCCAATGAAATGAAGCTTAAATTGGTGTAATATGATAACATTTTCTGGATCTAGTTACGATTCAATCATCAGCATTTTCTATTTTTGAGTGCTTACACACTTCAGACTACATAATAGACTTCACACGTTTTCAGTGGGCTGCTATATGGTGTGTTTGTTTACAAATGTTGTCCCATGCCCTGTTTTTATAGCTGGAAGTTTATTTATGGCCGTTTTTTAACAAACAGTTTTTACATATTGTTAAAAGTTGCCCATCCCTGACCTGTTTGGTGAGACTGCAGATATGAACTTTATCATCCAAGGAAGTCGCCTGTGGTAAATCATCAGTGAACAAGGTTGTGTCATTATAAGAAAGGCATATAAATATCCCTGTGTGGTTCACATCAAATCATATTCAGCTCTTCATCTTCTCCTGAGTTTATCTCAAGTCAAGGTATGTGGTTGTAGATGAATAGTCTTTTAAATACACAGTTTGGGGCATTCAACTTATGTCTGCTTACTACAGTTAAGGGTAGTTTTTTAATAATATTCACATTTTAAGATTGTTGTAGATCTGGGATAAATGTCATACAGTAATAATAATGTTGACAATGTTCATTTCTGTTACTGATTCTCTTTTCTGTCTCAACCAGAATAATGAAACACAGTTCAGTCCTGCTTTTGCAGCTCCTCCTGGGAACATGCTCAGTTTACACCTATCGTAAGTTTAATCTGTGATTTCTTTATTACAAAACATTGCAGTCCTGCTCCACTCAAAAATTTGTTTTTTGTAGTTAAGCTTTTACTTAATATGCTCTTCTTATTACGCATCTATGTTCTCTTCAAAGCCACCAAAGTTCTTTGACAAAAACAGTAATTTTACATCAGAGAACACAGGAGTTGCTGTTACACTGCTGGATGTGTAAAAAGCAACAGTTTGCTAATAAATTTGCCAAATCAATTACAAAGGTGATAATATGTCAGTGTTGTGTTAACAAATTGTTTTTGCTGCCACAAAGTGGCTAAAAAAAATGTTTTTGCAGGTTTAGTAATTAACACAAATTTTTCTAAAATGCATTACAATGTGTATTTCAACTCGCTCATTCATAGAAAATGTGGCCTTGCGTGGAAAAGCATCCCAGTCAAGTGTGAATGAATCTGGAACTGCCAACAACGCTATTGATGGAAACCGCGATTATAACTACCCGGCCGGATCGTGCACCCAGACTGCTGAACAGACCAACCCCTGGTGGAGAGTGGACCTGCTGGAGCCCTACATCGTCACCTCCATCATCATCACCAACAGAGGAGACTGCTGTGCAGAAAGGATCGATGGGGCAGAGATTCACATCGGAAACTCTTTACAAGATGGTGGCGTCACAAATCCAGTGTAAGTTAAATTAGTTATTAAATAAACACTAGCTAACTAAAGTTTTCAAATGTGGCAGAGTGGCCAAGTGTTTCTATTATTTCTTTTTTTATATTACAATTTCCTCTCTCTTTATTTCTTTTAGGGTTGGTGTAATTTCTCGTATCCCAGCAGGCAGGTCTTTAAAAATGACTCTTACTGGACTTGCAGAGGGACGTTATGTGACTGTGGCTCTACTTGGTTCAAGAAAAGTCCTTACACTCTGTGAAGTGGAAGTCTACGGGTACCGTGCCCCAACTGGTGAGAATTTGTGCTATTATGTAATTAAATATGACGTTGGAGCTGCAGAAGCTGCAGAAAGCATCAAGGAAAACTAGGTATCAGGACTAATGTTTGCAACTGTGTCCTTTGTGCAGGAGAGAACCTGGCGCTCCAAGGAAAAGCTTCACAGTCGTCCCTGCATTCTACAGGCATTGCATATAATGCTATAGATGGGAATCGTGCCAGCTTCTGGAACCAGGGCTCTTGTTCTCACACAGCCCACGACTTCAATGCCTGGTGGAGGCTGGATCTGGGCAAAACCCATAAAGTGTTTTCTGTCAGCATAACCAACTACAGAAATTATCCTTTACGAATTAGGGGAGCTGAGATCCGAATTGGAGATTCTCTTGAAAACAATGGCAACAACAATCCCAGGTACAGTTATTGAGTAAAACACTAATATAACTAAAAGGTCTGTGATTAATGTTTATCTGCCGTTGGATTTGTTTGGAATAACCCTCAAAAAATGAGTTAACAAAGTAATTTCTTCCTCTGCTAGGTGTGCTGTCGTCTCAAGCATCACTGGAGGCTTCACTGAAACCTACCAGTGTAACGGGATGGACGGTCGCTACGTTAACGTAGTCGTTCCTGGAAGAAACGAGTACCTGAGCCTGTGTGAGGTGGAGGTTTACGGCTCCAGACTGGATTAGGTCTGAGGAGGTTCAACATTTATAACAAAGACATTATCTCTGTTCAAATGTTCCAGTGAGTAATGAGACAGTTACAGTGAGCCAGCATACTGTGACATGTCAAAATGTGATGGCCTTAACATCCACAGTATTAAATTATAAAGGAGAGTTTTGTGCTTCTATTGAATTCAGGAAAATTAGTTCATTTAATCTTTACAGTGGTAGTGACAATTTTGTTGTGATTGTATACATGTATGAACGTGAATGAACTTTGTACTTTTGTATTTGTTTGGGTATTATTTTTTTTGTAAAGCTGTTGCAGAGTTGTTTTTATCAATATTTGTTGAAGATTTCCTTTTCTAATACTCAACTTTTCTTTGTACTGTCACTGCATATGAATATTAAATGACCTTTGTTGCAATAAATAAACTGAAAGAAAATAAACTGTTTGTAACATGTATTATGTCGTAAGTTTATTCTGCTGTTGTTGCTGCTAATATTTCTGTCATTATATTCTAGTTTTAAGGCCCATTATAGTCTTTCAGTGGCTAGATTTTTGTGCTAGTTTTTAGGTCAAGAAAATTTGGCTTATCCCATCGGCTGATTTCTTTTAACTCAATGCAAAAAAATCAGATTATTTTGCTTGAGATCAGGTGACAACTCCGAACCAGTCTTCAAACTGCCTTGGTGGAGAAGTGGTAATAGAGCAATATATCTGAACAGTTGTCCCCATGACCTAAACCCCTGTATGTACAGCTGAACACTTTTTTGGCCAAAAGTTTAACTACCACTCTAAATTAGTGCACAAGGTATATTAAACTGCAGCTAAGTTATCCATAATAGCAGTACTTCCTACAATTAATATATGGGAGATACACTTATTCCAGCCTGTTCTCATTCCCAGGGCATTAATTAAGCCCCTCAGTACCTCATACAGATGTGCAAAATACCCTTAAGCTTAACCTAACATATGTATTTGAATCCAAATCATGATGTTTTCATGATGGAGCATCCAATTGCATCTTTAAAGTGTAACTACACCCCTCAATTCTGCATTCTGTATCAGAGACCTGCAAAGGACAGTGACTTTAGGAGGCGTGGCCTCGACACAGACCGGAGTGACTGACAGACTGACCACAGCAGTAAAGCAGGAACAGTGAGCTGGTAGTCAGAGTCTCTGTGTCTGCGCTGGAAACACAAGAGTTTGCTGGAGCTTTTACAGTCACTAGAAGTACATTGGCGGACTTTTTGTAAAAGTTTCTGTGTGGTATCCGTGCTGTAGCTGAGAAAGATTAACTCTCTGGTATGTGTGTGTGTGTCTGTGGGTGGGACTGTCAGTGGGTGGGGGAAGTGGGCTTGACTCCTCTGTTTAAAGGACATTGAGACTATTTTTTTCTATAAATGTCATGATGTTGTAATATTGTCAATTTTAACACCAGTATTGATGTGTTTCATCATAGTACAGTCATATCATACAGTTTACAGATCAAAGTAGACATTAAGGCCAATCATAGTCTTAGTTTTCATGTGATTATATTAATCCAAAAGTCAATCATCATCAGTGCAAAAAGATATCAAACATATTTTCAATGCTTCTAGTATCTAGTATAGTTCTCTCTTCGTCATGTGGGTTCACTCTTTATTGTTTGTTTTTTCCTTTACAGCATTAATATTATAGTCCTGAGAATGCAAAGTACACACATTATCTAACCAAACGTGGAAGTTGTGCCTTATATGATCCACCTGGCAGTGTATCAGCTCTATTGCTATTCTCTAAATTTACTGCTTCATCCCTGACCAGGAAGTTCAACAGTATTTATTCGGGAACTGACTGTAAACACAAGTACACGTTTTTCAAAACAAAAGGGAGCCTATAAGAGATAAGATAAAGAAACTTTTATTGATCTACAGTGGAGAAAAATAAAAGGGAAACATAATACAATATAATAAAACCGGATAAAAGTGCATGTTTACATTGTTGCATTGTTCATTCAATGAATGTCATAATTTAACTTGAAGATACAGCTATATTCCTCTGATTTACTTGATAGATATCAAGAATAAAAGAGTGTTATTTACAGCATATCTCACAACTTTCACTGTTCCTTTGCATATAATCTTAAAAAAACGTGGTTAAACAGCAACCAGACCTGACATCATAGACAGAGTTAGGGTTACAACCCCTAACATTAACCCAAGTAAATGAGAGCCATCTGAGTCATGGCTCTGATTTACTTGGGTTAATGTTAGGGGTTGTAACCCTAACTCTGTCTTTTCTCTCTGACATACAGCAGACTGAAGAAGTTTGGACAGAAAATTGAATCTAAACATCATGCTAATATTATTGTTAACCTCTTGGTGGCAGAATTTCTGGTGTGCAACTGCTGTTTGCATTCTGTATTAAATAAGGGTTTTAGCTAACATTTAGTTTATTTTCACTTATGTTGTCGTGTCCTGTTTTTATGGCTGCATGTTTTTATCTTTTAAGTCTGTCAAAGCACTGGAGTGGCAATAGATTATCAGATCTTTACAAAGCTTGAACGAGACAAAAATATAATAAAATAAGAATCATAAAAAGTTGCCCATCCCTGAACTGAAATGAGCCTTATCTACATACAAAGAACTCCCAATAAACAAATGCACGTGCCATGATAAGAGGTGCACATAAATATCCCTGTGCGGTCCACATCAAATCATATTGACCAACGCACAGCATAAACTGCAGCTCCTCATCTTCTACTGAGTTTATCTCGCAAAAGGTATGTGGTTGTAGCTGAATAGCTTTTAAATACATAGATTAGATGTAGCTTTTTATTTGCCACAAGTCAACAGTTATTTCACTTTCATGCACTTTGGATTTCTAACTTCTGGAGAAAAGATAGTTGTCATCATACCAATGTTCATTTCTTCAGTGTAATTCTGTTACTGACTCTTTTTTTTGTTGTCTCAACCAGAACAATGAAACACAGTTCAGTTCTGCTTTTGCAGCTCCTCCTGGGGACGAGCTCAGCTTACACCTATCGTAAGTACAATCTGTGAATTCTTTGTTATAAAAATTAAAGACCCGTCCACTCAAAAATGAGTATTTCGTCTTCCATTTAGATACTCTCTGGTTTTAAGCTTTGACTCAAACTAATGTAGGGTAATGTAGGGTCACCACATACAGTATCTAAGCAATGACTTAGAGATCGTAAGGTTCAGGTATAAGACAAACAGAATATGTTTAGTTGTTTCTGTAGTGCAGTCAAGGTGATCAACCTTTGTTGGTCATTGTCCAGCAGTCTCTACTACATTTTTATGTATTTGCAGAAAACATTTCAATCAGTCTGCACACTTGTCTCACAAAAGTTTCAGCAAGATTTTTATATATTGAGTGAAAACATTTATGCTCCTGAAAACATTGTCTTGAGACATAGCTTGAATCAGCTATAATCAATAACAGTTATAACAATTAATAACAACATCAGACAATGTGAAAACCTGAACCAACTGTGATCTATTACCTAAATCTGCAGCTCCCCTCAGCTTAACAGAGCAAAGTTTTCAGCTCATTGTTTATCTGTAGTGTTTTGGTTCACTCTTACTACTCTCACAGAACAGTTTTGAGAGCAGCAAGCGGTTGCTATCAGAGAAGAGAGTCTAAAAACCCACTGCACACTGCAGCAGCCAAAGTAGCAGACAATTTTCTCAGGAGTTGGTAGAGACAAAAAAATTACTTTCATAAGGTGGCCAGAAACACAGAACTTACAGAACAGGTTTAGGAATTTGCAAAAAAATGTCCTTTATACATTTTAATGTGTATGTCAATTATCTCATTCACAGAAAATGTGGCCTTGCGTGGAAAAGCGACCCAGTCAGACCGTTTAGTGAGTGCATTTGGATCTGCCTACAACGCTATCGATGGAAACCGTGAATCCAACTACTTGTCCGGATCGTGCACCCAGACTGCTGAACAGAACAACCCCTGGTGGAGAGTGGACCTGCTGGAGCCCTACATCGTCACCTCCATCATCATTACCAACAGAGGAGACTGCTGTTCAGAAAGGATCGATGGGGCAGAGATTCACATCGGCAACTCTTTACAAGACGGTGGCATCACAAACCCAGTGTAAGTGAATTTCATGACTTGTTGTCATAAGCCACTCAGGTCCTGACGCATTATCTTATGATCTATTAGCTATTGGTAAAAGCTTGTAAATAATGAGATAAACTAAAGCCACACCCACTGAACACGTGGCAAATAGTGCCTCTACTCTTGTGAAGGTTAACTTATTTCCTTATTTCAGGTGATGTCTCCAGTTAACCATACCAAACCAAAGATACCCAGCATTTTAGAGCTAGTTTTATAATTTAATCAATTAATTGATTTTGACTGAGCATTGTGCATAGTGGCCTTGTTCCCAATGCCATTTTCAATTGAGTGATTTTCTGACTGGCATGTGTCCAGTAATTTCCTGACACTGATCGTGTAACTGGACACCTCTGATGCTGATAATTCATACGTGATCTGGAAAGATGCAAGTTCATCAGAGGCACCACCTTGCTGTCCATACATTAATGTATAGGTCACTTTTATGTAACAACAGGGTGAAATAATAAAGTATGGTGCCAGTTGTTGCTACTATTTGTTACTTTATTATGCTATATATCGTGTAGTTGCTGCAATTATAAAATAAGTTCATGCTCTGTTTCCTCTCTCTTTATTTCTTTTAGGGTTGGTGTAATTTCTCGTATCCCAGGAGGCAGGTCTTTAAAAATGACTTTTACCGGACTTGTGCAGGGACGTTATGTGACTGTGGCTCTACCTGGTTCAAAAAAGATCCTCACTCTCTGTGAAGTGGAGGTCTACGGGTACCGTGCCCCAACTGGTGAGAATTTGAGCGTATCACATGATTTCATATGAGGCTGAAGCCACACGAGATGGGATTATCTAGGTGATGATATCTTTTGAGCTGTGGTCACACCAGAAGTTGAGAGATGAGATATGACACACAAGCAGTTCAAGATTCGGCACGTTTAGGAAAACTTAAAAAATAAAATAAAAGAGAATAGAATAGAAATAGAAAAAACCAAGAAATAAAAGCTGTATACACTTTATACACCTCTCATTTATACAGATATGTGTGATGGATAATTACACAGATATTGAATACACACATTATTCAAGCATTATGCTAAATATATATATGTATATACCACTGGAAAGGGAAACGATGTGAGAATAGTTGTGCATTTCAGGTTTAAGACATACACAAATTGTGGCCACTTTGTTTTGCAGAAAGCATCAAGGAAAACTAGATATCAGTGCTGATGTTTGTAATTGTGTCCTTTGTGCAGGAGAGAACCTGGCGCTCCAGGGAAAAGCCACACAGTCGTCACTGCATCATTTTTTGGGCGATGCAAGTCATGCCATAGACGGGAATCGTGCCAGTGCCTGGGACCAGGGTTCTTGTATTCACACAAACAACGACTTCAACGCCTGGTGGCGAGTGGACCTGGGCAAAACCCATAAAGTGTTTTCTGTTAACGTAACCTCCTACAGAGAGTCCTTTTTACGGCTCAATGGAGCTGAGATCCGAATTGGAGATTCTCTTGAAAACAATGGCAACAACAATCCCAGGTACTTCACACAAATACAGTACTATACCTAAAGGTTTGTGATTAATAACCATGTTTCTTAAAATATTACCTTTAAAACTCGTATTTCTTAGAATATCCATTCATTTAAAAAAACATTCTATGAGTTAATGTAATTTCTTCTTCTCCTGTAGGTGTGCCGTGATCTCAGGCCTCACTGGAGGTTTCACTGGAAACTTTGCGTGTAACGGGATGGACGGTCGCTACGTTAACATAGTCATTCCTGGAAAGACCATATACCTACTCCTGTGTGAGGTGGAGGTTTATGGCTCCAGGCTGGATTAGGTTCTGAGGAGGCTCAACATGTATAACAATGACATTTCACATTGCAGATGTTTAGCTGATGTTCTTGCCCAGGCTCACTATCATCAGCTCAAGCTTCACCGCATTCATTGGCATCATTAGAGACAGCAGTTATATGCTTCGAAGAACATTAAATCTGCGTTAATACATGTTTTACCACTAGGTGGCAGCGGAACTCCAAAACAAGCTGACATTTGGAGTTGCTTTGTGTTTGTGTTGATAAGAGTAGACAAAAGTATTTTAATTTGTTCAACCCCACCCGAAGAGCTGGCCTTCATAGAGAGGGGCGAGATGTCATATTGTTTAAATATGGAGAGAACGACGCACATTTTCAGTCTTTCCTGGAAGACATTCATTGTGCTGCACAAACTTATTAAACTGATGGCGTTAAAAATACTGAAAACTCTATAGCTGTGCATCTACTATTATTTTTAACATGAATATTTAATTTACCCTACAGTGACAAGGACAATTATGCTGTGATTGTATATAATATTATACTGTATATATACACACATGATTTTGTAAACATTTTGTATTTGTTTGGGTCGTATTTTATTTTGTAATACTGTTGCAAAGCAAAGCTGTTGTATTTTGACTGAGATTAAGTTTTCCATTTCCAGCTTTTCTTTGTACTGTCACTCCCTACAGATGAATATTAAATCACTTTTGCTGAAATACACTGAAACTATAAAAGTAGCCTGCCATGTCTTTGTAATATGTATTATCTCCTAAACTCATTCTGTTGTTGTTGAAACAAATATTTTTATTCAGTTCAGTTCAACTTTATTTAAATAGCGCCAAATGATAACAGAAGTTATCATGGTACCTCTTCAAAGTGAGGGCCGGGGCATAAAGATATTATGAAATATAATTCATAAAAACATAACATATAGAAATCATATTGTATGCAGTATTTTCAATCATACTTACATGTTCAGTAATGGAAAGTCTAACCTACATCCCTAAATAGAACTGCACAAAAATCATTCCACAGGCAACTGAGACAGTTGGGAAAGGTTTATTTTTTTGGCAATGAAAAGTGATTAGTACATAACAATAATAATAATAATAATAATAATAACAATTATAATAATAATAATAATAATAATAATAATAACAATTATAATAATAATAATAATAATAATAATAGGTAAACTGCTTCAGAATATTACATATGGAACCTTTAAACTGTGTTAAACTTACAATAGATTTGTGAAAAATATGGATTATACATTTTTACCTGTGGTGAGCAGACATAAGTACAGTAACACAGTGGACCTCAACCTGGGGGTAATAATCTGCTAATAATCTGATTTACATTGTCATCCTCTCTGCTCTGCATCGCCTGTAATTATTCAATTCAATTCAATTCAATTCAATTTTATTTGTATAGCGCAGACAGAAGTTATCTCAGGACACTTTTCAAATAGAGCAGGTCTAGACCGAACTCTTTAAAACATATATATTGCATACAGTATTACAACACCTCAGAGTGTGTTATCGCTGACTTCTTACAAACCTTACCAAGTATCTGTTTATGGCCCGTTACTCAGAATAAGGCATAAGCACATTTTAAATTCAATAACACTGTAATATTCATAGTTAGAGATTCAAGTAAATTGGAGAGGGTTAGATGTGTTTGTGTCTTTTCAAAGAGAAAAACAGAGAAGTAGAAGAGCATATGATATGTTGAAACCCTTTCAGGATATGTCAACATTGCGCAAAGAAAAATCTGCAACTAAGCATTTTTTAAACATTTTCTCTCTTCCTGCCTGGAATAAGGTCAGAGATATAATCGGGTGGCACTGGCTATCAAGGGTGCACCTAAGTTTCACAGTCTACTTGACTTTGCACAATTAAAGCTGGGCTCTTAAGGAATGAGGATCTGGCTGTTGCAAAATAACAAGACAAACATCTGTGCTTGTCTGAAATGGTTGGTTATAACTCTGTGTTATACCCAGTTTATGTAGTGCAGGCCTGCTGTAATTGTTTGTTTTACTAAAGCCATATTCTGTAGAGACCAGAGATGTCACTGAGGGTATACTCATTAAGTTTACTTAAGTAAATAGTGAATGGATCTCAAGATTGACACATGGACACATGGAGCTATGTATGGAGGAGAAGTAGCATTGCCACTCGATAAAAACACTTTGCTACAAGTGCAAGAAACTCTTACATTTCAATTGTTTACCTAATATTATTAATTAATAAGTATTATCAAGTATTTCTAAATAGTAGTCGTTATATTGTATGCAAAATCATAATCTGCAACGTGTTTTTGTAAATAAATACACTACAATATTTCTAGTAGTATAATATAAAATTGCATAACATGGACCTCAAGATTAGTAAATGTACATAGTTGCTTTCCACCAATGCCACTAAAAAAGAGGAATCTCAAGAAAGAAAAAAAAGCCTTGCTTCTGGGAAATGAGTCTTATTTTTTGTCTAAAAAGAAAAACAATCTTGTCAAGCATGTGTTGCAATAGAAAAAAAAAAGGTCCTGTTGTTGGTCCTCTGGTCCTCTAAAATTGCCTCTCATAAAACAGCAGGTAGGCATTCTTTGTCGCAGACAGACAGAATCGATGGCTGTCTCACTGACCGCACTGTCGTTGTAAGTCAGCCAACGAACTGTAATGTCACCCGGCTCCTGCTGTATGTGAGCGCCGTCACAAATGTAAAATAAAAAAACTAATTTTCAACACTTACCAGAATGAGCTGTGGAGCCCAAATGGCTGACGACGCTCACGAGAGAATAGCAAGCCTAAAAGAAACATAGTTACCAACAATAAGTGCCATGTGCAGACACATTTAATTTGACTGTAGGCATGTATATTTGACAGGCTGGTTCTTGGATCAGCTGCAAGAGAATGAGATGGAGGGTCAGAAGTTTACATAGGAAGAAAACCAAGAAAACTTGGCAAAGTGTGACTGTGCTGACTGCACGGTAGGGATGGATAATATTACTCACTTGGGATGAGTCAAAAAGGAGGACTGCTGCAACGACTCCTCAGCACCGCACTTGCACCTGTAGTCCAAGTGGCGTTGCTGCAGCGGGGAAGAGGAGCAACAGGCAGGTTTTAGTTTCAATCTTCTTATGGATCATATCACTTTGACAAACATATTCACACAAACCAACTTGTTGGAGTGTGAGAATGGAGTGAGAAAATGAGTAGATGTGCAAGCAGGTTTGCCAAAGTTGGCCCACCATAGGGTTCAATTTGGGCCCACTAGATGTTTCTAGCAAAATAACTGTAATTAGTCATTTAAAAATATATAATAAAAATAGCTGTTTATGCTGTTTTATTTTTTGTAAGCTCCTTATACTTGTAGGATCCCTAATTATTATTTTCATGAGCATGGTGGGTAGAGTTATACTTTGTGCAGGAAGTCAGTCAATCAAAGGCACTTGGGATCCAATACAATAGGTGCTATTGACTCGTGGCCCGGTTTCAGTTTTGTCCCTTCACTGTGTATACATACCCCTTGCAGGTCCTGGTGCTCAGCATCTGAAAAGCAAGGTGAGCATTGACAGGGTAAGTGTAACTCGTGTCCATGTCAGCGGCCGCCACATCCAAATCTAGAGACAGAGACCTCAGCTTGTCCAGTAGACAGCTGAGGAACTCATGGGCATCCTGCACAGAAACATATAGAACAAAGAGTTATAGAAGGTGGACATTTGACTAAAAGTAGTTCAGTGAAGATCAGCTGTGTGTGTAAATGAAAAGGGTACTAACCTTCAGACTGTCATCTTTAAACTGAGTTAAACTCAGCGACAGAGGCAGACAGGACACCTTTCTTCTCCCTTCCATTATTGGAGAAGCGGCAGACTCAGACAACCACAAACCCATTGTCTGTCTTTCAGTGGCTAGATCTTTATCCTAGTTTTAAGAATTCTAGTCAAGCAAATGTATTTTATTTGTGATTATATCAAAGTTAATGTGCATGGTGGGTTGTTTGATCTTTGGCATATATCTTGGCATGTTCTTAGATAACCTCTGAAGTTTAACTCACAAGGGAGGAAGTGAAATACAGAATCATGGGAGTAAACCAATGCGCTGTGATTGAATAATGTTGAAGATGATTGGTTCAACTGAAGTAGGTGTGAAGAAAGAGATGCATATAAGACACAAATATTGCTTCATTTTTAAGGGTTTGGAAGCTTTTGTTCTTTTTCATTGGATCCTCAGACACCAAGAGGAAAGCTCCAGGTATCACATTTCATTTCTTTCTGTATTTTGTTCTCTATCCTGCTCTCGCTGCTTCAGCATATTACAACAGATTTTATAAAGCATGTAAGATATGCACTTCTGCTGCATGAGGAAGTACATCAAGGTCAGAATATTAGGACTCTTAATCCAGATTTTGAAATTAAACCACTACTAAATACTTCAAGTTAAAATAAATAGCACAGATTTTTTCATTTCAAATTTATGTGGTTTGAATTTTCCCGTAATTACTTTCTCCATATTTCATCATGAATACTTAAAGATAGAGAGAAATTGTATAATTTAATTGGTTTTGCCATATTGAAGGGACATTGGCGCTTATTTTTTCCAACATGATCCCAGTTTCTGTTCATTTTTACCTCATTTTTACCCTTTTGAATTCCCTCTGAATCTCAATTGTTACATTCAGCATTAATGTTATAATTGCTTCTCCACAATTCTAACATGATACATTTCTAACAGTAATAATGAAGAAGTGTACATTTTTTAAAGGCTCTCATCTGTCTCAACCAGAATGATGAAACTCTGTTTTCTCCTTGTGCTGCTCCTCCTGGACACGAGCTCAGCTTATACGTATAGTAAGTATGATCTGATGATGTCTTCGCTGTACAACATTTCTCAGTAACATTTTGCTGTCTTACTTGATGATGATGATGATGATGATGATGATGATGATGATGATTTTTTGTAATAGAAGGAAGTGGATGTAGGTCTATTTCAAAGCTCACATATATTTTATGGTAAAGGTTCAGTGTGTAACATTTAGAAGGATCTATTGGCAGGAATGGAATATAATATGCACAAAACATATATGCATAATATGCAACTATGTTTTCATCTGAGTATAATCACTTGAATTAAAGAGTTGCTGTGTTTTTGATACCTTAGCATGAGCCTTCAGTTAGTTGCAATCTGCAACTTCACGCTTGATCTGATTCTACACACTGGTCCTTTAAAGCTGTGCTAAGAATTCACACAGTAACAGCCTACTATTATATCTTTTATATTGATTTCAACTGTGTCCTTTATAGAAAATGTGGCCTTGCGTGGAAAAGCGACTCAGTCAGCACGTTATGTGCACACATTCGGAGCGGCTTACAACGCCATTGATGGAAACAGTGAATCTGACTTCCATGCCGGATCGTGCACCCACACTGCTGAACAGACCAACCCCTGGTGGAGAGTGGACCTGCTGGAGCCCTACATTGTCACCTCCATCACCATCACCAACAGAGGAGACTGCTGTGCAGAAAGGCTCGACGGACTGCAGATTCACATCGGCAACTCTTTACAAAACAATAGTTTGGAAAACACAGTGTGAGTGAATATGAAAAATAAGTTGATCCAGCATTTTACTTTTATTTTGCCTTCTTTTTTTGTGTCAGTTTGTCTGAGCACCTTCCTCCTCAACCTTCACACCTCTGCACTGCACTCATACAGAAAGTTAAAGTCTGTCTTGCTAAAGGTGCAGTGGAACAAGGAGAGGTTGTTACTGATGAGTGTGAAAAGGTTTGTCCCTGGGGTTTACGGGCCATATTCCACGAGTTGGAATCCACTTTCAGAAGTTTAAATTTGGTTTTTAGTTTGACTTTAACAAGTCACAACAAGCCTGTTTCTTTCATCTTCATGTTACTCCTGGACCCTTAAGGACTGAAGGTATAAGATGTGATTCATGTGATGCTTCCTCTCTCTGTTAGGGTCGGAACAATCGCAAAAATTGGTGTCGCCAAATCGTTCAATCTGCCTTTAAGCGATCGTCCGGAGGGACGTTATGTGACTTTGGTTCTACCGGGTTCCAAAAGGATTCTTACACTCTGTGAAGTCGAAGTCTACGGGTACCGTGCCCCAACCTGTAAGAATTTGACTTATTACAAACAAATGTGAACAGTATGCAAATTCTTTTATCTCATCTATAAACTGTGGCATGAGCCAAAACATAAATCATATGATACTTTTTTTTGTGCTTTAGCTACATTAACATTAAAGAAACTTTGGTGAGAGTTGTATAATAAATGAGTGTGTATCCTGCTTTTATCCTCCATCCTACATTATGACTGAAAATGACATTACATTTACTGAATGAATTATTCAGTCGTAAATCCTTCAGTCATACATATAGTGCATTTATTAAAACTTAAAATTTTTCATGATTTTGCTGTCACGATAACTGCTAAGAAGTCAAGGTATTTTTTCTAACTGTTTTCTTGTTGCAGCAGAGAACCTGGCTCTCCAAGGAAAAGCCACACAGTCGTCATTGTATGGATTAGGTATTGCATATAATGCCATTGATGGGAATCGAGCCAACAGTTGGAATCAGCCCTCCTGCACTCACACAAACAACGACATGAACCCCTGGTGGCGACTGAGTCTGCCCAAAACCCACAAGGTGTTTTCTGTTAAGGTAACCAACCGAGATGAAGTTGAAGAACGAATCAATGGAGCTGAGATCCGAATTGGAGATTCCCTTGACAACAACGGCAACAACAATCCCAGGTAGCCTACAGTCTGTTAATTAACTGCAATACCAATATAATTAAAAGGTCACGGATTTATGAGTCAAGCTCTTTCATATGGAACTAAATATAAATGTGGTAACTTTCCTTTTTTACATTATCGCCATAATGAAGTGATTTCTTCTTCTTCTTCTTCTTCTTCTTCTTCTTCCACCAGGTGTGCTGTGATCCCAAGCATCCCAGCAGGTGCTACTGCTGAATTCCAGTGTAATGGGATGGATGGCCGCTATGTTAACATTGTTATCCCTGGAAGAACAGAGTACCTGACCCTGTGTGAGGTGGAGGTGTATGGCTCTGTCCTGGATTAGCTTTAAAATGTACTGAACTTGCCATAATTCAGACAACACCATCATATGTACTCAAACAAATCAAAATAACACATTAAGCTATAAATTGATTGTTCACTTAAAAAATATAATTTTCTTATTGTTCCATGCCTATTACCATAACTGTGTTAGTCTCAGCTGCAACAATCACGTGTGAAATAGGCCTGCTATATTTAGTACATGACAGCAGTAGTGTGTTAACTGATCTGTTTTTATTTCTAATGCTGGTTTGAACTGTATTTTAATACTGAACTTGTGATTGTACTGCCATTGCCTGCTGCTGCCTAATATGTTATCTTTGCTGAAGTCAAATTAAATCATTAAAAGCTGGTACTCTCCACCAGCCTGTCATTCACATAAGAAGGCGTCTGAGCTCCACTGAAAGCAGTAAAATCGTCTATGGGGGGGTCACTAGAACATTACAAAAGAACATTATTTTAGTCACAAATAATGTGTTTTTCCATGTAATGGGTATTATTTACTCCCTATAAAAACATTACTTTCTCTGACTACTTCAGTTTGAGTAGGAAGAGATGTACACCTACACCAGCCTTTAAAGCAACCATTGCTTGATCTGGATTTTATTGAAATTCTTGGATGTGTGAAACGCTGCTTGAGCGAGCTCTAAGCTGCTGAGATCACCTACACAAATATGAATGTTTAAACTTTTGTCAATATGGACATGCTACACATTGTTAGTTTGATTCTCCACAATTCAGTCAAATTGTCAAGATCAAATGAATGATTCACGATTGAAATGATAGCCTCATTTTTATACAAGTAATATTCATACTGGTTTAAATAAACAATCTGATAGTATTGCCTGTCTTTGTTGAGCTAGAGTTTTGTGGAAAAGGGGTTAAACGCCTGTCCCATTTAGACGCTGTGCAAATATAGGCAGGTTGAGGTCAGAAAATAAAAGCCATTGCCAGCTATTGATTGAAGTTTTACCATATTTAGGAGTAAGTATTACTGTAACTGACTGTGTAAAGCCAAATTAAATAAACATTGGGTAATACTTCAGATAACTGGAACATTGATTTGGGGATGTGCAATCGATGTGCATGGGAGTAGACTCCAAGCTGTGATGTGATTGGATCAACAGCCTGGCTTTAAGGGTTTTTATATCCAGACACAGCAGTGCCACTCTGTCCCATGTCTCAAAGAGGCTCGGTACAGTAACTCACTGGACTCCAGGGATAAAAGATCTGTTCTAACCAGGAAGCAGGGTAAGCATTTTATTTATTTCATCAATGCATCTCGTATTTTGCAAATTCTTTGTGCAGATATTTATTTTGTATCTTCAAGAATTACACTTTTTACAGTGTGTAGCAAGTATTTCTAGAACTGTGAGTTCCTTCAGCACACAATGCAGCCCCAGAGGTCAGTTAATGAACATACATGTATTGACTCCTCAGCCGCACACTGTCAATACAAAATACTCAGCTTTACAGCTCTTGTGAGGCTTCTATAGCCCTATTCCAAAGCCTGTTACAGTTCACTCCAGATGTTCTTTCTGGTTTGTTTGTGGTGGCCAACTCAGGTCCAGCACACTTCTGCATTTAGAGAGGAGATATTGATAACTCAGTGACTACCAGCTGAGATAATCAACTCACTTGGCGCTGCTCTCACAAGTCGTCCCCACACCTCTCTCTCTCCTGCAGCTGAGTGTACACCACACCCACCTCCACACAGTGTAATTCTGTTCTACGAATAAGATACTTACTGGTTCCAATTGGTGCATTTCTTGTCTTGCTTGTCTGCTTGACGTGACGTGCTACGGTAAGCGTACTGACTCATTTCCGGTTTACTTCCTGCTCTGTGTACACTGTTTGGGTGTGTTTCTACTACTACAAAATTAATGTGGTGTGTAATTATGCTAAAACCATGTCGGATTCTCTGGACCCCTACCCAATGTGACCAGTGATGACATGTATAGCCGCATGTCGTCATTCCACCGCTGGCTGTCGAGGTGGTGTCCAGAAAACAATGTGGGCTTCATTGATAACTGGAAGCCTTTTTGGGGAAAACCTGGTCTGATTAGGAGAGAAGGCATCCATCCCCATTTGGACGGAGCGGCTCTCTTTCTATCTACAAATATGGCGAAGTTTATTTCTAAAACCTGACAGTCCAGAGTTGGGACCAGGAAGCAGAGCTGCTGTCTTACACACGCTTTCTTTAGAACAGTCACCCACCCAAAACCCCATAGAGACTGTGTCTGTCCCCTGACCACCTAAATTATTTAAATAAATAAAAACAAGAGGAGTTCAACATCAAAATCTAATAAAAATTCAAACCAACTCCTCAGTAGCACAAAATAAGAGAATGAAATGTGGGCTGTTAAATATCAGGTCTCTGTCCTCTAAAGCTGTTTTAGTGAATGAATTAATATCAGATTATGATATTGATTTACTTTGTCTTACTGAGACCTGGTTGTCCCACGAGGAGTATGTTAGCCTAAATGAATCCACCCAACCCAGTCATATTAATACTCACATTCCTCGAGGCACTGGCCGAGGAGGTGGAGTGGCAGCCATATATGATTCGAGCGTTTTAATGGACCCTAAATTATAATTCATTTGAAAGCCTTGTTCTTAGTCTTTCTCACCCAAACTGGAAAACACTGCGGCCAGTTCTATTTGTTATAGTGTACCGCGCTCCTGGACCATACTCTGATTTTATATCTGAATTCTCAGAGTTTCTATCAAGTTTAGTCTTTAAATCAGATAAAGTAATTATTGTAGGTGATTTTAATATTCATGTGGATGTTGACAATGACAGCCTTAGTAATGCATTTATATCATTAATAGACTCAATTGGCTTCTGTCAGAGTGTAAGTAAACCAACTCATTGTTTTAATCACACTCTTGACCTTGTTCTATCATATGGCATTGATATTGAACATTTAATAGTCTTCCCACAAAATCCTTTCCTATCTGACCATTATTTAATAACTTTTGAATTCATACTATTAGATTATAAGCCATTAGGCAAAACTTCTTACAGCAGTTGTCTATCTGACAGTGCTGTAGCTAAATTTAAGGAGAAGATTCAATGCCATGTCTGAATTTAACAGAGTCCTATAACAACATTAGTCCCTCTGAAATTGATAATCTTGTCGATAGTGCTGCAGGCTCACTATGATCAACATTAGACTCTATCGCTCCTATAAAAAGGAAATTATTAAAACATAGGAGAATAGCACCTTGGTATAACCACCAAACCCGCCAGTTTAAGCAAATAGCTAGGAAATCTGAAAGGAAATGGCGCTCTTCCAAATAATCAGAATATCGCTCAATTTGGCAAGATAATCTTAAAACTTATAGAAAGGCCCTCCGTAATGCCAGAGGGGCCTATTACTCAGCACTAATAGAAGAAAATAAGAATAACCCTAGGTTCCTCTTCAGCACTGTAGCCAGGCTGACAGAGTCACAGCTCTATTGAGCCACATATCCCCATAAACTTAAGTAACAATGACTTCATGAGCTTCTTCTATAATAAAATTATTACTATTAGAGAGAAAATTAATCACCAACTGCCATCAACAGTTATCAGTGGCTCTCCAAGTTCAGGGACTTTTGCTAATGTAAACTTAGATATATATTTAGACTGTTTTTCTGCTATCGATCTTCATCAGTTAACTTCAGTCATTTCTTCATCGAAGCCATCAACCTGTCTGTTAGACCCGATCCCAACTAGGCTGCTTAAAGAAGTTGTTCCCTTAATTGGCACTTCTTTACCGGATATGATTCATCTTTTTTTATTATCAGGATATGTACCACAGTCCTTTAAAGTAACTGTAATTAAACCCCTTCTTAAAAAGCCCACTCTTGACCCCGGGATTTTAGCCAACTATAGACCGATTTCTAACCTCCCCTTCCTCTCTAAGATTCTGGAGAAAGTAGTCGCCAAAGAGTTGTGTGACTTTCTACATAATAGTTTATTTGAGGATTTTCAGTCAGGATTTAGAGTTCATCATAGCACAGAGACAGCTCTGGTTAAAGTTAATAATGACCTTCTGATTGCTTCTGACAATGGTCTCTGTACTTGTATTATTAGATCTTAGTGCTGCATTTGACACCATTGACCATGATATTCTTTTACAGAGACTTGAGCATCAAATTGGTATTAAAGGACCGCACAAAGCTGGTTTAAGTCATATTTATCAGATCGTTCGCAGTTTGTACATGTTAACAATGAATCTTCAATAAATACTACAGTTAGTCATGGAGTTCCACAAGGTTCTGTACTTGGACCAATACTATTTACTATATATGCTCCCTTTAGGCAACATTATTAGGAATCACTCCATTATCTTTCACTGTTATGCAGATGATACGCAGTTATATCTATCAAGCCCAATGAAATTAATCAATTATCTAAATTACAAACATGTCTTAAGAACATAAAATCCTGGATGACCTGCAATTTTCTGATGTTAAACTCAGAAAAAAACAAAATTCTTGTTCTTGGCCCCAAAAACCTTAGAGACTCACTGTCTAAAGATATAGCTACTCTAGATGGCATTAACTTGGCCTCTAGCACCACTGTCAGGAATTTTGGAGTTATCTTTGATCAGGATTTGTCCTTTAACTCCCACATAAAGCAAACCTCTAGGACTGCCTTCTTTCATTTACGTAATATTACAAAAATTAGACACATACTATCAGAGACAGATGCAGAAAAACTAATCCATGCATTTGTTACTTCAAGGCTGGATTACTGCAACTCTTTATTATCAGGTTGCCCCAATAAGTCCATTAAAACGCTCCAATTAATTCAGAACGCTGCAGCACGAGTACTGACAGGAACTAGAAAAAGAGATCACATCTCTCCTGTACTAGCTTCTCTGCACTGGCTCCCTGCAAAATGTAGAATAGAATTTAAAATCCTCCTCCTCACCTATAAAGCTCTTCATGGTCAGGCCCCTTCATATCTTAAAGAGCTCATAGTACCCTATTACCCCACTAGAACACTATGTTCTCTGAATGCTGGGCTACTTGTGGTTCCTATAGTCTTTAAAGTAGAACAGGAGCCAGAGCCTTCAGTTACCAAGCTCCTCTCCTGTGGAACCAGCTTCCAGTTGTGGTTCGGGAGGCAGACACCCTCTCCACATTCAAGAGTAGGCTTAAGACATTCCTCTTTGATAAAGCTTATAGTGAGGGCTGGATCAGGTGAGTCCGGAACCATCCCTTAGTTATGCTGCTATAGGCCTAGACTATCGGGGGATTTCCCATGATGCACTGAGCTCCTCCCTTCCTCTCTCTTTCTGCTCTCATTCATGTTCCATTAATGCATGTTACTAAATTCACTTCTTCCCCGGAGTTCTTGTGCTTTCTTGTCTCGCAGGTTCTTGGCGATTCTGGTGGAGCCTCCTGCCATGGTCCTGCTACATTGCCATTGCCAATACTGTTGTTGCTGTGCATCTGTCTGTGCGTCTGTCTGTCTCTCTGTCTCACCCACCCCAACTGGTCGAGACAGACGACCACCCACCTAGAGCCGGAGGATCTGTCCTAGGTTTCTGCCTTTTAACAGGCAGTTTTCCTTGCCCTTGTCGCCAAGTGCTTGCTCACGGTGGTACTGTTGGGTCTCTGTAATTAATGTTTTAAAGAGTTCGGTCTAGACCTGCTCTGTTTGAAAAGTGTCCTGAGATAACTTCTGTTATGAATTGGCGCTATACAAATAAAACTGAATTGAATTCATCTTCTTCATGAAGACCTTCATCAGTCAAAATGTACTTTGAGGTGCCATTTGGAGCTTTAATGCTTTTAACAACTCTCTCTCTTGTCTTTCCCAACCAGAATAATGAGGCACAGTGTGGTATTTCTGTTGCTGCTCCTCTTAGGGGCGGGTTCAGCTTACAACTATAGTAAGTATAATGTAGGAATATCCTGTGTTTACAGTTGCAATCAGAAATAATCAACCCCCCTCACCTCAAAAGACATTATAGTGATTTGGATGAGAGACAATGACAATAAATGACAAAAAACCTCATTAAACAACAAAAAATATTTGATAAATATGATTTAATTTGACAACAGAAGTCTACTTAACTTTGAGGTTCAAATGAAACTAACTCTTTTAACACGTGTGCAGTATTATTCAACCTCCAGCTTCAGTACTTTGTGGCGCATCCTTTAGCTTTTATAACTTCTAACAAACGTTTTCGGTAAGTGCTGACAAGCTTCTTACACCTCTCGATTACAATCTTTTCCCATTGTTCACGTGCAAAAGCGTCTAGCTCAGTGATGTTTGATGGCTTCCGTGCTGCCTTCTTTAAATTCCACCAAAGTTAAATCTGGTGACTGAACAGACCACTCCAGGACGTTCCAGGATCTTTTTCTCAACCAAGCTTTGGTTGACTTGGAGATGTGCTTGGGATCATTGTCTTACTGGAAAGTCCAATGATCACCAAGGTTTAATTTGTTAACAGAAGCCATCACGTTCCTCTTTAAAATGGCCTGCTATTTCTGGGAATCCATGATGCCAGGTACACAATGAAAAATCACAAACAGCCTACTATTATATCCTTTATATGGATTTCAACTGTGTCCTTCATAGAAAATCTGGCCTTGCGAGGAAAAGCGACTCAGTCGGCACGTTATGTGCACACATTTGGAGCTGCCTACAGCGCTATTGATGGAAACCGTGACCCTGTCTTCGATGCTGGATCGTGCACCCACAGTGCTGAACAGACCAACCCCTGGTGGAGAGTTGACCTGCTGGAGCCCTACATCGTCACCTCCATCATCATCACCAACAGAGAAGACTGCTGTGCAGACAGGCTCGACGGGGCAGAGATTCACATCGGAAACTCTTTACTAGACGGTGGTGCTGCAAACCCAAGGTGAGTGCATATTAACAGTTTCAAGTTATAAGTGAAAACAGTGACAGCTAGACCCACAATTCTGTTCAATATTCATTACATTTTACCTTCAACCTCAGACCTGTTTCTTAACCATGACACTATGTTGATGAACATCATTAATGTGCTGCTTCCTCTCTTCTTGTGTCTCTTTTAGGGTTGGTGTAATTTCTCATATCCCTGCAGGGATCTCACATACTTTCAGTTTCACTGAACGTCTGGAGGGACGTTACGTGACTGTGCTTATACCTGGTACAAACAAGTTTCTTACACTCTGTGAAGTGGAGGTTTATGGGTACCGAGCCCCAACTGGTAAGAATTTGGTTCATACCATGTTGTATATTTGCAATAAAGGTAATTCTAATTGTATCAGTAGCTAAATGACACAGAGATCAGAGGTTATCCAGCCTGCAGGTCCCACAAGAACCACAGCAGATTTCAGTGACACAAGGTTACACAAACCGCCCAAAATGATTCTTACTTTGATCAGAATTTGATCCATTCGGCCCCATAACATTTTGAAAATCTAGAAGAGGTGCATGCTAGTAATCTTGGAAGTCTTGGATATTTAGCTTGAATCTAGTGTGCATTCTCTACGGGCCCAAAAAGATCAGAGGCTTTTTGTTTGAACATAGTATCCAGATTCTTTAGCACACGTTAGCTGGCAGGAAAACAAGGGTGATGAATACTGTCCATAGTGTTAAATTATTATTGAGACAAGCTCATTGTATGAGTGCTGTAGCATGGCTCAGATGTAAGTGTTTAATTAATCTAAACATCGATTTGCCACAGTGGCAAGGCCTTGCAGGTTTATTAGTATAAACAAGCAGCAAGGTAAATTCAAAGTGCTCAGTCATGAAAGCAGAATTACTCTTCCATAAAGCGTGGGGCTTGCCAGAGACAGATTACAAACAGTCTAGCTGCAGCAGAGAACATTAAACACCAAAAACAACAAACAAAACCTAAGTATCAGCGCTGAGACTATATTTTTTTTGCAGGAGAGAACCTGGCCCTCCAAGGAAAAGCCACACAGTCTTCATTGTATGAATTTGGTATTGCCTATAATGCCATTGACGGGAATCAAGCCAACAATTGGATAAAGGCCTCCTGCAGTCACACAAACAAGGAGATGAACCCCTGGTGGCGACTGGATCTGCGCAAAACCCACAGAGTGTTTTCTGTTAAGGTAACCAACCGAGATTCATATGAACAACGAATCAATGGAGCCGAGATCCGAATTGGAGATTCCCTCGACAACAACGGCAACAACAATCACAGGTAGCCTACAGTCTGTTAATTAATTTCAATACCAATATAGTTAAAAGGTCATGGATTTATGTGTCAAGCTCTTTCATATGGAATTGAACATAAATGTGGTAACTTTTCTTTTTCACATTAATCGCCCTAAAAAAGTGATTTCTTCTTCTTCTTCTTCTACCAGGTGTGCTGTGATCACAAGCATCCCAGCAAGTGCTACTACTGAATTCCAGTGTAATGGGATGGATGGCCGCTATGTTAACATTGTTATCCCTGGAAAAGAAGAGTACCTGACCCTGTGTGAGGTGGAGGTGTATGGCTCTGTCCTGGATTAGGTGTCAATACTAATACTGTTGAATGTACGCAAACAAAACAAAATAGTAGATTAAGCTAAAATTTGTTTCCATTCAAAATAAGACTTATCCAATAAAATTACATCACGAAATGCATACTCATTCATTTTATTGAGACCTGTAGGGAATGGAAGCCCTCTGTGATTTAGGAAGTCTGCGGAAAAATAATAGTCCAAGGGCTCCCAACACTGTGTTAATGTAATGGTGTCAGTCAATTCAGTGGAATTATTAAACTTTATTTTTGCTGTTAGTATTCTGTGAGACTTTCTTGATAGATTTGGAAACTTTTAACACCGCTGTTATGACTTTTTTGGTGTTGATGTTTGCAGCGCTTGTCGATAAAAGCAGTAATGTTTCCCAGAATGAAGACTACATTTCCCATGAGTCCCACCTCCTCGTGTTATTAAGTTCTCGATCTGGCCAGCGCGCATTTATTTTCAGAAGCAACTGAAAGAAAATTGATTATCTTGTACTGTATTAGCAATCCTGAGGTCATGAAACTTGCCCTTTGCACTCCCCGACTGTGAGATTATTGTAGAGACTCACACAGAATCAGTGACAGAATCTACGACTGCTGAGTGTCCAACACCGACCGAGAACACAGACACAGCTTTCACTCCACTTATACAAGGACCGGATGGCTCGATTGCACCAACATTCCTGGTCACCTCAACGTAATTTAAAAACATATCGGTGAAGGCAAGGGGCCTTTATTAGATCAGTTTGTAAGTTGGTTTTCTGTTTTCACCTGTGATAGGTCAACTGATTGTAACAACCTATAGTAACAACAATGGTGGTGCTCTTTGTAGATCCTTACAGGTCATTAAAGGTGCAGTTTACTTTGTGATCCAGCAGAGGGTGCACCACTATCAGCTTGAGAGCATGCCCTAGTGACCTGTCATTAAACTAAGCTATTAATGTTAGGTTGACAAAAATGGAGGAAACCAGCAAACAAAGCATGGGACAAACGCCAAAGCTCAAACTCAACCGCAGTGTGCAGTAAAACATTCCTTAACAGACTTAAAATGAGAAAGATTTGATTCTGATATCTATTTCTTAATAACACATTTAAGACAAAAAAAAAAAAAAAAAACAGTAGTGCTGATGGCAAATACTTTATTTTTTTTAAATACAGACAAAATAGACAAATATTATAAAAGACATCTGAAACACACCAACGCCTGCGACAGGAATAAACTATTTACGTCAAAGTGTTTCAGGAAGTGTGACAATCAACCCACTCCTTAAAAACGGGCACTTGACTTACAAGATCACTTCTACACCGCGAAACCTCAGTCTTTGTACAAATAGTACACAAACAAACAGCTCTGAAATCAGACGGACAGAATGTCACAGATTAAATGTGCACCGTATGATTTGTTCAACCGCTCGCTCTGGCACATTTAATCTCACCACAGTAGGAGTTTTTGAATTGTGAACGTATGTTTTGTTTTCCTTTAAAAGTGTCATCTCACTAATCTTTCTTTAATATTTGTTCTTTCCGGTGCCCGATCAATGAAATCAGCAGCACTGAGGTGTGTTGTACCGTAATGATTTCAACCTGTTACAACTTCATACACGAGAAAAACATTAAAGCTGAGAGAAACTTGAAGCCTTTATAGAAACAAAACCATCACAGAATATTTGAGAAGTTACTAATGATTGTGAAACATATGTCATCATGTTGGAGGAGTAAACATGCAACAGAAAACCCATTAACAGCCAAATGTTTGTGCAGCAGTGGCCTAGACTGGCACTCTCGTAGGAGGAAGAAGTGATGATGTTCGTTTGTGTTGCCGGTCCTCCAACATGGCGACTCCTGCCTCTTATAGGACGACATTTTGGGACAAAAATCAAACAAAATCTACCTACCAGCACCTCTAAAGTGAATCATTTGACTGCTCATTTCTCATTTGTTTAATCTGTACAAAAACTAAAGTAAAAAATGAGTAATCAAGGTTTTACAGGACGTTATGTGCCTGACTGTTTCTTGACAAGAACATTAACTTGTTGCCATCTTCATGTCACTGCAAGGTTACCAGGCAACCAGCGGAGATTGCTACCTTCGGTCAAAAAACGGTCCAGCACATAACGTCCTATAAAACCACAACTTGTCATTTTTACACTTGTAGAGGTCTTGGGAGGTACATATTTGAACTGACCAGACCAGCTCTATGAATCTTTGTGCTAAGCTAAGCTAACCTGCTGACTGCTGCTTCAAATTTACTGTACAGACACGAGAGTGGAATCAATATTCACATTTAACTCCGGACAGAAACGGGAATAAGTGTTTTATTTTTCCAAAATGTTGAACTAGTCCTTCAAAGACAAACAACTGTCACTATAAGACAAACCTGCTGTATGTTGACTCATTTATAGAGCCATGTGGGAAAAAAAACGTGTGTTGTAAAGCTTTGCAGCTCCATTACTGCCCCCCCCCTTCTGAAAGTGGCACCAAGCTTCAGTAACAAATAAAACGGTTTGATATGAGGAAACAAAAAACTTTTAAAGTATGGTGAATGTGAGTTAAACTGACTGCAATTTAAAAAGATGATAAAAGGTGAAACCGCCAATACAACATGCAGCTATGGGGCCACTGACCTACAGTTGGTGTGAAGGACACTTACTGACAGTACAAGCTGATGATAGTGATAAGCTCAACTGTCCCCTTCTGAAGGAGATTCTTGTTTCCACAGACACAAGAGTGGTATCAGTCTTCTCGTAGCACGTAAGTGAACAAGCAAATCATTTCCTAAAATGTCAAACAGTCATTAATGAGGCCCCAAAGAAGGAACCAACGACTGCTACCATTTACATAAGATCCACTGCTACAAATAGTTTGGATTGGCTGTTAAAGAACTCACAAACTGATGGTTCTCAATAACTAAAAAACACATCTTTCATTTGCTACAGTACCCCAAATACGCAGCTTTAATAACAAGACTTGCTTTGGCAATAAACAATTCAAGAAACAACAAGTACCTTTTAAAGGCTGTACAGTGGCATTTTACAAAACAGTTGTTTGGGTATTTACAAAAACGCTGTCACATGACACAGTACAGGCAATCTACTTGTTTCATTTTTAGTGGTGCAACAGATCATAGTTGATCCAAACAAACTAGATAATAAGACTGTGATGTTTATTCCAAGTTGGGAAATATCTGCTGCCTTCCCATCGATGCACAGATCCGCTCATCGGAGCAGCTCCAGTCTCTGCTCGTCTGTGACGCAGCAGCCGTCAGCTTCCAGTATAAAACCGCTTCTAAATGATCTATAGATGATCAATTCCTTTTATGAATGTCAGCACGTTGCAGAATGGTGACGTCAAACCCATGTGTCTACGCTGCTGGGACAACAAGGAGGAGTCATGGCGGTGAGGAAGAAATGGTCCTAGGCTTTGCTTCATTTCATGAATAAACTTTACTCAGTTTCTACAGTGTTCAGACTCTATAAGAGATAATAAAATAGTTGCGTTTACTTTGAAAACCTGTGTACTTTCAACAAAGTTACAATTCGACAAAGAACTGGACTAATGAGCAGAATTGATAATGGTATTGGTATTAATAGCATCTCATCAATTCCCATTCCTAGCGGATATATCGGAGCAAAAGCAGCATAGCAGTCGTAGTCTGATCCAAAAAAATAGTCCGATCCGTGACAAAAACGCGATCTGATCCAACTGTGAGTTTTGTGATCTGTTGCACCCCTATATACTTCTTATGATTTGCCCTAAATAAACACTTTTTCCCCCCGGGTTATAACTGAATTAAGAATGAAAGCTGAGTCACTAAGTAAATTTCACCTTGACGCAAAGGCTGAATGATGTCTATCAAAAAGATTTTGAACACAAAAACTGAATTTTCCCCAAAAATACTCACACATATAAATTATAAAAATAGTGTACTACTGAAAAGTATTTTCAGAGATCTACACTGTGCATAACAATAGAAGAAGTCAGCGTTTGTCAAGTTTGCAAAGGGTATTGCTTCACAGTATGTGGACATCATTGATTGGTCCCGCCAGACAAAATGTACTTCTTCAGCGCAAAGAAAATGAATTCCATACAGTAAAAAAAACAATACTGATGTATGAACAGCTTCTCTTTGAGGAGAATGTTTCTTAAAATAAGGATTATTTGTAACAGAACCGACGCAACAAACCAGAAGAAGAGCTGCGACACCTTTTGGCTTTTTCACTTGGGCACCGAACGTAATGGGAACGTCGCCGGATGACGAAGATGCAGCAATAAGGATGACTGGCAATATGTGGGAAAGAGGGAGTTTCTTTAAGTCACAAATACTGAGACCAGTGAGGGCACCAAGAGTGGAGAGACTCAAGGCAAAATTGTTTTGTCCAACCTACTGTTAGTCCAACGCTCAGGGAAAAGTATACCACAGAAAAGTGGAACAGTGGGGAGGGAAGTAAAAGGTAAAAAGTTTGCGACGGCAGTGACCGACCAGAAGCGGTGGAAAGAACCAGTCCGTCCAACGATGTTATCTGAGATCTTTGGTAGCTTTGGGGACTTTGAGGACTTTGTAAATGTCGTTGGAAAAGACTGTGGTGAAGTGGGGTCGTGAGTTCCTGGACATGTGGGTGCAGAGGGGGATTTTACCAATATTTTGGTGATCCTCAATGTCCCAGATCTCTGGCATGCTGCACCCAGGCCTGGGCAAAGAGAGAGGGAAGAGAAGGAGAGAAAGAGAGAGAAAAGAAAACAAGGTGGTTAATCATTAATATGAACTATTCGCTGAGCATTTTAACTAAATTAAAATCTTTCCTCTTTGTAATTCTCTCTCAATACGCAGCAACTGAATAAAAATGTGAAAGAAAACGTGGTCCTGGGTAACAATGTGCCTCCTTCCTGTGAGAGGGCACTCATGGTGTTGAGGTACCTGGTTCGCCTGGTGCACCAAGAATCCTCCAGGACAAAGAAGTCCACTCCCAGCTTCATCAGGTTCCTCTTTACGGTTTCTCCAGACATGCGGCTGTACATGGAGTAAACCAGCTTGGTTCTCTCCCTGCGAGGAACGAAACACAGTGGCGTTACAATGAGTAAGGGTGAGAATGACTTTTAAATTCAGACTTGATTTTAAATGCTTTATGTACATATCATTTCAGGACATTTATCTGTTTTGATTTTAACCTTACTGTCTCATTATATAAAGCACTGAATAAAGCTTGTGATTTTTTTTTAATTGCACACTTGGGCTGCAGGATATGTTTAAAAAAAAAAAATCACTGTTGTGATTATTCTGACAGACATTGAGATTTCAATATGATTCAATATTAGTGAGTGTTACAAGTTCCCCCCCCTGCTGGTCGGACACATGACAGTCACTAATGTGTTTCTGCTCTTTTCTCAGGTGGGAACCAATAAAGAGCGGGCGGGGGGATTACGGTTCACTCGCTCTGCTCATCCTCCAGCCGGGTCATGCTGCTTGGGTTCTACTTAGATAGTAGATTCTAGTTGCTTTTGCTTTCTGATGGGACTGGGTGTTCAGTTTATTGGGGCGTAACAGAAGTGAATGATCATTTTGTGCTTGATTTTCATTTTCACTGAAAAAACAAAACAAATAATAGAAATCATAATGATGTGTTCGGGTCATGTTTTCTCACGACTGTAGACCGAGATTTGTACAACAGGGCATCTCTGGAAACTTACCGTACTTCATTATAATGCTGTTTTGGCACACATTTTACCTGGATAAAAAAAAAAGCTTCTGATATTTTCATATTGCACTTGTATATTTAAATTAATCGTGGAGCTCTGTTATACACTTTAGCTATGGAAAGATTATCCAAAACACATCAGAGAAAGAGATTTACATAAAGAGATATAGATTTTACCAACATCAACCCTCCTGCTACCGTCAAGTACTCCAGTCACAGCTGAATTGAAGTTACAAAATTCTCTGTACCATTTCCTATCAGACTGCAGACTGTGTATCCAGATGTGTAACGAACTGTCTGAGAAAGAGATACATATACACACCCCATTATGCAGTATGTGCTGTATTTTGACTAGGATGAAGAGGACTGGAAACTGCCTCTAGCCAAACATGGCTGCTTTGTTTGTTTCTCTTTGTGTCTCTGCTCTGAGCACAAGAGCAGTTGTGCTGTACTGTGAGTTCCACTGACCTCAGACCAGCATCTTCATAGTGGGGGTGGTTGACGATGGGCCGACCTGTGGAAAGCTTCACGCTGGCCATGGTGGGCATGGCCCCAGCAAACACAGAATCTGCAACAAGCACACGCAAAAACAAAAAATAAATAAGACCAAAAAAAAAGAGAGGAGATGGAAGATGAATGCTGTTGAGTGGATTTAAGTTAGTAAAAGTTTAGAAATCAACTGTAGGATCATTTTGGAGGCTGTAGTTTGTATTGCATTATACAGAGAGGTGTTTCTGTTAATTAGCCTACCCTCATTGATATACATGGAGTGGACAAATAATAGAAACATCCATCAGTATAACATAATATCAATTCCATCATACAAATGAATCAACAGCTCTCTCAAACAGTTTAAACAAAACTACAACTATAACCTTCATATATCAGACTGCATTGGTTTCAGCTGTACCTACTGAATTGGCAACTTAGTGTATATTCAATAACATTGACAACCAAACAACCGTTACCATTTCAAACAGATTTAGCCCGGTTTAATCTTAGATGTCTAGACATCTATTGACATTCACATTCGTCAAAACAATTGTTACCAGGTACTGAAACAAGCATAATGTCACCCACTTGTCGCACACTGATCTTTACCTCGTTGACCTTTGGAAGGAAATATTATTTTTGTTCAGCCTGTTGTAACTGTGAAAGTATTTCCAATATTGAGTTCACGCTTGGAAGATTTATGCTGGCATATAAAGTGGGACCAGGAGGTACCTTGGTGCTGTGTACTGTTGCAGTTCAGCACAAACTTGTGAAGTAATCTTGAATAACTTTGTGTGTATCCAACTCACCAGGACGGGCGTTCTCCTGGATCCAGGTCAGCAGCTCCTCCTGCGGCAGGTTGCTGAACTCTCCAATAATCGCCCACTGGGCCTGCAGGTTGGCCACTCCCTGTACGGCCATGATGGCCATGACGGCAAACACCCCAATCTGGTGTTTAAACCTCTCCCCGATCCAGCCAAACAACTGACATAACAACCAGGGAGAGGGGAGAGAGAGAGAGAGAAGAGAGAGAGAGAGAGAGAGAGAGAGAGAGAGAGAGAGAGCATTACTAAAGTACAGAATGTGTGCTCAAACAGATAATCTGCTTATTAATACACAAATAATTGAGGTGGAGAAGAAACTTCACAGGTGAAACACTGATGACATTATTGGTCTTTTTGTTTTTGTTACTTGTGGTGAGAGACAGACCTGTTTGGAGCAGATGAGGGAGGCCATGATGCACATGTGGGGCGTCAGGAAGAGCTTCAGACGCATGATGAGCACGGCCAGGACAGCAAACGCCACCAGCTGCAGACTGTGGTACACCAGCTGCAGAGCGACAAGTCCACACACAGTCCGATAATCAAGACTGACAGGAAAGGGCAGAGGAAATAAAACGAGCAAGATACTCTTCCAGGAGCTGCGACCAATCTCCTCATCTGCCGAGGCAGTTAACTAAACGTCGAACTCAGACCAAGCTCAAACCGCTTGAACCAGAACAGGCAATTTGAAGACGCCATATAGGGCGGCCAATTGTTTAAACACAAACTAACACAAATTGGAGCGAACTAGCAAATTAGAGGGCAGTGTTAAACAGATAATCACAGGGTTCCTGCTATTTTTCAGAAATCATGTTCCAGGACCTTTTCCAGGAGTTTTCTTGTCAATAAAGGACAGAACTCTCTCACAAACGGCCATACCGTTGACTGGTAGGCCTCATATTACAGTTTTTCCCAGTTTTATTCCTCCTTTTTTTTAAATGATGCACGGTGATGATGATGTGAGCTGGGTGGTCAGCCTTTATAGGACACCCAGCGTTAGCTCGCTTTAATGAGATATCACCACAGCCAACGCCGCAATGATCTGACTACAGTTTACTACAGTAATCCTCTAACCCTTGTTTAAACAGGCAATCTGAGTGAAGGCCTAAATTACAATAACATTTCCAAGACAACTGATGTAAAATGACAGTAACATAAGCTTGTCGCTGAACGTTAATTCTGCAAAGTAGGTTAGGATTGCGTTCGTATTAATTCCCTGTTCTAAATTGTTCAGACTATTTTTAAAGTCACAGCCCTAATTGATGAAGAAATCATACACTGCAGCCCTACGCTGAGTGAAACTATGATCTCTTGAGAGGCAGCTGATCTGAACTCTGAAGAAAAGCTACATTTGCTGGACAGACTGTGTAATGACATTTGCATGATGCTTTGATCTTTAGGACTTCTGCTCCCTGTGAGGAAGGAGGACACGCTTGGGTCTCTGCAGCGTTACTCACTGGGCCATATAGAAACATTAAAGCAATTATCTGGGAAACTGTGTGGCTGGCGAATGAACATCAGAATGCTTTCCTGCCCTGGGAATGATATTACAGAAAATGACATGAAGCAGCTGGGAGAAAGCTGACAAAAGGCAGCACAGTGTGATTTCAGAGCAGAAAGGGAAGCTGCCTTTCATTTCTTAGTAATGAGAAAAGGGATGAAAATCACTTTGGGACGTGGTAACTGAGCAGACATTACTGCGCTGGAGCAATCTAATCAAATAAAACAGGTTTAGAAAAATGGAACTACGCTCAGAGTTGACACCGAGGTGTTATCAAGTGAAAAGTATTCTTTCTCACCTCTCCTTTTCCGACAATTTCAGACCTGCAACAAGGAACAGACAAAAATATATGAACTCAGCAGTCCAAAATATCATATTTTCCTATTTAAAACTGTAATAATATAGCAAACATGTAAGGATAGGGAAATCAGGCCAGCAAGAAGGCCTCAGAAGGGCTCACCCTGCAGCTTCATCAACATCATCGGTCTTCCCTCCGTCCCTCAGGAACCGGACTATATCCTGCAGAGTCTGAAAAAGGACAAATGGTTAGAATGAAATGCTAAGGATATTCCTTAATATGTCATGTTTCTAACAAATAGTGCAGTGTATGAGAGGATCTTCCTAACAGCCTGCTCATGTACTGCACACCATGCTTTGTCAAATCGACTCATGTATTCTTAGCTTAGCGTGGGCAAGGCATAATGAGATTAGACTACATAAAGAGCAGTTCCTTAAATAGTTATTTTCTCGGATGTCCCCCCCCCACCAAAATATTTCATGATTCAGGAATCAGGAATAAATCTTCTTGTTCGCCCTTCCTCAAAGCTTAAACACACACATGTAAATGTCAACTACACACATTATTATATTATTATTATACACATTGAAAGCAAATAAGACATAACCTGCATTTAAAAAGCCTCCTCCTATATTCAAGCAGTTCTCCTCCTGGTAACCAGAGCAGGTAGACATCCAGCTTTGTCTTCCTGCCGCAGTGAGCCAGTGTCTCAAGGCTCTAAAGTGATTTAAACTTCATGTTTGACTGATTGCTGTATTGTTCTGCATCACACTGCAGACACTGTATGACTCTCACATCTGTACAAATCTGTTGTAGAAGATGTTATTTGTTATTGTTATTTTGTATTGCATTCTTTTCTTCTCTGGTTTTCAGTGGAACCGCTGTATTTACTTGAATTTCCCTCGGGATAAATAAAGTATCTATCTATCTATCTCTATTGCATTCTATTTACTACTACTACTACTACTACTACTACTACTACTACTACTACTACTACTACTACTACTACTAGATGCGCTAGTTGTCTGTATTTCGATGTACGAATGCATGTAGATTAATAACTGAACGTGTATTGAGTCAGGCGGACTTTGGCGGACAAGCAGTGGACTTTGAGATATTTATTTAATGTCTGACACAACTCTATGACGCAAACTCAGCTGCTGGGTTGATATACTTTTTGCTGACAGTGTGCAACACTCCCATTAGTTTTTCATCAGATTACATTCTTTGCATTATATACAGCTGACATTCACTGAACCTCTCCTCCAAACAGCAATTGTACAGTCATAGCTTAGCAACTGTAACCAGACAGCTACTGAAGAGCTACTGAACCTACTGACTGTTTTACTCCACTCAGAGCTCTTCACTTTCCTTCATGTCCTCTTCATGTTTTGCAGCCGGACTTGAACTACGCCACGTTTCAAAACAACCCCAAGTGTACAGGTACAGAAGACTTACCCTCCAAGCAATGAGAGCAACCACCAGCATGTTGATGGGCAGCAGCAATGTTTTAAGGTAGCGTACGGGAGTCTGAGTGGGAGGGAGACAGACGCACAGAGTAGGTTATGATAGGAAATGAGAGAGACAGAGCTATCTTATAATGTACACTCTACTCTAACCACCTGTATGCACATGCACAAACACAAAACCAGGCCGCTGTCTAGCACAGAACTCAACTCAAAATGAGCTGCCAGATTTTGCTGTCAGGTTCTCCTGTGAGCATAGATTACATTCCCTCTACACTGAGACCTGCTGGGAGAAAATACCAGCCTTTGATATCAAACAGACAGAATTTAATCTATTTCTGAAAGCTTCACAGGAGTCTGACGGGCCTTTTGAAAGCAAATGTTTGGCAGGATTTTCACAAACCACATAAAAGTAATATTATATCAGTGAACACTATTGCAGTTAGTCAATTAAATAACTATTTTGATAAATAATCAATTAATCGTCTTTTAAAGATAAAATGTCCAAATTCTCAGATTTCAGCTTCTCAAACGTGAATATCTTCTGGTATCTTTAGTCCTGTATGACAGTAAGCTGAATATCTTTGGTTGTGGACCAAACAAGACTAATCGACAATGAAAATAACTGTTAATTGCAGCCCTAGTGAACACATAAGCACACAAACTTACAAGAACGATGGCTGTCAAATCAAAACGTACCTCTAATTCAATGAAGTCAAATTCGGCAGCACACGTGTACATCAGAGTGTGGAAGTCCTTGTAGCTTGTGAACTTAGACTTTATGAGTCCACTGATGTGAGCCTGGAAAGGACAAAAAAAACAAACTTTTTCAACATACATTTTGTATTTAAAGTTTGTTCTCTGTCCAACTATTAAACCATTTCTATTCACACATAAAACTCAATTTCCCTGCCTCTTTCTACAAACATGGCAACCCATTGAAACAACAATATATAATCATATCAGGAATTTAATTTCTATAACTAATTGTATCTTACATCATCCGAGGCACAGAGGACTGTGGACAGCATGAATTTGAGCAGAACTGTGGAGCCGACCCAAGCCAAACCCTGCATGACCTGAGGAAGAAGAAGAGATACACACTGACAGGCTGACAAGAAACACGCACGCACGCACGCACGCACACACGCACACACGCACACACGCACACACAACTCAGGCAGGAAGCTGTAATCAAAGCCCCGAGCTGCTCTGGGACTGGGAGCAAGCTATGTTGTTACTGACTGGACACACTGGGCAAACAAGTTCTATTCTATTATTTTATCTCTTATAGTGTCACCTTTATTGTTATGTTATCATCCAAGTGACAGCTGGTTACTTAATATTCTTTTTGAGAGTTTTAGTTTGAAATACATAGGCAATACTGAATTTAAACATTACATATGAAATGACTGCGTTTTAGCCACATTTGTGGCACACTTATGTTCATCATCAAACCATGTGGAAAAACTAAATCAATGTCAAATGCTTCGTTATTAGATGTCTGACTTTTTTTGAACACAAAAGCTTCCACAGATTTCTGTTAAGTGAAAACAGCCCATGTAGGCCGTACTGACTTTGTGTTAAACACAGTTATGTTTTTAATTTAGTTCACATTCATAAGAATCAGCAGCAAGCAGTTGTAAAGTTCATTCTCAGTTTATTATTAAACTAAAGTAATGTGCACGGGTGAAAATGCGTGTGCATTTTATGTTAAAAAAGATGACATTGTATTTGTGTGTTTAATAGCTGTATGACTGCTCCGTGTGTGTGTGTGTAATGCCAATCTTGGCAGTGTGTTTTTGTGTGTAGAAGTATGCAAGGCCTTTTGTCCAGCACCCTCCCTGAATGTAGGGATGAAAAAATGTGTACATTTGATGTTAAAGAAATGCATTTGCTTGGCTAATTCTTTAAAAGTGGGTCGCGACTTAATGACCATTGGAAAATATGTACACATGAAGGAGAAGTAAATTCTACATACCCAGGTGATGATGCCAGGTTTGAAGACTTGAGCAAATCTATCCCTCAATGCAATGATTGCCTGAAAACAACAACAACACACAACACAATAAAGAAAATAATCCACAGCCAACATATGTATGATCTCTATCATGGTTTTGTATTTTTAGTTCCTTTCCTTTTGCAATACCATTTACTCAAACAAAGACAAATGTATTTGTTATTTTAGACCAGCCGGATCCATTGATCAACCTGACCATTTCTTGACTGACCCTATCAATCTCAGAACATTCAATGATTGCACACGCGCTACATCGCACTCGAAGGTCCAGCTCACCCAGATGGAGACGAGTGAGGAGGCGTAGAAGGACGTGAGCAGCATGGAGTTGCCAAACATCAGGATAAAGCAGATGCCGAGAGTGATCTGCAGGATGAAAAACAGGAAAGAGGTGTCATTCATCACGCTCCTGAGGTCATTCACGCGGCTGTGGACGGTCCAGCGCAGCCCGTCCGGCTATGGTAACCAGTGATTTTCAGCAGCTTGATGTCTGTGATCGGTCTCTGTAATAAGGCCAAACATGCAAGCTTGGCAGTGAGCTCAGAGACACAGCCAGCTTCTGTAGGTTTCCAGTGGCCTCATAAAAACACTCCTTACTCACTGTCGCCTGCACAAAATGACTATCTGTCTCTCTATAGCAGGAGGGTGGTCTTTCTGAGTGCCAGTGTTGTTGAAAACACTCCACAGATTTAAACTAATGCAATAAACTTTGAATACGCCGCCACTAGCACAATATAATCCTACTCAATGAACTCTTGATGCTTAATCCCACAGTGAAGATTGAAATAATGCACCAGTGTGCATTGTGTAGACAGTCGGGCAGTGATTCCCAATCAGGAGCACTTACAACACTGCGGGGTACTTCAGCAGTTGCCAGGGGTTACGTGGAAAGATTAAAGAGTAGCTCAACCCATTTGGAAAGAATAAATATTACATTTTGAATTGACAAATATATCCACATTATGAGTCAGATGTAAGAAATGGAATATGATATCCATAAGTATGTTTTCATTGTTGTATAATCACCTGAAAATAAGAACTGTTGTGTTTTCATTACCACAGAATGAGCCGTTCTTATCTACACAGTGAGCCGGTCCTCTTCTACAGACTATGGCACAATGAACCGCCATGTTTCTACAGTAGCCCAGATCGGACAACTCAAAACACTCCAGATAGGGCCTTTCATGTTTGCAGCGACTGTAGTTTCTCCTACATGCTTGGAAGATTGAACTGTGTTCAAATGGTTGCAGTCTGCAACTTCTCTGCTAGATGCCAGTTAATCCTACACACTGGTCCTTTAATCTAGTCAGAAACACTGCAGATTCCTTTTCAGTTGATCAACAAATCAGCAAATTCATTTTCAGTATTGTTTCAGCACAAAAAAAGCCTTATTGTTTATTTTTCAAGCTTAAATATCAAATATTCTCTAATTCCAGCTTTTGAAATTTTGAGGAGTTGCTGCTGTTTTTTTTTTTCAATAAAAAAGTAAATAGAATATTTTGAGGTTCTGGTTCAATTTCAAAGAAACTGCGACGGGCCATATACTCTATTTTTGACATTTTAAAAACACTTAATTATTGAAGTAACTGATTGATAATTAAAACATTTAGTAGTTGCAGTTCTACACGTCTGTATGCCCTGTAACAAGTGACACTGCTCAGGCTCATTAACAACGCTGTAGGTCATAGAGGACACACACGCCTGGTTGTGCGTTTTTTTTTTTTTTTTCTTTCACACACAAAGCCAAAGTCATCGTTGCCAAGCTCTCTAAATTATGCAGAGCCATATGCCTTCCTCTGACACAAATCTCCACCATCTCACCACAAAGGGCCTTCTCCTTATCTGTGGAGCACACAGTCCCTGGCTAACAGCCTGGCATGCTGAGGGGATTAGGGGGAAAGAATGTGGAGGAGAGGAACCAACGGCCAGAATAACACACACACACACACACACACACACGAACAAAAACATCTGTACACATTCTCACATCAACACAGATATACTTTTGTCCTTAGCAGGGTGAACTAAGTTGCCCACATATCCTCCCTTTTTCATGCTAAAAAGGCACTCGTGCGTGTGCAGTGGCATCATTAATGCTAAAAAAAAAGTCATCCCTGTCTCTGCTGGCGTTGTCCTCGGGGCTCATGAAATTCTTCCGGCCGAGGAGCTGAGCGAGATAAGGAGAACCGAGGCAGAGCACATTACAGCTCAGAGGAAAGAAGCTTGAAAGACTTTCACTTATGCTGGGGACAACACATGAGCCAAACACACAGTGAAAGCGAATATACATTTGTGATCCATGAAACTACTGAGCAGTGCCACTGCAACATGCACAAGTGACAAAGAAATATGTACAGTGAGGGAACAGAAACACTCCTAACACTCTACGATGGATGGACTGATGTAGGATTCTGTACCATATGAGTGACCAGGATGGACTGCATCTTGGCGGCAGCGAGGTAACCCAGGATGTAAGAAGCAAACAGAGAAGCCACCTGGAAAAGAAGAAAATACAGACAACCTTAACAATAACCTCTAACACTAAACAATATACAAAAACTTTTTTTAGCTTTAATAACTGGAACCAGGCACAGATGCTGCGTATTTAAACTTTTGAAATTCCAAATGAGCGGAGGTTGTTGCTGCAAAATATGAAGCACTTCTGATAGAAACTGGATTCTAATGTCAACTGTTTCTTATCATTTCACATTTCTACTACCACGTCTGCTTAAAAAAGAGAGACAGAGCACTTTATTAATCCCAGTAGAAAACTGGGTTATTAGATGGTAGGTATAAAACACAATACACTAAAAAACATTTTTAAACAATGTATGTACATGTAAAATTTGAGAATAAAACCATATCTAAAACCTTGGAGCAGTGTGTTTATATTGCCTTGTGTTTCTTCTATATCTCATCTTAATGCCTTTATGTGTTATGTAAAGCACTTTGAATTACTATACAAATGAACTTAGCTTGCCTTTAACTCTAAATCTAAACTAAATATCCACAGTACATTTGTAGTGTATGTCCAGTAGTTAATGTTATGCACGGTGCTGCAATGGAGCCGTAAGATTAAACTGTGATCAATTAATAAACGCATCAATTTTAAAACGCAGTATTGGGCACCCCAAGCAGGGGAACTTTGATGCATCTCTCTCTCTCTCTCTCTCTCTCTCTCTCTCTCTCCTCCTCTCCCCCCATCATCATTTCCTGTTATCGCTTCACTATTACACTTAGTGTTTTAAAGCATACTTTTGCAATACTGCATTACTTATCAAATGCATTTGAATTTAAATTATACAACTCTCAAGTAGTGAAGTATAACTACATAAAAACATCATTCAATCTGCCTATTAATCATTCCAGTTATGGAATTATGTCTCCAAGTGATGAATTTTATAGGGGAATAGGAATAGCAAAATAAATATTAAAAAGGTTTTTTTTTTTTTTTTTATTTTTATGTAACTTTTTGTTAATCCATCTATACTATTTAGGTATATAGAAATATCATCTCACACATTCCTGCTTTAAAGTTTTCATTGTGGGATTAAACATGTGTAAGCATTGTGCAATCACACAGGACAGAATATGGAAAAATACATTTTAAGATGCTTTTTATCTGATTTTATTTTTCTACTTGCAAATTAAAATGCAAACTTGCTTATTAAAGTTTTTTAAAATTGATCAATTTATTAAAGCACTATAATTAAACCCCAGTAAAAATCTCTAATTATTTCGGTCACACACTCCAGGTTCCATAGTTATGTACAGGTATGTAATCATAAAATAAAAGGGATATGAACTATCAATACAATATTGTAATAGCGTCACTAATTCTGTGATTGTAAAAACTTTTATGAGTGCATTCAGTATATGTATCCACTGAGGAGTGAGCAGTGCGGGTGGATGCACAATATTTGGCCTCAGGGTGGGTTACGCATACAGTGGATCATGCAAACAGGTGCAATTAGCACCTTAAAAATAGGAAAAAAAAAAAAAAACAAGAGAGCTATTAAATAACTCGCCTCGTGCTAAACTCCCTGTACAGAAAGCAGCGGGGCCCTGAGGGGGCTGCTGACAGCGTGGGCTAAACTGCTGCTGAGCACAGAAGCTTGCAGCAGTGACCTGTTTGTGCTGGAGTCGTGGTTCAAACTCCGGCTTTGCTGTCTGCCAGCCTACACTCTTTAACCTCCTATTTTTTCCCTTTAACTTGTCTGCAACTCTGAAAGAATAAGTATATTCTTGTTTTATGTGCACATTTTCCTACTGTAGGTTATGAGAGGTGTATGAAATAAAGATGTGAATGACGTATTCATGTAATTTCAGTATCTTTATCCCTCTTCTTTAGTCTTTCCTGCCTTTGTGTCTTCGCCATCCTGGCCAATTTCTGCTCTCTTTGTACCTGCCTTGCCGGAGTCCTCTCATCTCTCCAAGTCTCTATTTTCTCCCTAATCTCTCTGCCCCTTCTTCCTCTCTTCCCACATTCTCTCTCACTGTTTCTTTTGCTCTCTGTTTACCTGAGTGAGCAGCACGAACTGGGCGAACTGCCAAGGCAGCATGAAGCACAAATTGGAGACGCCAAGAGCAACCATGGCTGTCCTGCTTGGGTTCCGGGTCCTGGAGAGAGAAGAGAGACAGAGGGAGGGGGGGGGGAGAGAAATAGAGTGGTAAGAGAGTGTCGGTGTAGAGGAGATAAGAGAAGATGCATTAGGACGGCTGAGAAAACATACACACATTCAATTTCATTCCGAGTGTACTACAAAGACCCGGTTATGTACTGAGCCAGCATCAGAAATACGACACGTAGTTCATTCTCCTTTTAAAGCCGGAGGTAGAAGAAGTCCCAGTTTACTGGCTGCACTCACACAACCCAAGGTGGCGTCCACTATTTGATGTGCACTGAGAAGATTACTAGTCTGTGTGACAAGTACACCGCTCACCACGCTGTCTTCTTCAGTGCACTACTGAGCAGACAATAGCCGCTAGCTTTGTTTCTCCCCAGTAATTACACAGGACAAACTGTTATTCTGGAGCCTACAGTCTGTTAGTCTTCTGTTAGACTTCTGTCATGTCACATATTCAACAGGGTATTACAATGAAAAGAAAAACAGATGCTTTCCCATGTGTTTTATGTCTTTGTTAAACAAAAGAATTCAAGCACCAAGGTATAGTTAGAGTCGGGGAGTGAATACCAAACTAACGCACTGTACAATGTTCCACTGTGTTCCCCCAGAAGTTTTAAAGCTGCAGGTGTTATGACAGGATTATATGGAGGAGTGTGATGACACTACTGCCAGTGTGTACTGTATGTGCACCAACAGGCACACTGTGAAAGAGTCATGACAAGTTGAGATTTTCAAAATGACTCCCACTCTTACATTATCTGTGTGTTTTTATGTTGTAATATAAAAGAATTTGCTAAGACTTATTGGGACTAGTGGGACAATCTGGACCACTGTGGTTTTTAAGACAGAGAGGCTGCTGGTCAGTTTACCGTAGGATGTAGGTGAGAAGGAGCATCTGCAGGACTAAGAAGGGGTAGGCAAAGCTTTCCCTCAGGGGCGGAGTCCACATCACACGAGTGCTCTGATAACACAGACAGAAAACATGCACATTAAAAAAAGCAAATCAAGTGTAATAATTCAACAGCATTTTGTTCCCCTGCAGCGCTGCTAAAACACTGACACACGGCTTGCGTAACTAGTGTTGCTGTTACTAAATATTAACAGCAACTGACTGCCAGGTTCCAGACGAGCTTGTTAATATGTGACCCATTTAGAGTGAGGACTAAAAGTCGTAATGTGGAATAAAGAGGACGCAGGTTATGTTAGTCTGTAACGCTACAGGGACATCCTGATAAAGAGGTTTCCTAGCAACAGATTTACACATGACTAAAGTCTTTCCTAACAAAGACATTTCTTAAGCTCTAAATCACTAGTTTGAAACTAGCAAGCAGTGACCTGATAGAGGAGTCTTCTCTGGTTAAACGATTTAGCGCATCGTGTCACGTTCTCCCAGTTAAACATCATCATAATAATCATCCAACCATATAAACTTAATGGTTTTGAATCAGGGCCTTCAGTATTTGGATCAAGCAGATGGTGAAAAATGAGGTGTGACAAATTTAGTAGCCTCCAGCTGTTATTTCAATGTGCCAGATACACATTTAATCAACACTGCATATCTTCTGATGCTATGTGTGCAACTATACCGAGGATGTTCGGCACAGTTCTTTTTACAGAATGAATTATTTTCTATCTGATCTCCAAGTTCAAGTTGTAGTTTGAGTGTTTATTGGCCAGCTGTGTCATTTTATCAGACTTGATCGACAGATGTTGGGGTATCACAGAACTGCGATCACAGCCAAAAATAACTGGGACATCCCTGGTTTTCTGTTCTCTCGCTACCACACATTTTTGAGAAAGGGGAACCTTTTCTGTGTTGCTCGGTAAAATCCCACACCGCTATTTATACGTAATAACACACTTCACACTACAATCTAACTTGTGTTTGTCACCTCCGAACACCCCGCTTCTGTATTACCAGCCCACTGCTTCGTCCAACAAACAGGAAGGCAGAAACACAGATGTTCCTGAAATGTCACAACCCACCACTGCACTCAGGGGAAAGAAAAGACTGGAAAGGGGAGACAATGGTGTTTGAAAGGGTCGAAACACACCTTGAGTGTGAGTGTGTGTGTGTGTGTGTGTGTGTGTGTGTGTGTGTGTTTTGTGATTGAGATGTCGGCGTATTGATCTGGAAAAACAGAGACCTTGTATTTGTTCTGAAGGAAACTGGAGAGAAGGAGGTGGGTGGAGGGACTCGGCTTTGAATGCCAGCCAAAACCAACTCTAAGCTCCTTTGAGGGCTGAAATGAGTCCCTATTAACCACCCTCTGCTTTTCTGAGAGCTTTTTCATTTTGAGTTTTACACATTTCAGAAGCTTACACCCAGAGAGACTTGCAGAGGATTGTAGTACGAAGTTTACCTCCGCACTCACTGACGCTGATGGAAAGGGCAGTGCACTCACCTCGCCGTGATTGAAGAAGAAACACATTGTGGTAACAATGCCGCCCAGTCGACTGCCACTAGACAGGAAAAATGAAAAGAAGTGGGGACGTCAGATAAGAGAGGTAGAGAGCAAACAACAGATTCAGAAAGGTCATCCTCAGTCTGATGTCTCAAATCCATATTTGACAGAAAAGAAACCGCAAAGCTGTTTTTCTGTCTGTGTTTGACAGCTGACGGCCGAAAGGATGAGATGGACCGTAAAAACTCATTCACTCGTCTCTGATGCCTATCTGAGCATGAGAGGACAGAGCCTCGGGGCCGGGGGCCGGGGCAGGAGTGGACTTACCTGAGGTAGGCTCCGTAAATGAAGAACAGGCTCATCATCGCGCCGTTCAGCAGGAACACACAGGTCACGTAGAAATACGCCGGGTCGCCCATCCCTAACATCCACAACAGCACACACACCCAGTCAGACACAGAGAAGAGTAGAGGGTTACTAATGGAGACTGAAACTAGTGCTACAACAACAGATCAACTGTGGATGAAGAAACTAATGAGCATTGATCATTGATAACAGATTGACCTATTTAAGTCATTCATCATCCAAAAATGCCACACATTCACTGGTTCCAGCTCCTTAAATGTGAGACACTGACCATGTAATCATCCCTGGTTCAAGTCCGGACATGAAACTTGCATCCTGCCATCTCTCTCCCCTCATTCCTGTTAGGTCTCTACTGTGTCCCATGGCCCAAAAATGTACTGTTTTGCATTTTAACAATACAATAAGTGTTTTATTCTGGCCCGTGTCCCACCATTAGGCTTCAGTTTTGGCCCTCCAAGGGAAAAAGTTTGGAAACCCGTTTTTATTGACACTGCATTTAATCAAATAAAAATAACAGTTGGAGCCCTAAATATCCAATACAGAAGAGAGGAAATCTATGTCTATGTTTTCTGGAACAGTCTGGAAGGGGTATGCACAAGTCTCCTTCAGACTGTAAGTGTAAGGGCAGGCAGCATCTCTGCAGAGCTCTTAGCCATTCATGGTCTCTCTGCTCTCCCTACGAGGATTTCACATACCACAATCCCCTGCTGCAGGCTTTCTGTGGCCTGTTTTTATTTTCTGCCATGTAATCCCATTTGTGATTTCATATTACCTAAAAAAAACAAAACACACCATTCCATCCAAAATAATACACCGTAAATATGTGCTGTAAAATGTTTTAATTAGTTTATGTGTAACATATTGTGGCTCTGTACACTATGTCTCGTGTTTGACATCCAAGTCAGGTATAACTTATAGTCTGAGTGTAATGTTGTACAGGGCACATAATCACATGACCAACCCATTTTGTATTTTCATATGAATAATAGAGCATAATTTAACTCTTCATATGCTTACTGTTGATTTGGCCTCCCACTACAGACGTGACTTGGCTTTTCTGCTCTATCAAACACTGAGGGTTCATGGGAGACTTAGTGGGGTTGAGTAGAGACCTCTGCTGTGCATTATGTGCTGCCAGGCAGACTGATTGTCTTCAGGCCAACAGAGGCAGTTAGCTATAGAAAGGACTGCAGTTCACATGAAACTAGAAATTTGAAGTTGCAAAACAAAAGGGGGAAAAATGTTGAAGAAAGTAAGTAAGTTGTGATGGCCTAGTTGTTAAAACCCCAAAGGTGCTGTAAGGGATATTTATTATTAGTATGTCCTCAAGGGCAGACAGCTGTATTTCAGCATGGTGTCACAGGGAGGAGTGAGGAGACTGTTAACTGCGAGAATGGACCCAAAGTTGGCCAAAATGCAGATTTCTCTTACAGCACCTGGTTCGTATCCAACTGGGGACCTTTGTAATCCTTGGCACATTTCCTGCCACTTCTCTGCTGTCCGCTTTCAAATAAAGATAAAAATGTCAATACCTGAAGGAACAACAAGCTGTTTTTACGGGGGGAGACTATAGAGATGACAGACATTTTAGATTTAAATAAACCGAAGCTGAACTGAAATTAGCAGGAGAGTACGTGGCATATTTGAGACCTGCGGAACATTTAAGTTCCCGCTGCTCAGCTAGAAACAGTAAGAAATATATTACACTGAATAATAATGTGTCTAATTTTACAGAAACTTCCTCAATTTGTACTCAAACCTTAAGTGGGTGGATGCAGTTTTTTTTCTGACAGCAAATTGACTTCATTTCACCTCACTAAATTAGCATTTACACAGACGGGTACTGACGAGGCTGTAATGACAAACAAGATGTTTGGAAGTTCGTTGACATTACTAAGAGCCATTTTATCAGCGTGATGTGACGGTAAATCGCGGGACAAACAGAAAAGCGAGAGCTCGTTCCAACACCAGCTCAGTGTGAAGATGTCATACAGACTTCCCCGCTCTCTACTGTGTCGTTCTGCGCCTCACAAAAATAATGCACTCGCTGACAGTTACAGGAAATGTTCCCACTTTCTGTTTGCTGTTATGCAAGGCCGCTTGCGTCAGGTTTATGTAAACACAGTGAAAACAGCCGGCGTACGTCGACCCTGGGGTGCCGCGCTTCACTAATGAGACTGACAGAAACACATAGATTACGGCGCCGCGAAGGAAAGCCGACAACAGTTGCTTTGCTTGTTTACTGTCAGCAGATTTAGCCTTTGAGAAAATGCTGCTGCAAACAAATATCAGATAACTATTTGTGTGCAATAGGTTAAAAGCATTTTTCTTTCCCTCAGGCTATTATGATAATAACCATATTTCCCTTGCTGTGTTATAACTGCTGTTCTACCAACTTCTTTTTTGCTGCTGTTTACATACTTAATGTCATACCTTTGCTTGAAACACCTGACATGATGAGCCTTGCTTTGTTAATCTCACTATTAACTAGTTGATGGACAGAGAATTACAACCATTTGGATTATCAATAAATCACGTCAGCATTTTATAAAAAAACCAAAACAGTTCTCAAATGTGATCATTTGATGCTTCTCTTCGTCTTATGTGAAGATCATTTATTGAAGAAAAGTTCAACATAGTCTATTCTCACTGGACAGGTCAGCTAAAAAAGCAACAGCCCGTGAAGACACACAGGCCAGATACCCCACCCCCTTCACACACTTTTATACCCTGAGCAGCAGCTGTCAGTCCAACTGCTCACCAGACAAAATAACTAACTATACACACTGATACACGGTGCACAATCGGGAGCTGTTTGGGGCTCAGTGTCTTGCTCAAGGACACTTCGACATGCAGCGAGAGGAGCCGGGGATCGAACCCGCCAACCTTCCGATGACCCGCTTTACCTCTGAGCAATGGCCAGACATTTAAAAGATGTCATCTTAGGCTCTGGGAAGTTTAGATTTTTCATTATTTTCATTGGCTAAACGTTCTTATCTATTAATGATAATTAATTAAAAGTATTCAACAAATTAATCAATAATAAAAAAATATTTGCAGTCTAATTGATAAGATTATTATGTTTTACTGCTTTTAATCCGTGCATGTTGAAACTCATACCTGATGATTGGAAGTAAAAACAGTGATTTGCCAGTAATGACAGTTACATTTTTTAAGGTGTTTCTGTTAAAGACTTGATTCCTTTGTTTAATTCTTTTTGTAAAATGTACGCATTTTTCTCTTGACTGCCAACTCCCCATGAGGCTGTTTTGACATCTGTCCACGAGAGAAGAAAATCGGCAAAGTCTGAGAAGAAATTTGTCATCCAGTCAAGTCAGTGCGAGACTGTGTGAGCATTTTAAATGAGTAGCTCCAGGTCACAACAGTGAAACTATCTGTATGTGTAATGTAGTCATCATTCAACCTGCTGTCTGTCTGTGTGTGTGTGTGTGTGTGTGTGTGTGTGTGTGTGTGTGTGTGTGTGTGTGTGTGTGTGTGTGTGTGTGTGTTTGCAGATCAGACTGGAGGCAGTCTGTACCTTCACAGCTGTCCACAGGAGTGAGTCCCTCTCCTCTGTTAATGGACCAGCACATCTTTGTGGGAATCCCAAAGTACCCCATTACACCTGTGTACATCCGGTACCAGCTGGCCAGGACCACCTTGGGGGGGGGCAGAGACAGAGAGAATCAGCACAAAGCCTATTTAAACATGTCTGAAAGGCCTTTCTGTCCCATTATCTCTGGGGAGTACAAACACACAGCATTCCCACTGATGTCCTCTAGAATCCCATTAGACTTCCAGGAGAGTTTTAGATTTCCTCCCAGAACAGAAAATGTTGATCTTTCCTGCACGGTTTTCTTTAAAGGAGTAAACCGCTCTAATACAACTGAGCTATCTTTAGAGAATGCAGGAAATAAAGCTGATGAGTGGGTGAAGCCACTTTTAAACTGAATTCTGGTCTCATCTTAAAAAGTACCACCAATTCCATAATAGTCCCTGCCAGCATTACACACGTAAATGCGTCCAGATGCACCTTACACAATAATCCCTCTAAAATGTTGTTCATTTATTTCTGCAAAGCTGAAGTGCGTCTTGCTGATAAAGACCGTCAACACACAGCAGATCTCTTATTCATTTTTACAAGAGATAACACAGCTTTGTCTGGATTAATTTTTCATCCAAATTCTTTTATCTAATGCAGAAATAGAGAATGATTTCCAGAGATCTGGTGTGTCTTGATATTTGAACATTAACGATAGAATATTTCGGGCTGTACCCGATGAGATGGGTAGTGCTACCATACTGCAAATCATATGAATAGTTTGGCAAAAAGCGAGATTACCTCTGGATAGAGATTGAATCTCTTCAGTGTGTTAATAACCAGAGGGTACTCTGTCAGCCGATCGTTCATGACCATGTGGAGGCCATCCAGGAAGGAGGGAGCCTCAATAATGGTCTTGTAGTAGGAATAGTACAGACCCTGGAACCAAAAGAAGATGCATACACTTAAATAAACTGAAAAAGAAGTTAAAAAGAGGAATTTCGAGGCAGAGTTGCAGAGAGAGGAAGACCAAAAAAGACAAAGAAAAAAAAAGCAGACTTAGAGAGAAGGAACAGAGTGATACAGAGAAAAACAGACAGCAGACAGACACTAAATATAACTCTACGACATAAAACTCAAGACAGAAGAAACACGAACTAGTTCTACGGGCTCGGCAGATGGCAACAGCTCACAGCCCATTTGGTAGCACGCAGCAGGGGTGAGAGAAAGAAAAAATATTCTGTTTGCATATGATTAAATCGTCACCTTCAGTGTCAAGCTCGAAGCTTGTGCTGCATGTTAAATATCAACAACTTCTACAGTGTTATAGTGATGATGATGGGGAGGGGGATGCATAAACATATGCTGCATTAAATGGCATGATTTTGTGCCGGCTGCAGCTGCCTAAAGACAGAAAGTGACTGAAAACAGAAACAGAAATGGGAAAAGCACCGTCACTTTGATGTGACAATATTGTTTATAACCCTGTGGGAGGATATTACAATTGTCTCTAAATGTACAGATGATGTGGAGTCACAGGAGTTAAGGTACAGTCTGATTACACTTCTGCCCAGCGAGTATTGATTTCCACAGAAGTCAAGCACTGCCAGTTCATGTTGTGAACTGTGTATCTCTGGCAAGCGTGCAGGTCAGAGGTCACCCTTCGTTCAACTATGGCACAGATGCAGCGTTTGGAAATGTCAGTGTCATTATTCCACCGCTGCAGCGTCGTTGGCACAGACAGTTTGTGATCGCTCTGCTCAATATTTATTTATAACCTACATCACGACCGTCACATCCTTTTCTTTTTTTTTAGGTTGAGTGCGAGAGGCAGAACGTTAATGTGACAGCACCAGTTTATGACGATTAGGGTTGCAACTCACAGTCATTGTCATTAATCTGACTATCATCATCTTAATTACTTATTAATGAATTATTGGTTTATAAAATGTCAAAAAATAGGGTCTGTGTAAGCACAAGGAGCTGTCCCCAAAACGCTTGTTAATGCCAAAGTTGCTCTCTCAGAGAATCTTCTGTTTTACTATTCTCAAATACAATTTAATTACATACAATTACTCTAATAATTGATTCATCATTCCAGCTCACATTTGAGGAAATGTGAGGATTTGCTGCTTCTCTTTGTTTTATATGACTATAAATTTAACCTCTTTGGATTCTGGACTTTTTAACCAAAAACTCTTTCCAGGACATTTTCCAGGAGTTTTCTTGACAATACAGGACAGCACTTATTCACAAGCTGTCATATAATTAACCAGAGGGCCTAGTATTGACACATTTTACTCAGTTTTATTCCTCCTTTTTTCATGATGCAACAACTCAGGTTTAGGTAAGTGGTCAGCATTTACACATTAGCTCACTTTCAGCTCACCACAGCTCATTTTTCTGCAGTGTCTCTACGGTGGTTTGACTACAGTTTACTACAGTTTTCCTCTGACCTAGATTTACATAGCTGATTTTAGTGAGAGGCTAAAATACAATTCAAGTGTTTTTTCCAGGACACATAGATTATTTCCGGGACATTTGGCCATTTTAAATCAATTTCTATGCTTTTGCATGTGTGGGAACCCTGAAAACTACAACACAACAATGAGTCATTAAACTGAACATTAGTGCACGATATGGTGAAAACATCACATTGTGAATACAGATACTGTGATTCACGATTACGTGGGAATGATCAGTTTTTATTAAAATCATTATAATGTGACATTTTTGGGGGGTCTTTACCAAACACTGGAGAACAACATATGTACCTCTGCAGCACTACAGCACTTCATTACAACGCTGTTTGGTCCCTTTATCAAAACATTACAGCTCTTCTGATTTGCATATTGCACTTGTCGTGCAGCCCTAATGAACATCAGTCCCAGCAGACATCAGGAAACAGCGACATCAGTTTCAAATCAATGTTATTAGTGCATCCTTAATATATATCTAAAAAAAAAAAAAAAAAAAAAAACAATGAACAATTTACCATTTCTGTCCGAAAAGCCATTTCCTTCTCCAGGTTAGACAAGTGTGAAAAGTGTCTGTCATTCTCAAACAGCTGTGAGAGATGGTGCCTGTTTATCACAAGAGGAGAAACGTGTGAGCATCCCCACACACACACACACACACACACACACACACACACACACACACACACACACACACACACACACAGCAGTAATGCATGAGCAATAACAACATGCTGACACTCACCAGTGGAGATACCCAGTCAGAGCAGCTGTGGAAAAGAAAAAAGCAACTTTTAATGCTGCTCAGAAAAATGCCTCTTCATGCAGGCTGCAAACAGAAAGGGGGGGGGGGGCTGCTACTGTGGTGCATTCAGGAGCAGAAATCATAGCAAAACATTAGCTTGAAACAAAACAAAACAACCCGTCAACACGTGTGAACAGTGACATGTCAGAGCAGCACAGGTTCCCCGTTACGACCCTAACAGCGGGCTGAGCCGGCGATCAGCTGAGCTACCGTCAGCTCAGCTGATCGGGCTGAGCGGAGGTAACTTAAAGGGTAGCACGATCAGCTAATGCTAACGAGTGTGCATGGACGGTTAGCAGCCTGTTAGCTCGCAGCAGGGTGGAGGAGGAGGGAGGAGGAGGGAGGAGGGAGGAGGGGAGAGAGCTAACATGGCTAACCGCTCCTAAACTCACCGAGGAGAAGAGTGACTCCCAGCCTGGCGACCGCGGAGGGAGTTAGCCCGAGCTTGTGCCCGATGCCCGAGAGCCCGTTCGGGTGGGAGCTGCTGAAGGCTTTGCCCTCCCTGCCCGGTCGCCTCACGGTACTTTTACCGGGGGGAGAAACAAGCGGGCTCCTGTCGCGGTCAGCCTGGGTCGCTGGACTCTTCCCGGTCTGTTTTCTGGTTTTAGCCACCATGGTTTACCCCCCAGGAAAGAGCCGAGGAGGCAGCAAAAGGCGGTGTGTGTGTGTGTGTGTATATATGTGTGTGTGTGTGTGAGAGCAGCCCAGTTTTATCTGCTCCTCGGATCTGCCCCCTTTCTACTACCTGAGTGATGCTTTCACTGGTTTCACTCGCTTTTCAAGACACTCGGAGAAATCTTATGAGGCTTCGCCCCCTGCTGGACGTTTGGCGCCACTGCAGGGAGCTTTCTGGCGGTAACCGTGGCAACGACAACCAGGGTACCATGCAGCGGTGGCTCCCCTGATGTTGATGCCCTTAAGGTTAAAGGATGCTTTTTTTCCCCCTATCATTTACTAAACCTAAAGGGCTCTTACTAAGTGGCATATTTTATGGATGTTTAATAACAATAAACCCAAAGTGTGCCTCCTCTGGCTCATTTCAGGCACCGCTTTCCATTTTTTAGGGATTTTAATTCATATAGCATGCTGAAAAATATAGACCAGGGATCTTAAACTGTTAGCCCTTCACCCTACTTCCACAAGAGTGGGACATGATGTCAAAAATATAATATAATCCAGCCACAAGATTATTATTATTATTTTTATTTAACCATGCGACAGGGGTTCCCAATGTCTTTTTCTTAAGGGAATCCCTTTTCTATAATTTAGTAAACCTACGACCCCTGACTAAGTGACATATTTTATGGATATTTCATATTTTAATCAAAACTATGCAATAAGTTTGTGTAGAACAAGCGATTTGTCGAAACTCTACTCACTCAAACTAAAAACATTTATACACAAAATATCTTCATATCTTAATAAATGCAAACACTTTCATTCGAAACGATATAAACTCTTCAAAAAACAGCTTTTTTTGCATCACAACTTTGCACACAAACACAGAATAAATAGCTCTTTCCCCATTCCAGTTGTCATTCAGGGCAGTAATTCTCAACCTTTTAGAGTCCCGACCCCCCCATAATAATCAGGTTGGTGTTCATGAACCCCCCCCCCACGTGTAACATATTAAAGCTACTAAACTCATCTCTGCTTTAGGCCTAAAAGCACAATAATAGATAGAAATACTAATCATAAATGGTAAACAGAGTTCTTGTGAGTTCTGCTTGCCATTACATGTTATTTTATTTTATTCTCTAAAACCATTTGGTGACCATCCGGAGATTATCTCACGATCCCCTTTGGGGTTCCCCAACCCCCAGGTTGAGAACCACTGATTTAGGGTCTTTAATTTGTAGCATGCTGTTAATACAGACCAGAGATCTCAAACGTTTGCGTTTTTGTTAAGTATGATGTTAGTGATGGAATTATTTAGCACCAGTAGTGGCCAGGTTGAGTTTGAGACCCCTGATGTAGACCATAAATGCAACCACAATGGGGAAACGGGGCGCCAGGACAGCTCACCTGGTGGAGCTGGCATCCCATGTACCGAGACCGAGTCCTTGCTGCAGCGGCTTGGGTTTGGGTCCAACCTGTGGCCCCCCTCTCTCTCTCTCCCCCCCCGGTTTCTGTCACTCTTCAGGTGCCCATAAACAGTATATATATACAGATATATATATATATTTATATATATATATATATATATATATTATAGAGTTAAGCCAGGGGTTAAGGCTTGTTAGAGGATTTACATTTATGGATAGAAATTTGATGTTTGAATATGAATATTTGCCAGGTATCCTTTTTCCTTATTATTCCTGTTGGTGTTATATGCACCAGCATTGTGAAACCAGTAGATGTCACTAAAGGACCACAATATATCTACACTCTACACTTCACAATTCAACATTTTAGACTCGTAACAGTGTCTGGTTGTCTGATGCCAATTAGATATTTAGCTTACAGCTTCATTTACTTGGGTCACATTTGCTTTATAAACACAACTTTTATGCTTTCTTTCTTTCTTATTTCTCAAAAAATTTCATTTTCTTCATTTTGTTGTCTTACTCTGTTTCAACAAATGCACATTTTATTCACGGCAGTCACACTGCTCCAGCCTTGTTATCATCATCTGCAGATGGAAGAGATTCTGCAGATTTATCAGCCATAAAGGGGAGAAGGGAAATTGTGTTTTCAAGAAAAACATGGCAAGTGAGGATTCTGGCAATCGAGCAGACTAGCAGACACTAGTCCCTTTAGGCTCAGACATTGGTGCCATAGTTTCAAATTAGATGGTGCGTGATGCTCTGGCGACAGAGAACAGGAACATCAGGAAAGATGAGTTGATCTCATCTGTTTAGCTTGGAGAAGGACAGGGAGGGAGCAAGAAGGCGGAAAAAAACATAATGACAGCTCCTCTAAAACTCCACAAACAAACACCCAGAGCGGGAATCCGAACACTGATTCCCGCTCTGGGTGATGTGGTGGTGGGTTTGGGAGGTGTGTGTGGGTGAGAAAACCAGGGAGGGATGAGAAGTTTTGGGAGACGGTGTGTTTGTTTTCTCCGCTGGCTCGGTACTGGAAGCCAAAAGCTGCATGTGAGAATCTGTGAGAATCAGCAGAGAGAGAGAGAGAGAGAGAGAGAGAGAGAGAGAGAGAGAAAAGGAAGATGAACATGGAGTCAAAGCTGCAGAGATCTGATCAGCGAGTCTAAGCTTGTTGGAAAAGTAATATTAGATCATCTCACAGGATTTTGTGGCTTTGACCTTTGCACTTTATCTAGTCACAGAGTTTATGTAATTTTATACTAATCCTGTCAAACCCATTGTTTATTTTGCTCCCCATCAGTTCTATTAGTGTTCTGGTGCTACTGTATTTAATGGGTTTAAAGAAGTTGAGAGTTGTTGGTATTCATGGGAACTATTAAAATCATAATTAATTAGAAAAACTGATGGGTTGATTTCTGATTTATAATTTATTAACCTATAATTTACTGAGTTAGAGGTGAGGTCAGGCATCAGAGAAGCACATGGAGAGAGAAACAGTGTGTAGAGCCAGAATATTTGCAACCCTTAGTTTTTTTTTTTTACCTAACCAGAGTTGGTGATTGTTGGAACAGTGAGAAAACAAACCAGTGTTTTGGTGTGTTTTATTTTGTTTCCTCCCAAGTTTGAATGAAGTGATGTTATGAGGTAAAATAGCTATTTATTTTTAATGGAGTCTGGCTTTGAAGGGCGATGTAACTGCTGTTTCTGGTTAAACAAAAGGGATCTTACTGTTTCACAAAAAGCTCTATCTGTGTAGGGATCGACTCCATAATGTGCTCACTTATAATGACAATCCGAGCCTATCAGTAGTAAAAACAAGCATGTTGAGAGGATTATCAATTTCAAAACCAATTAAAAAACGTATTATATCCCCATTGGTTACGTACACACAAAACATAGGAAAATAGGGTCCAAGTTGAATAATAATATAACCCTTTAATGAATTTTCACAGCAGCCGTTTTCCAGAATTTACAGATACCTATCAGATTCACTTAAAGAAAATATTTGGAAATTAATGTCTGGGACCCATAAAATAAAGTGTTACTCCCTTTTCATATAGGATAAATGTACTTAATGTAGTTACAACACGAGCCCGCCCTGCAGGTTAAACAATAATGTCAATGAAGACTAGCATCGGCTTCTCCAATGTCTGGCAGTGTTCACCAACTTTCCTTTTCTTTTTAGTACAGTACCTACTTTCTGCCACCTACAGTTGGTTTCAATTGAACATTTGGATATGGTGTTTACATGGGACACAAGAAACCTGGCTATTCATATCTCAGTTTCCTCATTCCCTTTCACTATCGTTGGTTCACAAACTGGTGTAATGTTAACTGCCTCCTTCAAACATGCTTTGTCACTGCCCACGCACATCTGACAGGATGCTTATTGTTACACCACCCTACAGCAGTTGTTGTTGGAGCACCATGCGTTTGTGCCCTCCCCATTTTGTCTGATGTGGAAAACCACCAGCACATGTGGACATCGCATGGGATAAAAACTTCTTCCCTGCGTGCCACATCTCTCATCATCAACCCCAATTTCCAACCCACCAAAAAGCCCCCTGCTCCTCCTTTTGCTCTCATGGTGGTATTTTCTCAAACTCCCGGCTGATTCACGGCTGGCGGGTCCGGCCGAAATACAATAACTGAGGCTGAGTTGTCGTCAGGGCTGTCAGAAATCCAGAGGTGTCGCTGGACTGGACGGCGGTGAAGGACAAGCTATTGAAAATGGTTAGCTCAGCTTGCGATTGCACTGAGGGAATTTGTTTTTACACCAAACACAGCATGGCAAAGGCACTGGCCGGGTGAGATTGTGGGTGGGTACAGTCAGGGGTTTTTGGCAGAGTCAGTGATGTGGCTGGGGGTTGACGACACCCTCTATCCAAGACGCTTCATGGGGTGTGTTGCTTAAGGGACCTCCTGCTAATTAAAGACAGCTGGCCCGAACAAATGAGATAATTAAACCATGTTCACTCCACAGAAAGCTCTTTTTTCTCTCCTTTTAATTCACTATTAGCATTTATTTATCTAAAGCATCAGACTTCAAAATAGCACATTCGTTGTGCCAGTGAGAAAGCTGAGGTGTGAAACAGTTTATAAGCTGAACTTTCAGAGCAACGAGGTCATCGCTGCTACACAAACATCTCCCAGATGGCTGCAAGAACTGTGGAAGCAGAGGAGGAGGAGGCCTCTGGCTTGGCCAGCACGGGGACCCACCAATGCCAAAGTAACCAAGGGACAGTGGGAAGACGGCTGTGTGTGTGTGTGTGTGTGTGTGTGTGTGTGTGTGTGTGTGTCTTTTATTCAAAAATGCAACGGTTTGTAATTGCATAATTGTTAAAATATGAATCGCTTTTTGTTGAACTTACCTCCTCGTTGTAATAGTGGAGCAATAGGGACGAGCCTGTGTGTGTGTGTGAAATACCACTGATATTTTGTCAAGATTCACTGTCACTGGGATTGTGTGTGTACTCTTGCTTTTAAGACTTGCTTTTCGGGTTGAAGTTAGGTTCACGTTAACAGTACAGTAACATTTGGGGTTAGACATGTAGACATGATGGCTGGGATCAGAGGACAGGGAGTGCATTGTGGCTACACTCACAAAAGTCTCTATAAACGTTTCGCTCAATAGAGACCGAGGACTTTCTCCCAGCTTTCGTTACAAAAAACTGGGTAGAAACAATTTGAGAGTTAAAAAAAACCTTAATTTCAGAACAAAT